TGTTGATTAAAGAACAGCTGAGCTTCCTAAGCTGTGCCGGGACAGATTTGAAGTCTTCAGACCTAGCTGGAGTGTTTTGGGAAAGGCGCCAAGGTTGGCAGCTTTTTGTGTCGTGAAATGTGCCTCATGTGCGTCTGGGTGCTGACAATGTCATGATACCTTGAGAGGAAAATGCAGTCGAGTCGTGTTTACGTTTGTGAGACTCCTTTCTAATATAATCTAATTATCTGAAGCACTGATTTTGTAGCAGCTGTTGCTGGAGACCCCTTGAAAGAAAGTGATGGAGTGGGTAGGGTGCAAAAATGCCATTTCTTTCCTTTTCTCTAAGGAACCACTGTGGGTATGGCTGCTTTACTGGAGTTGTGAAGCATCCAGGCATATTATCTATGTTTGTTTATTTAGACTAGGGGGATTTACCTCCTGTTGTTTAACGTGTCATTTTGGGTGTAATTGTGACTCCACTGTCTCGTAATTGCTGTGGAAGTTGGGAGTTGAGCACCCTCAAAATGGCAGTTAACCTCTAATAACATCAGTTAACATATAGTCGGTAAGTGCTTGACTTCTGTGAAGATCTGAGGAATATGTCTGACAAATTTAAACTCCTGGTTTAGTTCCCTCCATGAATTGTAGTAATAATAAGGGGATTTTCAGGGTCCCTTATTTCCCTACCCCCTTCATAACCATATAAAAGTGTTTCTTCTCAATACCATGGAGTGTGAGGTTTTTTCCCACCTTTCCACACCTTACTGAGCTGTTTCTATGAGGTGTGCCAGAAAAAGTGTGTTACAAAGGATGTGATAAACAGACATTTTATTCCTCCTTCTCCTTTTCTTATGCAGTCCAAGACCCATATTACCCTAATGAGTGCTCTTGGACACCGAATAAATTATCTGTTGCCTTCATCCTCAGCTATAGGTACAGGACAGACCTTTTACAGGTGGGTTGTTGCTCCCTAGGCTGCATCTGTCTCTGCTAAGCAACTGCACTCAGGTGACCGAGAGCCTGGTGACCGGGCTTCTGCGTATTTTGTTTTCAGTTGGTTTTTTTTTTAGTCAAGTCTTTCATATATGCATGCTTTCTGTAAATTTTTAATGACTTTGTTCAAGCAGAGGTTTGTTCTCAGTGTTAAGTGTTAATGTGTCAGGCTGAGGTTAAAACTAGTTTACCTGTCTGATGCGATTGAAATGTGTTTATACAGATTTGAAGAAGCTGCTTTTGAGTATTTGGCTTTTTAGAGACAGAATATTTGCTGTGAAAATCAGATGGAGTTTGGAATACTGGAAGCAGCCTGGAAATACAGTGCACCCCCCCCAGCATTGTAACATCACTTGCATCTTCTAAGTACTGAGAAAAATGGATTAATATGTGACACAAATAATTAAAAATAGTTTTTTAAGTGTCTGTTTCTGCTGTAAAAAAAGCCTGTCTGACCAGGAGGAGCAAATCTACAGAAATATCGAACCCTCACATCTTCAAGCCAGTCTGCTGTCTGCTTTCAACACACTAAGTGCTCTAAACATGTACAACCTGAAAAGCAGGCCCCAAGTATTTCAGTTCGGGCATCATAAATAAAGGATTTGGCCTTTATCTCTCCTTGCTTCAAATACCTCATTTGCAGAAAGAAGACTACATAACCCCTTAAAGGACTGCTGTGATGATAAATACAAGTATTGGCATTCTGTCGCTTCAGTGCCACGGAATCTTCCTCTTCTCCTGTCCTACTCCCAGGAGAAAGCTAATACATTTTGTATGTATTAGCCTTGCATGTGGTAAATGAGAGCCACAAGTGACACACTGAATAGTGAAGATGTTCTTAAGAAAAAAAAAAAAGCAAAAAAAAAAAAGCCAGGGAGCTGGGAGGGGGAAGGCAAATAAGCCAAACCACTTGTTACGGTTTTGTTCTGGCATGTTAACTGAACTCATCATCACAAAATAGTAGAGACCTTGAGAAAGTACTATAAATAAATGCAGAGAGGTAAACATGAAGTTCTGGGTTTCTCTTCTTCTTTGGTGCATTTTCTTTTTTGTATTACCAGTCAGTTTCCCACCCAGACTTGGTTCTCACCCTTCCAAGAGTTGTCTCGTAAGATTTGGGCAGTATACTGTTACATCAGAAGACTAGAGCAGCAGTGTGGATGTAAATTACAGGCTCGTCAACCTATGGGTCAGTCTTCCTGGAGAGTTCAACTTAATGTTTTGCCTGATGGCACAGTAATTTTGCCTGTGGGAATAAATAAATAAATGTATCAGGGTGGATGAGTGCAGGCAGCTGAGAGGTATGAACGATTTAAAGCTATGGGTACAGTATGTAGGGCAGGGAAGGTGAAGACAAATAGGTGCACGACCATCAACAGAAAGACATGCTGGTTACTGAAAGTACCCAATAGCTGTCCTGAAAAGTGCATTTCTTCCTCTTAACAATCATGGTGATCCAGATCTTTCCTATGCATCCTCTGTGCTGTATAAATGCACGAGGGCAGTATAAACAGTATGTACTACTTAAGTCTCTGAGTGCATCCCCTTTCTATTACACTAACTCGTATGGCCAAAATTACTTCAGAATCTAAATGGATGAAGCACCTGCTTCCTCTGAGGCACATACTGAGAGCCCACATCTAGCGCTGCCTGTTTCTGGGTGGTTACACTTTCATTGCCATCATCTTCTTCCTCAGGTGACTTGACCAAGGGTGAAGGGTGCCCATCAGTGGGGCAGAGTGTTAAAGGATCGGCTGTGGAGCTCTGAAATGATGTATTGATATGGGATGACTGATGGAGGATTCCTGAGTTTATCTACATGCAAATAGCAAACATATTCCAGAAGACTTCCAAGGATATTGAATTTATGGTTATGGATAGTGGTGAGAAAAAAATGATGGAACATGTTTTTTATTTAAATAAGTAACTATCAGGATCCTATGTCTTGCAGTCTCTGAGTTGTCTTGCCACAGCCCTATTCAGAGCATAATGATATTTAATGTCCAGCCTCAGTATCACGTAATGTTGGGTGATAATTTCTTAGGAAGAGCCGCAGGTTGCTTCTGTGAGCGATTAAGTAGCGGTGGTGTTGGTTAAGGTGATGGGCAGTCCTCACCAGCTGGCAGCACTTCCACAGTGGTCTTGATCACAAAAGTGTGACCCTGTTGTCTCTCGGTAAGAAAGGGAAAAACCAAGTTCTTTCTTCCTTTGTGCTGGAAGCGTTGGGTTTGGTTTCTGCAGTTACGTTGTCATTCACGGGTTAAAGGCTGCCTGCAGAGGCATCATCTGCTTCGTAATACAAGTTGACATGTGGGTTTTTTTATTAAGGTACTGTGAATGTCTTAAAGCAAATCACAGTGCCATTATGTGATTTAATTTGCCATTGTAACGTCCCTTCTAAAACAAGGGCTCCTTTTTGTAAAGTGTGTGTATGTGAGTGTGACGCTTATTATTCCTCTTTGTAGGGGAGCTAAGTTAGTAGCTTCTTTATCATCGCTACTGGAAGCAATGTCTGCTGTTTCGGAGTTGGTTTTTTTTGTTGTTGTTTGTTTATTGCTTTCATGTTCTTTCCTCCTCATTCTATTCCTTCTTGCAGAAGAAGTAGCAAACAGATCATTAGCACTTACTCTTGGGACTCTACTCGTATTTTAGTTCAAAACATAGGCTCTTAGTTCAAGGTACTGTTATTTACCCAAACGTAGGGGAGAAGCAAGTGCATTAAAGGCAGTTTTTTTCAACTTCTACATTTTGTTTTCAGGTTATAATTAATTTATTGCTAACAATTCTGAATACTGACTATTCCAAAGGCGTTATTCTGCTCAAAAACTAAGGTCTTACCAACACTACTTAGTTTTATGTTCTAGAGCTCTTGATGGAGAGCATCGAAGACTTCATTAAGAAAGGAAATGAAGTCTACTCATTTCTTTTGTGGGTTGAACACTGACAGGAAGACAGGCTGCCAGGAGCTGGAAGGTGTTTAAAAAAAAAACCAAAAGCAAACAAAAAAAACCCAAACCAAAAAAACCCCAACAAGCAGAATTAATGCTTATCTTCCTGTAAGAAGGCTTAGCAGATAACATCCAAGGGAGACTTCAAATGAAACTAATGCAAGTAAAATACTGCTGTGTAATTACAGATGTTTCTGAGTTGAGCTACTCCCTGTTAATCACACTTAATTAATATAACCCAGTTGCAAGATGATTTACGGGTGGTTTGAATAAGTGTGTGAGATCAGAAGGGCTGGTTTTGTGCTCTCTCTAACAGAGACACTGTGTAGTTGCTTTTTAAATGATGATGCAAATCCATCCTAAAGCAAGAGAATTAATGGACACGGTGGATTAGGAGGTTATGAGAAATTTCCATAGCTCCTGAAAGTGTCTGCTTTGGCCTTTCCTTCCGTGGGGGCAGGGGGTTCAGTCTCATATTGTCTCATATTCCTTTTTTTGAATGTTGGAAGGCTTAATACAGACTCATTTTTACTTGTATGTTCAGTTACCTTTTGACTTACTGCTATGGTATAACAATTTTATAAATTCATTTGCTATGCTGTATAGGGCATTCAGGGTACTAAATTTGGAGAGCATATTCTGGCATTCTATTGATCTGTAATCTGTTTTAGGGAGGCACGTGCCTGGAAACTGTTTCAGCAGAGATGAGTGGAAGTGTTTCTGGAGATCTAGACTAGAAGAAAGAGAATCATGAAGATGTTGCTGAAGGAATAAAACAAGTAAATTCATATTTGTGTGAAACAGACTGTTAGAGATTATTTAACATGGTACTCCATTTTCTCCAAACTGTACTGTACTTGTTACTCACTGTAGGTTTTTTTTCTTTTTTTCTCTCTTCAGTTCTATAGGTGCTGGTGCAAAAACAGTTTAGCAATGGATCAAAGAAAAAATGATAGTTTTGTCCCAAGTATCACACAGTTGGAAGACTTCCTAACAGAACATGACTCCAATGTTGTTTGGCTGTTAGTAGGTAAGGTGAATCTATTCTGTTTTAGTTAAATGGTTTTCTTGTGTGTACTCTTAAACATACTTCTCTAAATGCTGGCGTACCAATATCGAATTCCTTACCAAATTACATCAAAACATTGAAAACAGATTTTTGTTTGTCATAGAGCTGTTCAGTGAGGTATGGCAATGCTAGTTAAGTAATTTAGAAAGAAAAAATATGGAACTGTTGCCAGTACTAATAGTGCTGCAGCACTTGGGAGATGAGTCCAGTGTGCAAAGGACGCTGCTCTGCCACTGCGACTCTGCAAAATAACAACTTAGTGAGAACTTATCTCCATGAATTAAGTTTTTTCTAACACGAGAGTAAGCTGGTGTTATTTGTAAGCTTGGTCATTACTTGTAATACCATAACAAAGGATTAGCATTGTGGGACGTGGCAGGAGATACAGTAACTTTGTTATACCAATATGTACGTATCTGCCATTTAACATGGTATAGTTTGAACAGTGATATAAAAGACTACTGTGTTTAATGACATAATTTCTAGACTAAATTGTGTGCCACAATAAGCCTTTAAGCCAAACCGTCATGTCCTTGGCTATGGGCTGGTTTTGTAAATGTGCCTGATTTAGGCATGCTAATTTTTTTATAACATTCATGCTACTGTTTATATTTGTGTGTAGGTACTTTTATTTTCCAAATCTGTGAACAGTGTGATGAATTTAGAGTTTTGCAAAGGTAGATAATACTCTCTTTTCAGCCTTGATTGTTGGACCTGGAGCGAGGGGCAGTGCAGGAAAAATAACTTTATTTTTTGACTTCTGGGATGTTAAAGCATGTCTGTTGTCTATTAACGTACTGGAATTATTTTTCAGTATGCCAAACTGAATGAAAAGGACAATGGCAAATTAGCCGAAGGTGCTTTCTGAATATTATTTATTTCACTTTTAATATGATGATGTGAAAAGCTCGTACTTAACATAAAATTCTGAGTGTAGTCAAGATCAAAATAAGGAAATTTACCATGCTGATAGTTGCTCATGGTAAAATGTGGAACAGCTGTGGAACAGATCTGAAAAATTTGTTTCCGGAAGCTTTGACTTGAGACTTGGAGATGCTCAGGTCTTTCACCAAAGAATAAAAGTGTCAAATTGCAGCCTGCAGAATTTTCTTTCTCTGGTTTTCACTCTCTGCACTGGATTCTTAGAGCAAACTATTAGTAATTCTACTTAGAAAGTATGTAGGATATAAGCAATTCTGTGTAACAGCTATAATTTAAACCAAAAGCTCTGCTTAGCTTTCTTATTTGCTTGAATATATTAAACTTACAAATTTCTGCTTCACGGAAGGGTGGGTGGAACTTAAAGAAATAATATAGTACATCCCCTTTTTCTAAGGGGGACCTATGTATAATTCTGCAGTTTTGGGGAGCTGCTGTAAGAAACCACCTGCTATTCTAGAAACAATGACACAAACAACAGAAAAAGCTGGGTAGCTTCCTGTTACTATGCGATTTGGATAGAAACGTATTAAAGTAATATTTATTAACTGACACAGTTTCAACCAGCCGTTCCTCCTTTGCTTTCATCTGCTGACCTATGGCATCCTGTTATAAGAGAACAAAAAAAAGATGTCAATAGTTTCTTCCCCTGAATCCTGAAACAGCTAACTATTGATCCCAATAAAAGAGGTGATGAATTCTAGAAATGAATATGCTCTTCAGAGAGCTCTTGCTCAATGCTAGAATAATTTCTAAATATCACATGCGGTAAAACTTTCCAAATGTAATTTCCAAAATGTAGTTTCACTGAAGAGGCTTTTAAAATCAAGAATATAATAATGAGATTAATAGCGTTTATGGGATCTGTCACTTAACAGTGGAGCGTAAATTTGGTGAGGGAAAAGTCTACAGTTTGTGGTAAGGTGAGACTAGTGGTAAAGGCAGTGGATTAGACCCGTAGTGCTTGGAAACTGCACGAGCTTGCTGATTTTTCTCAGTATATGTCACCTTAAGAGGGTGTCTTCTTGGGTTTAGGTATCTAGAAGTGAAACATGTAGTTGAACTTTAACCTCAAATTAAGTTTTAGTACTGGAATGAGACCCTTTGAGTGTGAGTCATTCCACCTTTCTCCCTACAATGACAGGGGATCAGCAGCGAGTAGCTTATTCATCTGAAAGTCAGCGGAGGTAAACGCTGTCCTTGGAGTGTGCCTTCACTGAATGCCAAGAGCAGTTTCTTTCGTGGGGTGTACCTTTAAACCCTCCCTGCCTTTATTCCTGCGTAATCACGCCCAGAGATTTGATTAGTTCTACATGTCAAGGCAGCTTACCTGCCTGAGTGTGAGCTATTTGAATTTTGGCCGCACTGGATCCATTTTCCAGTAAGCAAAAGACAAAGTCATCTAAGTCTTTCCCTTCTACCTTCTCCTCATCTTTCAACACAAAGCAATGGAGCATCTCACTGCAGAAAAATTAAGGGACAGTAAAAGGACAGGCTATATGTGCCTTTCTGCACTTCAGATTTCCCATAAAAAGCACAATAAATCTGAGTTTTTCAGTATGATGTGTATACATAAATGACAAACTTCTGTTACAAAGTTCAGTTAATATAATGAGTAGAAATACCTCAAATAGAAAAATTGTTTTCTTCCCTACTCTGCTTTGGATGAAACAGAATGGTAATTATCAGTAAAGTGAATTAGAACTAGTCTGTTCCTTGGCAGTCCCATTCCTTTCGGGTTTGTCCTTCTGGAGGCTTTGAGAACCCTTGTAGTTAGAAATAGGTTACTAGCTCTTAATCAACTAAAGTAAAAATTACTTTGGGGATTAGCAGACCTAATTTTTTTTTTTTTACATGTTTCTCAGTGGATTGCTATTTCCTTTTTTTTCCTATTGATTTCCATGCTTGAACTGTTGATAGATTTCTACTAACCCAAGGACTGGTACATTTCTCTCAGCAACTTAGGAGATGGTTTCATGTGATAATGTTGCTTGCTGTGCTAAGATATGAAAGATTAGAAATTTAAGTTACAGTTTATGGTTTGGAGAAGGGTGGGGAAGGAATGTAGTATGACTTTTGTTGTGGTGGTTTTTTAGAGTATTTTGAAATAAATGTGTGGAATCATGCATGGTGTGATTTGATCTATGAAATTTAACTTCTTGTGTGATAAGGGATGCAATGAAATATGAGTTGCCTTTTGCAGGTCCTACTTCCCATTTCCGCTTCTTTTTTGTCCCTATGTCTTTACACCCTTCTCACACAGTCTCTCTGAAAACACCCATTAAAATGTCCCATCGGTTTCAAAATTTTTGAGAGCAGGAAGAATGTTCTTGTGTTTTATAGTCTTAATAGGTAAGGCTTTTATCTAGGTCAGCATACTTCAAAAAAATATTTTAATTCATTTTAATCTTTCAACAGCGACGATATTGTCTTGTGGATGGATTATCTACCTAACTTACTATAATTCCCGGAACATTGGACTCATTTTAACGTTGGTCCTTAACAGATTATATAAACATGGCTACATCCATATTGGTAAGTTATTATTACTGTAATGCCGCTGTTTGTCTACTGCTTTTTATTATACCTCAATTTGCTAAAAACTCTCAGTAAAAGCAAAGTGTTCCTTTGTTGCAGTAATTTGAAAATGATCAGCATGGGTTTAGTTTAAGAAGAGAAAAAGTTCGGTATCATGCTTTAGGGGAGGATTCTTGGTGTACGTAGAAAACCACCCTCTTTTTCATTGAAGTCTCTCATTAGTTCACATTAAAGTTTACTTGATGGGTTTTTTAATTTTAAGGTGCGTTTACTTTTTTCTGTTTAGTCTGTATACTTTGTGTACTTAAAATCTGTATGTTTTCCATTACCACTTTTTCAAAGCCCTGTAATCATAACGGTTAGTGTCCTGAAACGAGAAGATTGACCTCAGTCCCCCATGGAACCTGCTTGAGCCACTTCTGAACTTGTCTTATAATTTGGTATTAATGGGTGCAGCTTCCCACTCCCCCTCACTTTTGAAGCAGGTTATACAGCTTCTGAAGCGTGGGTAGCAACCGCTGGAGTGGGCTCAGAGGGGCACAGTGGAGTCTCAAACCTCAGCTCCCTGTTATGACAGTGTCCTTGCTTTCTAAATAAGCTGTCAGAACAACTAATCACGTTAATCCATACTGGGACTGTGATATGTAGAATTTATACTGCCTAGAACATTTGCATCAAAATCCATTAACTTTTTTTTTATATTTTAAAACATTTTTTAATAAAACAGGTCAGTACAAATCACTTGGGCACTCACCCAAATTACAAAAATACCCAATGCTGAGTCGTAGAGGGCTGTATCCCACAACCTCACTCTGACTGCACTTTTGATTTTCTTTCATTTGTTCTTCCATGCCTGTCTGCTTCCCAGAATGACGATGAGTTTAGTTCTGGAGTTTTTCTGCAACTTTTGATCACAAATGTAGTGAAAACTCAAAACCCCCCAACCTACTCACACCCACCTGTCAAAGAGACCCCTGCAATAATTTGCTTATGTCCTCAAGAATTTAAGAACTGTAATCCAAACCATCTTCAAATCCAACTTTTTGAACAGCAATATAGATAAAATACTTATTGGCTGCTACACTTGATCTATGGGCTTTTATTAAAATTTCTCTGTGAAATTGCTATTAAGTAAAGACAGTTGGACATAGCTGGCCAAATGTATGGTGTTCTTTATAAACTTAATCAGTAAGAAGAACATAACATTAATTAAATCATATGATTTACAGCTTGGATTCAATCGATTAATGTTGAGTTGTTTTTTTTTTTTTTTTGAACAAATCATGGTTTACTTTCTGTGGGTGAGATTAAAAACCTTAGGAAAAATACAGGCTATTGCATTACCTGCTGGTCTTTTCATGGGCATTAATCCTTCCTGCTGTAAACACAGTTTGTCATAATAATTGGACTGAAAACTTTATAGCCATTTAAAATGTGAAAAATTGTTTTGTGGGTAATCTTTTATTTCTCTAATTAGATTCTTGCATACAATGGCTTGATACTTAAAAATGTTCAAATTCTTAACTCTTTTCGCAAGCTTTTCACAAGGCACCTGAATGCTCCCGAGTGATTAGTGTGTTTCAGGGGTTGGTTGTATTCTTGGGTGGTGCCAAATCCAGCACCTTTTCGAGTTGTGTACTTTTTGTCTTGTACGTTCTGAATCTCTGAATTCCCTTCTCCTCTGGAAGTCAGTGTGTTTTCAGAAGGAAAACTCATGATACCTGGTAAAGAAGTTTAAGATAATTGAATACTGTATTCTTCCTGTTCAGAAAATAAAGCATCAAAAACGTGAGGCTAACATCTGATAAACCCTTTCTCTCACACTAGGCTCCTTTTCATTCTCTGTGCTGTCTGGAAAAGTCATGGTTCGCGAAATCTATTTCATCACAGAAGACATGTCTATCAGGTATAGATTTCCAAGGGAATCGCTCTTCTAAATAGCCATTTCAAATACAGTAAACATGTATGTCTAAATAACACATGCCAAAATAGTTTTACAAACAAGTGAGAAATATATTTCTAAATGTTAAAAATAAACTGACTCTCTTGATGGTAGTATTGAGATATTCTAGGTACTTGTGTTGTTATCTTACTTGCTGTTTGAGCGTTATCAATTGAAAGTGAGTTCTGGATAAGATTCTAGTTGTTCTTAATACTGTGAAAGAAAACACTTCAGAGTTTGAATGAGAACTATTTTTCATTAATGTTTTTCACTCCTTCATGCTCCTGCTCTTAAATGTGGAAGATTAATTCGGGGAATAATTTGTTTCATGAACCACACACTGGTGAATAGTTTGTAATTTTGGTTCTTACTGTTTAATTTGGAAAGCCTTGAGAAGGCAATGGATATGGGATTTTATACAAGTTACAGCTAATGTAGTCATTTTATAATATTGTAGAGTATGCTTTGTGTTTTAATATTGCTTGTACATTACTGCCACTGTAGATCTCTGCACTGCATAAGGCAACATGTCATGCAGCTGCACATGGAATTTTTGGATTATGTCTCTTTAACTTCTGTTTTATGTAATTTATTTGATTTAGAATTCAAGATGGATTTATCATATTTCGCTGGTGGAAGATGTACAACCCTAAGCAGAAGCAGCATGGTAGGTTTCCCAAAAAGGTTTCAAAGTTTAAGTTTACAGGTAGGCTGCAGAAGAGTGCTTCCTTGGCACCGTTGGATGCTTGTAATGGATTTGTTAATATGTGCCTGAAGTGTATTGAATCATCAGAAGGTATGGGTTCTTTTAACTGGTTGGTCTGTGTTAGTAGGCTAGAACAACACAATGAAATAAATGCAGGATTCATTATCAGGGACTTGAACGCTTTTTAAGACAAACCATTAACCTTAATAGTAGCCTTCATTAGCTGTAGTCTAAGCATAACTGACCCTGTTTTGAAGTTTATAACTATGATAAATAGAGACTTCTTATGTTCTGAAAGTGATTTTAGTTTTCAGGTTTTAGTGTTGTGCTGTCAGTATTTTAGCAAAAGTGTAACAGTAGGGGATGTTCTTTACTATTTGATAACCCCATGTCTTGATGACATCTGCGGTCATAAAAGTGGAGAAGTGTGGAAAACTCATTTATTTTTTTTTTCTTTATCTATGGCTGAAGAAGGAGTACTAACACAGGATGTGAGAGATTAATTGTTTCTGTGGAAAACACTGAGAAAGCATAAGTAGCCTCGTGATGTGTGCTTAGTCATTTATAGGATTAGAATCTAATTGAATGGGTCTCAGGTCCTGCCTCTCTTGACTTTTGAAGCATCACAGCTCCATTGCTAATTCAAGGAGGTCCAGAAATGGCAACTGCCTAGAGTTGAGGAGGACACTAACTGAGAGGGTCGCTGAACTTTGGAGGCCTTTTTTTTTTTTTTTTTTCCCCGTCTCCCCTTTCAAAGTAGCCTCTGATGGTGTGAAGCCTCTTAGACTTGTCAGCAAGCTTGTACAGCTGTTGCTTTGTCAGTACCAATTCAACAGTGGTAGGCGAACAGTGTGGACATTATGCAGGTAAATATGAGACACTGTTCAGTATAGAGGTAAGAATTAGGAAGAGTTTCTCGCTTCTTTCTATTGAGGCACTACTAAGCCTCTGAGGTGACAGGGCGCAATTCAAGTTCTTTATGCCATAAGAAGGCTAATTCAAAAAGTGGAACCTAGTTTTCGAGTTAATTAGATTTTTTCCAACCACAGGTTATTATCCTACAGGTGTTTATAGAATTTTCTTCATCTGCTACTTAAAACGTATTTCTCTAATTTAACTTAATGCAATAAAGATAGTTATGTCTGTCTTTTATGGTGGTATTTTTGCTTGGCAGTATTGCAAGGATTTAACTTTTTCTGCTGGCATTTAAGACTGCATAATTAGCAGACAAATAATCCAAGTAACCAAGGAGGTCAGAGGTATATAGGTCTGACAACAAAGTGATGTGAATAAAATACTATGTTAAATAATTGCTTGTTTTCCTAGGAAGAACAAGTTTGCTCACTTTACATTTTGGTTATTTAGCAAAGATGCTTTCATTTTTAACCTGAAAGAAGAAATAAAATCTTCAATGGTTCTTAGTCTTTTGTACAGAAATATCTGTACCTGACCAAATTGTGAAAGCTGATGGCATATTGCATCTTAAAGATTTATGTTTTGTTTGAGGATTACTCCCCTACAACTGTCACACAGAATGATTGGAAAAATCTGTTGTAGCTAGACATTACTGATGCATACCTTTGTTTCAGATCCTTCATAAAACAAAAAACCAAAATAGAGCTGAGATTTTCCTATAGAAAAACACATAGGCTCAATCAGGGCTATTAACACTTCAAAAATCCCACTGGATTCTTATTAAAACACAAGACTTAAGTATTTTAGTATTTTTTGCTTGGAAAAAGTACATCTTATGAAGATTTTAGGTATAAGCAGTAATGATCGGTTTCCAAGTGTTGTGGGCTTTTTTGTTTTTAAGTTCTGTAACTGAAGTGCAGGCTGCTTCTAACAATAATGTGAAATGCAACAGGAATGGGATTTTGTTTTTCATAGTGGTGATAAACTTAAGGTCCTGTTAGTGTAGAAATAATGTGACCTCATTTTCTGAATGAATGTTTTTCTGAAAGGTATTTAGAGTATTAGAAAAGGGTGGTTTTTTTTGTGCACAAAAGGGAAGGCTGGTGAAGGTTCCTGAAATACTTGGAGGCCTTAATAAGGGAACTCCTGTTCAGGTCATTTCAGGTGTCCTTGACATCACCTCTTTGGTAAAGGGCTGTACTCAATAATCCAGTTTTCATTGGTAAGATTATCAATGTTAAGTGCCATTACAGTTGTACGCAAGGAGCTGAACTTCAGCATGGGGATATCTTAAATTTCCTAAAAGCTATCGTTGTCTGTTCAAATGTGTATGAAGCTTGTATGTGTCTCTGTCTCCCAAAGGAATGTGCTGAAGGTAGTGCAGACTCATAATATTCCCCGCTGAGCTTGAGGGAGGCAAGCGACTGGAAATTCATTCATATATTCAGAGGGTTTAGAACCAGAGAGGACTTCAGTGTTTGTCCAACCCAGCCATATAAATTGTAACGTTCTCCCTGGAAGGAAAATGTGATCTTTTTAAAAGATTGAGTGATGATGAGTACTTGACATGTTCAATAAGCTATGCCTAGGTAAAGTTGTTTTTAATGCTAGGAATTACATATTCGGTCTTGACATAACTCCAGCTTCCAGGTTGTTACTCCTGTTGGTAAGAAAAATCCAGTATTGTTCCACATGCCCATGGAATGTGTTCTTGTGTTATTGGGAATATTTTTCCCTGATAGCTGCTTTCTAATCACATGGCTTCTTGGCCTTCTTTCTGATGAGCTGAAGCATCTGGCAGTGCCTCCCAGTCACTGCTGACCTGCTGAGATCCACTGACTTTGCAAGTCTTACGAGGATACACAAAGAAATAAAAAACGGGGCGAGGAGCACGATCTGAGGTTTGTCAGAGAAGAGTGAAGATTATTATGAAAAAGAGGCCAAACTCAGAGAACGGTTCCTATACTCTGGTGTATGTACTTTACAAAATGCTTTTTGGTATACTCTTCCTGTTGAACTTCTGGTAGTCAACATGTGTTTATGATCAAAGGGTAGATTACAGTAACGGATGCTAGGAAGCACAGCTATCAAACCTTCGTGTCAGAAAAAGGAAAAATTAAAATGCTTTGCATTCTGAGGTTTTTCTTTTGGTGTTTGTTCTAAAGCTAAGAGAATTATTTTGTTACCGTTTTTCTGAAAAGATGAAAACTAACCTATCAAAATTGATGCATTGTCTGCCTGCCCTCTGGAATTTAAAGTAAATGTTGCTGTAAGATTTCAGTTGCACTGTAGTTTAAGGATGCTTCTCATAAAGGCTTAATCACAGTTCCTTGCATAAGAAAAGGTTTGAGCTACGGAAAGTTTGGATAATGATTACTGATAACCTGTGGTAAAGTTGCATTTCTTGATGTGGTTTTGAAAAGTTCCTCAGTCTGACCTAGCAAGTGCAATCTGTTTTTCATCATGGCACTATGTTTGTACTAGGCTTGTCATACCAATGTTGAAAGAACTTAATAGAAAAAGTCAAGTATGTGGGTTGTCTTCCTGCCTTGAGTGTTATGTTAAATCGCACTGGGACTTGAGAGTAGGTTTTGTACATACTTGAGAACTGAAAGTGGCTTAGGAACAAAAGTTGGAGGATTATGTTGTGAATAGGGCACACCCAGATGTCTTGGTTTAGGTGCCACAGCATATTACCGATTTTCATACTGTAAAACCATGTAGTGTAGTTTATGAGGTACTTGTTGAAGGGGGGAATACTGTTTTGAGAACAAATCCTCTACTTTTTATTGTCGGGAGTGACTTGTTTCTTGTTCTTGTTAGGTTCTATTTAGTGGGTATATTTATGTTGAATTGTTTGGGTAGGTGTGATACAAACATTTGAGTGAGTAATAATAAATAATATGTCTTGATTAAACTCTGTAGGAGGCAAATGTCAAAACCTTGGCTACGTTAGTCACCTTGATTCCAACAGGTGTCAATAAAACTTCAATGTTTTGCTGTCAATCTGGTAGTTACTTTTACATGACCTACAACGCTTCTCTGAATCATTTAACTAGATGACATTCACATCTGCTTGTCTCTTCCTTGCCTTTTTTTTTTTTGTTCTTTTCCAAAAGTGTCTTAGCAATCAAATTGGTGTGTGGAGGTCAGATCTTATTTTTGTTATTAGGAAAAAGAGATAGTTGTCTCTTTAAATCCCCTTTAAAGAAATGAATTATGACATATGATTTCATTTAGTTAATAAAGTCTAATGCTTGCCTCCAGGAATTGAAAAATTACATTTATTTGGGTTCTTAATGATACTGAGATCTCCCAGGTGAACAATTGTGTATCCCAATCACTGTCCATGCCCTCCTTTGCCCATATCTTAGTGATGCAAGTTAACATTACCAATGAACAGATTTGATAGTGCTTTTATGAAAACAGGAAGGAACTGAAACTGGCTCATTAACTTCTCTGTCTCCTGTTCAAGAAAACTGTGATGTCAGTGCTTTCTGGAGACTTATTGTACATTTACTTTTTTTTTATAACGATAGGGAAATTTCTGGTAATTTAGGTATGAGGGGTAAAAGGTGGGTTGCTGGTGTTGTATAGGTGTGTAACATCAGTGGACAGATGAGTTTGTTAGCAAAGAGGGTGCATTTAATAACGCAGGTGTGTCTCAACTTTGGCTCTTGAGCAGCTTCATTTCTTCTCTTGACCCTGACCACAACACCAGCAGTGTTCACTCTGACTTTTTAATTTCTAATGTTTGTGGGTAATGTTGCCTTCAGTTTATACCCCCTGAGTTACAGATTGGGGGCTGCTGTAATAACTATTGATGCTTCAACTTCCTAAAGTCTGTTTAACTTAGAAAGACCAGATCAGGTTTTAGAGCAGCTCGGGTCTCTTGAGTGAATGTGTAAGGGGCACTCTTTCAACTGGGTAATTAGGGGGAAATTGTGCGAGCTTCTTCCTCATATTAACCATATAATTAGGTCATACTATCTAAGGCAAAAGTATGTCAAAGTATGTCACAAACAGCTATGTATGCGATCAGCAGATGTTAAACTAGTTTTTAACTATCAGGGGGTCAAGCTGATATTACAGTTAAAATTTTAAATTTGTGAAAATGTTGACTGGTTGTGCAGAATGAGCATGCTTCTTGTTAGTTCTGCATATTAATGGTTTCTGTTTCTCTGTAAAGGAAAGCTTTTCCCCAGTTCAGGCCTGCTGTACCACAGAGCTTGGCTAGAAAACTATTTGGTTTTTGAGATTGAATTTGCCTCAAGTACTGGTATCTGTGCTAAGAAGCAGAAGTTAGCACCGAGGCTTCTGTGCTGTGCATCAAGAGGGGTTTTTGTTTGTTTGTTTTTTATATATGAGACTGAATAAACCTCATTTACCATTTTGTGCAGCTCCTGCCTGGATTTATTTTTGGATTGTGACCTAAGGGTGAAATGCCTTTCAGATTTTATATTTTGTGTCCAACCATCTTATTTGCCAGGTTTTACTGATTTGCTTGGAACAGTGTAATTATCTTGTGGAATTTTTTACTGCTTTTTAATATGTACTTCGGTGGCTGTTCACTGCCGTGTAGACTGTTTTTGTAAAATGTGCATATTTGAAAAACTGTAAATATTGCAAGAGAGTGTTGGAATAGAACTAGAAACTCTTTTCCTACTCTTTGTTTAGATCCAAAGGCAGAAACACGACTGTATATTACGGTGAATGACTTTGAATTTCATGTGTACAACCGTTCTAAGCTTTATGGACAACTTCAGGAACTGTTTGGCTTGGATCCTACAATAATTCCAGCAAAAAAAGATGATGAAAAAGCACAAGTAAATGGGAGGCAGAGAACACATACCAATCTTGAAAGGTAAATTATTATTCATTTTGCTATTTTGTTGAGGCTTTGTTCTGCAAAGTGCTGAACTAATTGGGTAATGTTTTGTTAACATATGCTCTGGAGGCCAAATGGTTGAAGCACAGCTGAGAGAGAAATTGCACTGATGAGCCTGACAGTCTAAATCTTTCCTTTTCTCAGACTTCCTACCATAATCATTAAAAAAAACAACCAAACAAACCAAACGATCCTTGTTTAATGATCAGAGACAGGTTGAAAAATCTGTTTGAAGTATGATATGAAAAGGGAGCATGTGTTGAAGAGGATTGCGGTTGCAGAATAATAATGGTGTTGCTCAGTAGAAGTAACAGCTGCTCAAGGCATTGAATAGACAAAATGTGAGGATCTCTATGGTGTTGGGAGGACTTACTGGTTTTTGAGCTCTAAACTGGGGCTGATTTCACAAGTCTTTTTAGATGTGTTTGTGTATAGCTACATAAACTTTCTTTTCTTACTCCTTTTTTGGGGGTACCCCAGAAAACATGGTGAGGGTCTATAAGGATTTCTTCTACATGGCTTATGCATAGTGGAGTCAGGTGTTCAACACTAAGCCTCTCCTTGGGCAGAATCACACCAGACTGATTTATTGACAGGAACAGAGAGGATCTAATGAGACTTGAGTCCTTCCACTGCTGCTGGCCAGGCCAGTATGTGCTACTAAATTACACAGCTGCAGGATGCTGTGGCAATCTTGAGTTTGGGTAAGGGCTATGCCTCTGAGCCAGTCTGTTCACGTTTTCATCTTACGCCCTTATTGATAGGTGCAGGAAGGACTTCTGCCTTTGGGGAGGGTGTGCCATGGGAAATGAAAAATCCCACATCTAAGCAGGAATATTTAGAACAGACCAAGTTCCCCAGAGGAAGATTTATTTAACTATTGCTCTGTGTTAACTATGGCGTTCTTGTTTTCTACCTGCATCGGCTCAGTATACCAGCACCCAAGGTGTAGCTGTGTATGCTTCCTGCTGTTCTTCCAGGCTCTGGAGGAGACTGCAGTAGCCTGCTAGCAGGTCCCTTACAGGAGGCACCCCTGTGGGAAGGAGTGTGCCCCGAGATCTGTGCACCCGTAGAGGAAAAGGTTGGTTAGTTCTTCTGCAGAAAAGACAATAATAAACCCCATTTTTTCCCCATAGCGTTAAAGTAAAAACAGAATCTCAAGACCCTTCTTCTTCATGGAGATCGCTTATTCCAGTCATTAAAGTCAATGTGAGCACGGTAAGTGAAAAGACCCTGATAATGAAAACACATGCTTAAAGGTCCAGCTTACCATTAATTTTTTCTTATCTGTTCTTTTGAGATTTTGTTCTCCTTCATGCTTTAAAAAAGTTTTAAAATGACACTATCAGCATTTCCCTGACACAGTCACAAATCCTGCTGGTCCTGTTGGAAACATGGTTATGTTCTCTGTTGTGGAAAATACTTGTGTCTTAGACTTGTAATGACTTCAAGAATATCACCAATTAATTAAGCGAGGTAATGGGTGTTGTACAATGTGGTGTGTTGGGTTTTTGGGAGGTGGTTAGGTTGGTTTTTTTCTTTTTTTTCTTTTCTTCCCTGCATCTTTTAATAGGGATATTTGGACACATTCCTTAAAAGTTGATGTTGCCTCCCAAAAAACCCAGGAAAACTACTAATGAGTTGATAGGAGATAGAATATTGAGAGTTTAATGTACAAGGTAGTATTTTTAGATATGCACAGAATACGGCCAGGATTTTTGTCCATGGTCTTTATTTGCAGGTGGCTGCTTAAGTTGCATTCTTGTAGGTAAATTAGATACGTATGTGTATATATATAAAGAGCGGTGTATAATGAGTAAATTGGGTTTTCTTTTTGATTTAGGGTCGCTTGGCATTTGGGAATCACTATCAGCCACAAACACTTTGTATTAACTTTGATGATGCTTTTTTGACATATACCACAAAACCACCTTCGAGCCACCTTGATCAGTTTATGCACATTGTGAAAGGAAAATTGGAAAATGTTAGAGTCATGCTGGTTCCAAGTCCAAGATATGTTGGTCTTCAAAATGATGAGTAAGTTTTGGGTATTTTTGTTTCCCTATTATTTTATTTATTACTTTAAGAGAACAAAGAGAAGAATGTTGGTTGTGTCTCTGTGACTTTATTTTTCTTAGTGTGTTTAGACAGTTGGCATTTTTACCATTCTGAAGGTTTAAAATGTTGGATCTTTGAAACTCTTTTATTTATGGAGAAAAGTACTGGTATTCTATCTCATTGTAGATTTTTTTTTTGTATGTTCTGTTAATATCCTGCATTCAACTATTATTTTCCTTCACTCAGGTACTATATCTGTACGCAGGCTTCAATGGCACTAAATTTCTAGGATAAACCTAAGGTCTAGGCTGTTGACTTCTGTTTTGCATATGGTTTGGAAAAATTACTTAAAAAGAATGGGCAAAAGCTGTGCAATGCTTGCTGTAGTAGAAAACATGTTATCTTCAGAAGACAGATTGATCCTTTTACCTCTGTGTATTCCGCATAAGTGGCGTTGTGCAGCTTTAACAAACCGAATGATAATAAGTCAAACAAAAGAAAGGGCAATTGCATGAAGTGATTGGACACTAGGATTCTTGTTTTATTACACTTTAACCAGCAAGACGTTTAGGTGCATACTATATTAACATCCCTGGTTGATCTGGTACGAACATCATAGCCAGAATTTTCTGCATTATCTTATTTAATATTTACAAAGTTATGTATTCAACAGATAATTTGGACCAAACTGCTAAATTTCAAAGTCTTTCACAGGTGTTATTCACTTAACAAAAAATAACGTATACTATCCTTGGACAATTGCATGTATAAGTTCCTGTAAAATGATGATACCTATTTTATACCTCCTAAGCAGCAATATCCAGAGAATGAATTATGATGTTTGGAAATAAACTGTACGTCATTTGGCTGTCCCTTAATTGGCTTTGTATCAGCCATATACTGCCATCTATAATATGCCTGTAGTTTTCAAAGAATATTCTGTGAGTGTGTACAGAATCTTACTCTTCCAACATGACGACAAAGGAAATTTCTCCAACTAATATTGAAAACAAACAAGATTAAAACAAAATAGGATTAAGATACTCAAACTATTAGCGTTTTCTCCAGCTTCCGCTAAGTATATTCTTTTTATGCTGTTACCATCCCTGCAGCTCCTGATGGCTGAAGGATGGCATGTGTGCAGAAAACGTGCCCTGATTTACTGGATGGATTCAACAAATGACCCAGTTCACTGGAAATGGGGAATGTTTGAATCTTTAGAGCCTGCCCTCTTATGCTTCTTTGGCTTAAAAATTAAGCTGGGTGTCTTAACTTTCAGAAATTCCTGCAGGCAATGCATGTATAAAAATCAGCTAAGTGACTTGATGAAATATTTAACAGACTGACTAATCGATACAAACATCAAAAACCCACCTTGAAAACTGTCATATTACATTACAAACAGACATCTCAACGCCTCCGTCACTTCTTGCAAATAAATCCTCCAAAACCCAAGGGAAAAAAAATTGGTGGTAGGAAAAGCAGATCAAAGCAGAACAAGTATGGAGAGCAGTCACTAAGTCAGCAGGCCCAAAGTGTAAGTTTAGGATGGATATTAGGCAATACTTCTAAATGATGATGATAATCTCATTGTCATTCATAGCCATTAACTAATTTGTTTGCAAATGGCCTGTGGTGGGGTTTCTAAGGTTCTATCATCTCCATCAGCTAAGTCTGGCAAGGTGTAACTATTCTTGCTGAGGGTGGATTAGGTGACCTCAGAGGTAGTTTCATGTGCTCTTTAAACTGAGAGTACAGCTTAAAGCAGCAGTACTGTTGTCTTTTTTGAATGGCTGTGCAGGGAACACTGGTCATGGAATTCATCCCTCTTACAATAAAGATATGTTGGTCTTAAATCTAAATCTGTTCTACTACTGGGTTCAGCACCTGTCGGTTATCACCTAACCTATGAGCATCCTAGGGCTGGCATAAGGAGAGAGTGCTTTTCTTGGCTGCTGTGTTGTTTGCTATAGCCTGTGGTGCTTTGATAATGTCAAACTATAGGCTCCTCAGTCATCTACTGTATATTTTCGTATTCTTCTCAAAAGGGAATAAAAAAACCTAGTGACAAGAGATGACCATACAGAAGAGAACTTTCCTCTTTGTGGAAAAATCCCACACTGAATAGGCAAAAAGCTTTCTGCAAGTGTAGTGAGTTCAGAGAGATCAGAACAAGAGCATGAAAGAGAAGTGTTTAATGGAACACGCAGACATGGTAAAGATGTACGCTAAAAGAATTGGTTGAAAAGGACTGAGGAGAGTGTTTTCTACCATGTGGGGTTTTGGTGGTGGTGTGTGTGGTTTTTTTTTTTTTTTTTTCTTCCTCCCCACTTCCATTTAGTGTAAGACCTCGTAGCTTTCCTCCAGAAAGTGGAGCACGGCAAAGGTGATGGGGGTGACATGGCAGTGGCTGTTTGACAGGAGGAATTGGCCAAATTGGCCATTCTGTCAGCTCCTAAAGCTTTCCCGTAGATATTTCCTACAGCTAAATGACAGTTTCTGTTAGGCTGCAGAGTTAAGTCAAATTATCCATCTTGAAGATGACTTAACTCAAAAACTATTTGTAGTTCTTTTTAAGAGAGTGGTTTAGATTAAAGCAAAATTACTAATTATTCTAGGTCAATATATGTAAACGCTGTTAGGAAGGCAGAAGTAAACAATTGTTAAATCTGCCCTATGCATTCATACTTTATAGTAATTTTTATTAAAACAGTAATGTAGCTTCTCCACTGTATTTCTACAGGCTTAGGTAAATCTGTATATAGTGTTTCAAGACCTATGCACTCCATGCTGTCGGAAAGGGGAATGCGCTTCATGTGAAAGGGGTATAGTATTCTGTATTTCACGGAACAAAACATACACCAGATCGAGCAGCAGGGAGGAGGTACAGTTTGCCATGACAGACCGGCCACCTCGTGCTGCGGCTGGCTGACCTTCACGGTGAAATGCGGAGCTGCTGAAATGAGGGGCAGCCTTTGCCTGACAATGTGCCCCACTGAGGGCATAGTCAGGCAATGGCAAATGATTGTGTTGGCCAAAGAAGTTACTGCTGGGCTCCTAAGTTTTGCAGCTGGTTATGTTGTGAGCTTCCCCTCTCTTGCATTACAAAGCAGAGGGGCTTCCTCTGAGCCCCAGTTGGTGGTATGCTCAGCCTGAGAGGCTGGAGTTAGTAACTCTCACTGCTATGCCACGGTGTGTTCCAGCCTTGCTGACTCGCCTGTGCCTGTTGAGGAGTTCGAGCAGAATAAACTGAGCTCTTCCCATGAACTACTATTTATGTATCTCTAAAAGCTTGCCTTCCCATTTCTATTCCTGAGCCAATAAACAATTTTTTTTCACATCTTACTCTGCATCTTATTGGGGAGGCCAGTTCAGTTTTGGACAGAAAAAAGAAATAATTGGAAAATTGGGAGTGAATAGAAAGTATTTAATCTTTCACTTCTGTCGTTAGTCTCAAAGTAAAATTGATTTTAAGGTTCCTGCTCTGTGGCTTTTGAAGAACTTCTGGCAGTAAATGGAATCTGAATCTACTATTTTTCAAGCTTTCCTGCATTTGAGCTGTGGCAATGTGGGCAGTGTGCTTCTAACAGGTCACAGTCTTAGGCCATCAGTTTCTGTCATTGGAATTTGCTTTTTTTTTTTAAGAGGTGACAATTACAAAAGTGGCTGAAAAGTGGCAAAAATGTCCTTTGCAGTAGAAATATAATTTCCACATTATAATATTATTACTACTATAAAATGTAATTGTATGATTGTATGTAAATTAACATGTAATAACACTGTAAGAAAGGGATTGTAATATACCAATATAATAGTGTTAGAAGTGTTTCATATATTAGTTTTATCACTTAGATCCTTTTATATTGAGGGAAATGTTATTAAAGAAGAACAGCCTTTTTTTTTTTTTTTTTTAAAAAAAAAAAAAAGCCAAAACCCGAATGGTCTAATTACTGAAGATGTCCCTTTGGTTTAGAGTGCTATTTTAGTAAGAAAACAATTAGGAGGTGAAAGAATGATATAGGACAAGGAGAAAGGAACTCTCGGTGGAAAGGAACGTTAAAAGTAAAACTTTGGTAGTTGGTTGTGGTTTATAATAACTGAGAAGTGTCTTTGTGGAGAGGAACTTGGTATCTTCATGCTTGAGTTAACTAAACTTCTAAATTACTTTATGTAGTAATAGTAATAAGAACATAATCATCAAGTATTTTTTGCAAGTCCGGGTAGACAGGTAGACACTTCAAATTTAGCGTACAAACAGCTGCATTTTGACAGACTGTGGTGTGGCCCACGCACTTCTGTCTCTTCTGTCCACCCTTCTGGTAACGTGACAAGACTGATGCCTGGTAGATAAAGTAGGCTGTGGCTCTTGCAGGCAGCCTGCAGTCAGGCTGCTGGCAAGACCAGTATAGATGCATGGAGCTGGTGTCTTGGGATCGCATCGAACTGGAGTCTTGCCCACAAAAATCTTCCTGGTCAGGAACTGCATACGCTGTATCTCCACCGTTGGCTTGCTTGATACAGATAGCAGTTTTAATGATGATTCCATGGTTAAATATGTACTACTTACAAGGTACAAGTGAGCCTGACCTACGTCATCTCTTCCATTATGCTTAATATGTTGCATTTAAAATTACTTGAATTCATAAAGATTTATCTCATTTTTTTTTTAATCTTTACCTTTGCACTTTTTTCTGTTATAGACCACCGAGGCTAATGGGTGAAGGTTTTGTTGTCATGCAGTCCAATGATGTTGATATCTATTACTATATGGATGAACCAGGTACCTTTTGCTAAATACAAAAAAAAATGTTAAGGGATTTGAAGGCTATTTTTTTTATTTCTCTGGACTTCTTGACAATTTTTTCTTTTTTTATTTTGTTTTTTGCAAGGTGAAAATTCTCGATGCTGAAAGAGTTAATGTAGCATTTTGGAGTTAATAAAAGCATTCATACATACGCTTATGAATGCTTTTAAGTTCATAAGTAATTTTTTCTGCAAATGAAAAAAATTTCCACTGAAACAAATGAGCAGTGCTTCAGAAAATTCTGAGAAGTTTTGGTCATATTCTTGCCCTTCCCCTGGGAGTCCACATTGAGTTGTGGCTTGATATTTACGTACTGTAGCGGTCTCAAATAAAACTAACATCAGGACAGTTTAATTGTCTTGTGCTTAGCAAACATTTTTTCATGCTAATTCGAAGCAGCTTCCTTTAATAATCTGTTTATTATATTATGTAATATAGGTCTTGTGCCAGAGGAGACAGAGGAAAGTAATGACGGAGAAGCAAACAATGAAGACAGCAAATTACAGGATCTGCCACCATGTTGGGGTTTGGACATTGTTTGTGGAAAAGGAACAGACTTCAACTATGGACCTTGGGCTGATAGACAGAGGTATTACCATGACTTACATCTTTAGTTTTAATCTTTAATATCTATTACTATTGAGAAAGCTTTTTAAGTTTCCAGTGTGTGACTGCTCAGGCTTTTTTTGTATGGGGTGGACTAGACAGTCTAAAGGAAGAGTCCTGCCACATGGTTTAAGACTAGTAAATTCATTGCTTTTATCTTGTTGGCCTTCTAAAGTTAGGATCCCTCAGGGAATTTTTATTATTAAATTAATAAATTATGTTCCCTTTTTTTGTGAAGAAAGTCGTTTTACTATTTATCAAGTGTTACATACCCAAGGGCTTAACCTTTGGTTACCTTTAGACTTGTCAAGCTCGTGTTAGCTCATGGATGGGAAAACACTGCATATCGATGAGAAAATGTTATGGAAGTACAAATCTGGCTATAAAAACAATTAGGGGGACATCATTTATCCCTTAGGAGAATCAACTGCTTGATACGGTTTCCAAAGTATTTATTATCCAGATATTTTGGTGACAAATTATTAGGCCAGAGCTCTACTGCTGTTCTTCACTTAGCCCTCGATGTTTTGCGCATGAGTATTTCTGGTGGGGACAATAGGATTGTTCAGAGAGTAAAGGCCTATTAAGTAAAAGTGACATAATCGGTGCTTTCCCTCTTTTCCCTTATTAATTACAGATTGATACTTCTCTTGGCCTCCATTAATTCTCCTGTGAAACTATTGTGATTAACTGTCTCTTAGGAAACGTGAGGATGGCAGACCAAAGAGTAGTCGTTAGATATGACAGTATCTTAGAGAATTTAAGAGAAAATGCCAATTTCCAGAATGGTGCTTTGCTAGAAACATGAAGTCAGTGAATCTTTAATGATAATTTTAATAATACCAAGAAAGCTCACTCTATGATGGTATGCTCTTTATAATTTTAACTGGCTCGGCAGAAGGCAGTTTGGTGCCCATGCAGAGTGCGTAGAGTTCATAGATATGTTCCTGGGAACACTTTTGCTTTGTGCCATGGATAGAAGATAGAATTTTGGAAAGTCTCTGAACACTTTAGAAGCACAGTAAGTGCCTGAACATTTTAGCAACATAGATCTCTAGGAGTTCTGTGGACTTTGTACTCTCAATTTGTATAAGGGCTTCTACAAACATTGATCTTTAATACAGCATGCAATAAAATCTTGGGTTTCCTCCAGATTTTGTGTGGTATTTGTGGGGGTTTTGTTGGTAGGGTTTTTTGGCTTGGTGCTTTTGGTTGGCTGTGGGGGGTGTTTTGTTGTGCATTTTTGTGTGTGGGGTTTGTTTTTTTTTTTTAACTTTTAAGCTGCTATAGTGGTCAGGTCCTGGGTGGAGGAAACTACTACCCCTCTTAAAGACTGATTTCCACCCCCTTGAGACCTATATAAGCTATGCTGTCTGTGCTTCATAGCTGCAGCTTTCCTTTCATGTAGTTGTATGTTCAAATATGTGTCTGCAGAAATGTAGGCTTCATTTTATTCCTATTCTGAGGTCCTGAAGTTTTGTGGGGGTTTTTTTGTGGTGTGGTTTTTTTTTGGTTTTTTTTGTTTTTTTTTTTTTTTTATTTCTGGGCATGACATCAATTATTTATGCACAAACCAAAGTATAAACAGATTACTTCCTGCTGTGCTTTTGTAGCAAATTTGTAAACCAAAGATTAGGAATAAGAAGAAAAACAGTTTATTTGTCATCTGAATTAAAATATTTTTGTTCTAAATAATTTATGGTCTGTCCATTTATGGCTTTTATCAAAAAGTTACTTCTTGTAATTGAAACTTTTGGAGATTTCAGTAATGAGTTGGAAGGCTTCTGTGATGAGGACTTTAAAAAACCATTTTCTTATAATACCCAGCGGTTGTCTGAAGACTTGGATAACTTGAAAATATTTAAGCAAACCAAAAAGATACATAAATATATATAAGTTTATATATTTCTTCTGTGAATAAAAAGAAAAAAAATTTTTTTTTCTTCCCTCCCCACTAGGGATTGCTTGTGGAAGTTTTTCTTCCCACCAGACTACCAAGTTATGAAAGTCTCAGAAATTGCTCAGCCTGGGAAACCACGACAGATTCTTGCTTTTGAACTGCGGATGAATATTATTGCAGATGCCACCATTGATTTGCTTTTTACCAAAAATAGGGTAAATGATGAAAACTTATCTAGAAAGTAACTTGTCTACTGTGATTATATTGTGCTTTTTCGTTGTACGTATTTTTACTTGTCTCAGCTGTTTACTACAGAACTGTGGTTTTAAAAGCTAGGTGATTTTTGTTTTAGCCTTCCATAATTATGAACAAACCCTTCAAAGAGAAATATTGGCTGAGAGGCAGTGATATTTGTTGGCTTATTTTAAGTTTCTTTTAAGCCTTAAAGCTACATCTTAAAGCATGCCAGCTCCTACAATCTTGGGAATTCATGATCTGGACATTTCCTGTGCAGTCTTCCATTACGATGAAGCTCACCATGATGAAAAGATGATTTCTTCTGATATTGGATTAATATCTAATGCTATTGGAGAGATGATAGTGGGATGTACAAAAGATGCATGTGTAGGGGTTTGGGTTTTTCTTTCCCCTGTTGCTACTCTTACAAATCGGATATAGTGTGACTTCACTGTACACCCCTTTTCTTTTCTTTTTTTTTTTATTTTTTTGTGCCGGAAAGGGTTAGAAAGTGCAGTGTTAGAAATATATATTCATCTGCCCTCTCAGGCTTTGGATCTGAATATCTTGCGCTGTTTCTGTTAATGGACCTAAGTCAGCATTTGTTGAGCCTAAAAATAGTGTTATTTGGTATCAGTGCATATAAATAGCTCATTAGTAATTTTTCTGAAGGCAAGAAAGACTTCAGTCATCGGGTGCCTTAATCCAAGTGTGGATAATGGTAGCCAGAGGCATAAAGTACACTGGTTGATGTGGTGAGCCTGGAAATAATGTTTGGACTTTTTTCTTTTCTTGCAATACAGGAAACTAATGCTGTACATGTAAATGTTGGTGCAGGATCATATTTGGAAATAAATATTCCCATGACAGTAGGTGAAAATGGTGAGTTAAGGCTAAGTGTGATTTGTTTTTCTAATGTTTTTCCTGAACGTTTTTACCTTAATTCCTATGTGTATGAATGTCTTGTAATGTTTTTCCTTTGTGACTGAGATATATATTCTTGCTTAAAGGAACAAAAAGTATTTCTTTGTACATTTCATTGCAAGATATTAGAGCATTTATGTATTTAAATAGTTAAGTTACCTCCCTGTTTTGTTTGGGTTAAGAAACAAATTCCTTAATTACTAGGCAGTGCATCATTTAACTCCGTGTGTATTGAAGCAGATTACGGACACCTCGTCAACTCAAAGCAGGAAGAATTCTGTGGTAGGATTAGCGTAGTAGTTGAATCATGCTGAGAAATGTGTTATGAAAACTAATTTAATAGTAGTTTATTTAAACAGAACAAACCCCCAAATCCAAGGTGGAGATAAATGTAAAGCTATGGGTATGTCCCTTGCACTTAATCATCTTGTTGGCTGGTTTGAAGGCCTTTGCTGATTTTGATTCTTTCTGGCATCTTTGTTTTATTCTGCAACTTAGAACAGAACCTGAGCATTTCCAGATCTAGCAAGAAGACTTTTGTCATCCCTGCTACATGAAGGCAGAACATGTTAAGCTCTTCATTGACAAACAGTAGAGGCCAGAATTGTTATAGTACTAATTTCCATCATGATGTTTGATTGTTAGTGGACTGCTGAAATCACTGGTGAAAATTATTTAAATATTTGTGTAACTCTTACGTCTGAATGATTGTTTTATATCTTTTGTTTGCTAGGCTATTCACCTACAATTAAAGGGCAGCTTCTACACGTTGATGCCACCAGCAGTATGCAGTACCGGACTCTCTTAGAAGCTGAAATGTTAGCTGTAAGTTTGCATTAATAAGCACAAAGCTTCAGGCTCTAGACGATTTCTTAATAAAGAACATATTTGTTTTTCTGTGGAGCATTTCTTTAGGTTCTTAAACAATACAGAAATATGCCTTTGAATGTCATTTGCAAGACCTTAATATGTAAGGAACTTACGTATACACACATAACTGTGTGTGTGTAACCTTCAGCCAGTTACTTAATTTATATACCAAGCTGTATGTGTTTTGAAAGCAGTGGGAGGGATTGGAGTACCATTACCAATCTTGCCTTGTTTACTATGTATTCATATTTTCGTATAGGCTTTACTTTAATAAATGATTACACTTGCTAGCTGTGTGACAGAATGTGTGCCTAAGTGCTTAAGTGTACTTGAGAGTGCTTAAACTACTTGAGATAGATTTAATAATGCATTATTCTTCTGTTTGCCTAGTATTTCACTTTTGCAATACTGTAATTCTGTAGATTACCTTTCTCACTGGTTTTCAAATGACCTTATTAAAGTGATATTTTTAATGTTTAAATTTGAGCATCAGAACAATGGTTGAAAAATATTATTGTCTGAGGGATTTTATCTTTAGTGTATTGTGAAAAGAGATGCTTTTAATAAACACTTTGCTTTATAAATTGCTTGGTATGTCTACTGCAACAGATGTATCAGAGGTTCATAGTATACCTTTCCAAATAAATGAATACACTAACACTTGACCTTCAAACACAGAAAGAGAGAGAGATTAAATTATTAAGGAACTGGAGAGGCCTTCTGTTCATCCCAGCAGGAAAACAGTTTTAATTATTCAGCAGAGTACATATGTGAAAACTGCTGAGCTACAGGGTCAAACCTTGTCATCTTTTCAAGTAATTCTGATGCTTTAATATTTTGTTCACAGTTTCATATTAATGCCAGCTATCCTCGGATATGGAACATGCCACAGACATGGCAATGCGAACTTGAGGTTTATAAAGCAACCTATCATTTTATCTTTGCTCAGAAAAGCTTCTTTACAGGTAACTTCTTTACTAAATAAACTACATATAAAATTAAATATTCTTTCTCTAGAATTTCTTATCAAATTTTGCGGAGGTGTACAAGGTCAGGTACTCTGATTTCACATATTTAGGACAACAAATTGTTTCTGAGGACGAAGTTCCTGATTTCCAAAGTTTCTGAGTTCCAAAGTTATTCTGTTGTCTGTAAGTGTCTAAGTACACAATATTCTTGTATTTGAGTAGGGGTATCAAATAATTTAATTTTCTAACATCTAAACTAAATTTGATCTGCAGTTATGTTAAGTGATCTTAAATTTCAGTTTAATTTATTTCTATCAGAGTTTCTGATTTGTTTAAAATTTGTCACCTAGAATGTTTTCTGTGACATCTCTCTCTTTGGCTGACTGATTTTCAACTACTTGGACTTTAGGTTGTGTCCCTGTGGCTGACAGATGATGAGAGAAAGGAATTTGCTCCTTAGGATTTTTGGCTGTGAGGAAGAATACATGCGCACAAGGCAATACAGTGTGATACAGCATCACCAAACTGTTGCTGAAGGTTCCAGCTGCAGTAATGGAAAGAATATAGCCCCATCAATGTGTCACTGCCTGGGCTAATTAGCCCTGCTGGGAGGAAGGATTAATTAGTGCAGGCATAGTGCCATGCTAATAAAGTTATCCTCCTAGTGAGGCTGGAGCTCTGTATAGTGCTGCAGTACGTAGCACAGTCTACCAGTCTGTTGAGAGCAAACATGAACTTCTACAACAACACTGGTTTGCTGCATTAGAAAATATTACTTATGTACACAATCAGAGTATCAGAGTGGAAAATCAAAGGAAAGGAGTTGGTAGTTCAGTGTTTTTAGCTCAATGTGTAACTTTGCTACTGAACAAAACTAAACTAGAAAACTTAATTAAACCTGTGGCTTTCCGACTTAAAAAACAGGTGGTAAATGGGAGATGGATTCACAGCAAGTGTTTGTGGAATATCTGCCTGAGAAATGGATACTGTGTATTGTTCTCCTCATTTTCCTTTTTCTGTAAAGGGGCAAACAGTTAAGATTCACAATGTATGAAAAGCCAAAAACTTAAAAGAAGAAATCTCTCACTTGATTGCTACTAACTTGTGTTTTATTACTTTATGTGGGTTTAGATTTGATCCAAGACTGGTCCAGTGATAGCGCACCCGATATTTTTTCATTTGTTCCTTATATGTGGAACTTCAAAATCATGTTTCATCAATTTGAAATGATTTGGGCAGCAAATCAACACAACTGGATTGACTGTTCCACCAAACAACAAGAAAATGGTGAGATTTTTTTTTATTTGGAAGAAGAGTACATACTACAAAAAATATGTGCAAAATATAGAGTATATATAAAGAGAAAGTACAAGAATTACAAAATTTTTATGAGAAAAATGTGTGTTCAGTGATAACTATCCATTTTGCTACTGTTGATATGCATAAACCATCCTAAAACTGTTTTAAGTTCTAACTTCCTTAGTACAAATGCATACCTTTTTTGAGGGAGAGAACAGTTCTAGAGCATGTTTTAGGATTCATTTTTCAAGACCCTTTGAATCTTTGATTTAGTGCGACAGTTTGCAGAGAGCAACCATGAGGTCTTGACATCTGTTCAGTAAGCTAACTTAAAATACTCACTCAGGAATACATTTTTTAAGTAATGTTGGAAAAATACCATTTGAACTCCATATAACTAGAAATGTCTGTTTCCCGTTCATCTCGGAAGAGGAGATAAAGCTGCTAATTCTAGACAAAACTAAGAGGTACATTTGAGAAAGCCAAAGAAAATGGTGAGAGTGCAGTTTGGTTTATATGTGCAGTTTGGTTTATATGAGTTTCAGAATTCTATGCTGTAGCAGAATCTTATAATTTCAACATAGAGAAAGAGGATGGTGGATTAAAATTAAGAAATTGTGTTGTAATTAAACCCAAGGCTCACTACTTCATCAGAAGCCTGAAGAACTTTCAATATGTGTTTTCTTGTCCAAAAACTGGTGTGTGAAGCAATATAGAAAGTCGTAAGATATTAGTTACAGTTGGTTTTATTGGCTGCTTGCAATTCCATTGTGCTAAGTACAGTGCCTTTCTAAAAAGGACAAGCTGTAGGGAGTACATACTTTCGGAATAATTTAGTACGATGTACTCTAAATACGTAGTCGTTAAAATGGCAATTTCCAATGTCATGAGATCTTGAATATGTTTTCATTATTTTTACCTGTATATTTGATAATCTGTCTAATAAAACTGGAGTAATTTTGATAGATTTTTTGTTTGTTTGTTTTTCCTCTTCTCTCCCAGTTTATCTAGCAGCTTGTGGAGAAACATTGAACATTGTTTTCTCGCTACCTTTCACTGACTTTGTTCCAACCACATGCAATACTAGATTCTCTTTAAGGGTAAGTTCTTCCCCCCTCGTCCTTTTGTCTTCTAAATGTGCGATAGTTTCCCTACCTTTTTCAGTCAGGAAATTTTGAATAAACTCTTTTCTGAAAGAAAAATAGCCTCTTTCACTTCCAGTTCATAGAATTTTTCTTTAAGTAACCCAGAGGTAAATAGTTTCTGTTGCTTGTAAGAAGCATTCAATCATAGTCTGTTTTAAGTTGTTTTTTATATATATATATATACACACACACACAAATATATTTAAAAATCATATACGCATGTGCTTCATACATATATACACACTTTTAGTATGTATATTTACTATATATACTTAAACTGTGTGTGTCTATGTATGTATTACACTTGGAAGTGTGTTCCCATTTGTTTAGAAAATGTGAAAATCTAATGTATGTTCAAAGATAAAAATCAAATACTGGAATGGGTACCCCCAAACCATTTTGGAAAGCTTCCAGATTTTTAAAGAGTTTCTGTAGAATAAGTAATGATGATAAAGTGTTTTTAACAGACACAGCTAATACTCTGAAAGACTGTTCTACTTGTCTTTCCTAAAATAGAAGCAGTCTGCTGCTACTAAAAATAAAAAACTAGTTGACAGTGATGTTGGTAATTTTTTTATAATTTGATAGCAAAGAAAGCAATGTTTTATCTAATTTTTTAAAAAAAGTATGATTTAGTTGAGGTGTAGGGTAGCCTTGGGCCAGTCACTTAACTTTTGCAGTATGGCCTGAACAACAGAATAACAGGAATCGTTAAAAGCCATGCCCCTGTGTTTTACAGATTGCTATGGTGTGTTGTTATGTTCAAGTTACTGGACTTGTAACTGTTCAGAACTACCGAGCTCTTGGGATTGGACTAGAAATTGGTGGGAACTGGGTCAGCAATCACATGTGAAAATTGAGATTTCTTGCCTCACTTTGCCCATAAAGTGAAGATGATGGCACATACGAACATGCGAATAATATGAACATTATGTGAATGTAAACTAACTTTTCTGTTACTAATGTTTGTTTTTAGGGAGAAGATGTCGATCTTCATTTGTATCTACCAGATTGTCATCCTAGTAAATATTCCCTTTTTATGTTGGTGAAAGATTGTCAGCCTAATAAAATAAGTCCTGAATCTTGTATTTCTGCCGAATGTCAAAGTGGTCAGAAAACAGGGAAACCCAAATGGAGGAACATTACTCAAGAAGAGTGAGTTTTATTGTGATATGTATTTATGTCTTTGTTTTGGCTCTTCATATTTACTTACTTTATGATGAAAGTGATCTCACATGTTAATGGAAAATATTTAATGAAACTATTGTACTTCAAATAAAAGTATGATGTTTCTTTCTGAAAGGGCTGGATGGGTTGAATGTTGGACAGTCCCAAGCGTTGTGTTTACAATTGACTATTCATGGCACCCCATTTATCCTCAAAAGGCAGATGAGCAGTTGAAACAATCCCGTAAGTGTCATTACTTTTTTCTTGTTAGCATGTTTCATTTCGGGAATTGCTGTGACTTTGTTGGATCAAAGTGCTTGAATTTGCAGAAATGAATTTTGAACTGAACTACTATTTTATGTCACATGGGAGAATACGCATCTTTAGAATGCACCAGCTTTGTTTTAAAAACTGACAATGTCTCGTGATTAAAAAACTTCAGAAAGTGTCCCAGTTCCCTGTATAAAAAGAGGATACTGTCTGTAGTTCATTCCTCCTTGTCCTTAACAAAGTGTATCTCTTAAATGGGTTGTTGCGTAACATAAAATATCACTTGGAGTATTAAATATGAAGTACAGTATTTTTGGCAGTATCACGTTCCTTACTCTTTCTAAGCTTTTTTCCTGTGGATGTCGTGATGTTTAAATACACTATATATGAGATGTATAACCTTTATGGATATGAAACTGAGATTTCATTGTAGCTGACAGCTGAAGCGAACCATGGCCATCAGATACGAGTGCTGTATTGGTCAGTGTAACACTAATTTCTAAATAAGAATTTTAAAATTTTAAATATCTAAACAGAGATATTCTATAAGTATGAGCTTGCAAAAAAAAAGTTATAAAATACTTAACTTACATTTATCTCTGCATTTATTTTAAAGGCAGAGGGAGGATTGCAGGAAGTTATGGGGTTACATAAAAGTCTTTCAGGTTGAGATAGTGAAAGCAGAACTGATGAAGGAGAGGTATTAGAAGAATAATGAGGGCTAATTTGAATGGGCCTTAATCAGCAGGTGTTAAGACATGCTGGATAGGGTTTTTAGGTTTTGAGTTTCAACAATTCAAATCTAGAAGAACTCCGATTTTAGAGGATGAAGCAGAAAAACTAAGATTCATCTTGCAGATGTTCATTAAGTGCTCTTGTGAGACTCTGTCAGCTTGTGTCAAATTTGCATACTTCAGATTTGAAAACATTTACTTGTAATCGTAGCATTTGAACCTGCGTTTGAAAGTTTGTACCTACTGTTGTGGGTTAGCCTCGGTGAGCAACTAAGCCCCACACAGCTACTTGCTCGCCCCCCCCGGTGGGATTGGGGGAGAGAATCGGAAAATTGAAAGTGAGAAAACTCATGGGTTGAGATAAAGACAGGTTAACAGGCAAAGCAAAAGCCACATGTGCAAGCAGAGCAAGGAATTCATTCACTCCTTCCCCCCGGCAGACAGGTGCTCAGCCATCCCCAGGAAAGCAGGGCTCCATCATGAGTAATGGTTACTTGGGAAGCCAAACCCATCACTCTGAACACCCCCACCTTCCTTCTTCCCCCAGCTGTATATGCTGAGCATGACATCATATGGTGAGGGATATCCCTTGGGTCAGTTGGGCTCAGCTGTCCTGGCTGTGTCCCCTCCCAGCTTCTTGTGCCCCCCTCAGCCTGCTTGCTGGTGGGGTGGGGTGAGAGGCAGAAAAGGCCTTGACACTGTGTCAGCACTGCTCAGCAGGGACTAAAACATCCCTGTGTTTTCCACACTGTTTCCAGCACAAATCCAAAATACAGCCCCTTACTAGCTACTAAAAAGAAAATGAACTCTATCCCAGCCACAACCAGCAGACCTACACCGTTCGTTTAATCTGCAGCTTCCTTCAATTAATAATCCAGCACAGTCCAGTTCACTTCTAATCTGTTAGGTGTGTTTGTTACAGTAGCAACATCTGTATTTTCCTTTAAGTCAATCGATAGAACTCTTCTAGTCTCTGAGAAACAAATAATGTTGCATAATGAGAGGTGCAGCTTCCAAAAAAGTGGTCATCTCACTGCAGCATTTAGCTAATTGATAACACATAATATAATGCAAGCACTGTAGACAATAATGGTAAGTTAAAGTCTTTGAAGGATTGCTGGCTACAGGTGTGTATTCACTGTAGTTTTGTGTGTGCCAGTTCTTCCAGTTAAACTGGTACCTGACATCTTACTCCATCTGGAGCATCAATTTTACATGGTTTTCCCATGGAGTTCTTTACTTCCCAGCGATCGCTTTACATATCCCCAAAGCACTTCCAGTTACTCACTTCCTTCTCATCGCCTTTCCTCACCTAATAAAGACAAAGCGCTATCTTCTCCCTTGCTAAAAAGAAGGGATAGGAAATAAGATTTGAATTTCCAAACTGTTTTGTGACTAGAGTAATTGAGTTGTTTGAGGGGAAACTTTGGCTTATGGAGTTACCGGTTCAGAATAGGTTTTTAATATAACTTTTACAATTTTCCTGTTTATTTACTTTTGTTTATTCTGCAATAGCTGTGTGGTTGTGGGAAATCTGCTACACTGAAATGAAAGCATGTGTTTGTTTAACTTGAAAAGCAAGATAAATAAATTGAAATTTTTTTCACAACTTGAAGGGTTGCTTTTCTCTTGCATAATTAACATTGACTAAAATATTCTATATTTTCCTCTCTTCCCAGAGTCCCTAGATATAAGAAACCAGTTCTGTAGCATAAACATGTTAGCATAATTATACAATCCAAATTAGAAAGCTGCAAAAAATTATATAGTTATACACATTCATATTTGCAGAAGTTTGTCTGTCAGGAGCCTACCTTGTAATCAAAATCTGTTTTCTTCTTTATTTTGCTCCAAAGTGTCAGAAATGGAAGAAACAATGTTATCTGTGCTAAGGCCATCCCAGAAAACAGCCGACAGTGTGATTTCATCTCCCACAGCGTCAGCTCGCCTTCCCCTTGACCCCTCAGAGCTGCCCCCGGATAAGCTCCACGTGGAACTGGAACTCTCCCCGGATTCCCAGATAACCCTGTATGGACCCCTGCTCAAAGCTTTTCTGTCCATAAAGGTAGGCATAGGAACACAGCTTGTAAAATTTATGGATGGCCACATGTAGGAAAGAAAAATAATTTGTTTGAAATGGAAAAAGAATTCCACAGAATACGTGAGCTTAGAAGAAAACTTTATTAAAGTATTAGTTTGGAGTGACTTTGGCAATATGGTGTAGCTGGGATGAATTCAGTTGGCACAGGCTTATGAGAAGACTTCCAATACATATATATGTAGACCCATATCAGCGTAATTTTCCTTTAAGGAATAGCATATGCTCTGGATGTCTTGTGCAGAAAATTTCATCTTTGACTTCTGTAGTAGTAAAAAAAAAAAAAAGTCCATGATTATGACTAGAGCTTATGTTAATGACCACTTTTATGGAAAGATATATCAGAACCTATGCTCTTACACTGCAGGACTTAAAATGCACTATCCTAATGGTTTGTTTGGTTTTGTTTTAATTAGATTCTGTGAAATTTCTAGAGTTAGGATCATGGAGGGGAAAGGGGAAGGACACGAGAATAAGTTTATTTTAAAAGCTACTTCAGTCAATATTGAAAAAGAATTTTTCATTCCTTTCTTGATGTTAATCTATTGTGCTTTAAAATGTTTGTGGTTGGGTCTTTGTGTGTGTGTGTGTGTTAAAGGTCTGGTTTAGCCTATGTAGATGTAGGCTAAGGTAATGTTTCTGAAGGCTTTCATTTTGGGTCAGAGGATGAGGAGTTTTCTGAGATCAATATCAGGAGTCATACAGAAACAGTAACTTTCATGAATTTATATAAGGTATTGCACATAAGCAATGAGTAGCAGAAAGTATTAAGCTTTTGTATGGTACAGGACTTGCAGATATGCTCATTATTTTTTCATGTTGCCACTAAAGTAAATAGGATTAAAATTAGGCCAGTATTGCATCTTGAAGACTTAATTTCTTCTAATACTGAGGAAGTGCACCCGTGTTTGAATTGTTTATTGAGCTCCTCTTTTGGAGACCATAAATTCATGAGATGGCTCTGTCTTTTCAAGCAAAGCAGTGGTGCTCTTTGCCTTTGGAGGTAAATGGGAACAACGCTACGTTAGATCCCTTGAGTCTATGATGGCTTAATTTTTTTAGGTGCAGATTTCTCAGATTAAATCTAGCTTTTATCTTCTAAATATCAAGAGAAAATTTAGATAAATAGCTTGGTTTTGAAAATGCACATTTATTGTTCTTCTTGGTATTTTTGTGACTGTTTACATCTCTTTGTCCAGCTGTGCTGGCAGCATTTCCTAATAAATTTCTAGGGGGTTTTTTAATGCTTGTTTTCCTGACTTGTGGTTGAATTGTTGTTTTCAGTTTGTTTTCACTGATCTTTTTTAATACATGGGGGAGAGATTCCTGGGCATGCATCGTTCATGCAGTTTTGTTAAGCCTTCTATTCTTGGGAGGTATTTTTTTGGTGTAGCGCACTGGGTTTCTTACTGAAATGCTTACTGGCTGGGAATGAATGATTTATAGGTCCTTGCATCCCCACCAGAAGGTACTGGCAGTGGGTTACTGGAGTTCTTAGCACCCTCTGCTGGGTCTGCCCTATAAAAAATATTTCAAGGTCTGTATTGTAACATCTCCCTTTATCTTTTCTCCTTGCTAAAAAGCAAAACAGATTAGCTGTGCTTAACTTTTGACAGCTTCTTGGTTTGGCCACAGAGCAGTGCTTAGTTCATATGCGCCAACACCAAGAATACTTCAGAGACTCAGTACAAGGTGGTAAAATTACATGTCCACAGGAGTCATTATTTCAAGGCTGATAATGAGCCTGCCTTTTCTGCAGACCTTTCTCAAGAACACTGGGTACCTTGCAGTTGCTTGCTTTCTTTTTGTTGTATGCTTCCTCTTTGCTTGCTTGTGCTGCAGACTTGTGCTTACAAAAGAACAAGTGTTTTGGAAGGCAAATGACGCACAGAAAAGGGAAGGAGAGGAACAAGAAACATCATAAGAATCAAATCTGTTTCAGTGTAATTTTCAGTTTAGTAGTCATTTGTCTACATCTCACAGATCACCAGTGAAGTTTGTAATAGTTGAACATTTCTGTCAGCGTGTGAGGCCGAGGGATTGAATTACTTCATAAGAATGAATGAGGGAGCAACGTTTGTGTCTGTGGTGCAACCTCTTTGGTCAGAAAGATTTTGCTCTACAGAATGCTTAGTCCCCAACACTTCCCATGTACTGAATTAACAAGAAAATACAACCTGCATCATTTAGAAAATTCTTCTTTAGAGTCTAGACTTTTATTTTTTTTAAGGGAGGGAGGAGATGACAAATTATCAGAAGTCTGATTCTGATGCACTTAATAAATAAACCACAGGCAGTTGCCTGTTTTTTTGTTTTTTTTTTTTTAAAAAGTAGTGATGGATTTTCTGTTTCCAAGTAGAATTTGGTAAAGTTTCTTTGGTCTTAGATAACTGAGGGGGATTGGCTTAGAAACAAGGTGGGCTTTAGACCGAAGGTGAGAAATGTTTATGAGCTAGTATTTTAGAAGCATGTTTAAGACTTTGAAATATGCTGATAACAAGTTTCATAAGGTTGGATGAGAATGACTTCCTGCGGGGTGTTTTGTGTTCTTACTCTCAAAGTTACCTATCTATAAAAGCACAAAACCTGTTTAAAATGTCGGTAGAAATACTTCAGAGCAGTTGTTTGTATTGCATGCATCAGGAACACTGGTACTTTGAGAACTATTGAGAGCCTCTTCTTTTCCTGCAGAGCACATGGCTTAAATTTGCTCTCTTAGGGTGACCATTTTTCATAAAATAAGAATATATATGTTTCTTCAGCTATAGGTTGTAGCTCTACCACTTATTTTAGGGAGGGCTTACATACAAGAAAGGTTGAGTTTGTATTTCATTATATTGCCTCTATGTTTTTAATTTGTTTTCCTTATGGTCATAACAATTCCTTTTCCTAGGAAAATTATTTTGGAGAAGATGACATGTACACTGATTTTGAAGAAGTTATTTCAAGCCCTGTTTTGTCACTGTCAACATCTTCAAGCTCTGGATGGACAGCTGTTGGAGTGGAAAATGACAAAAAAGAAAATGAAAGTTCAGTCAAGCCAGTTCACCCTCTTACCTTACGCCCATGGGATATCACTGTGCTTGTTAACTTGTACAAAGTGCATGGGCGATTACCAGTGGTAGGTACTTTCGAATCTTAAAATATTTTGCTTCATGTAATTATTTTTTCTAGTTTCATAACCTGGAGTTAGATTTAACTTCCTGGAACATTAAGTTAGGGTGGTGCTTACTGAAGTGTGTGTATACTCTCTGCTAAAATTGTGCCTATCTAAACAAATTTGAGACATGGGAGGTAGAACTGTGTAGTTTTTTACATGATTTTTATTCAATGAACTTGATTTGTGTGATAATATTTTTTGATTGACCATTACGATTTCTCTGCTAATTAGCAAAACTGGTTTCTAATGGTGCATTCTGTTCTGTGCAGCTGCATTCTGAGGGATCCCCAGGAGTTCAAATAAGAATCCAGATAAAAAACTGGGTTCACCCAAATGGGTTTGGATTTCTGTTTATGTAATTGTTGAAAGGTTTTTGAAGTTGCACAGGCTTCTTTTGAGTATCCACTTGGAGGAAAATTAGCATATTTACTGCTCACAGGTTTGCTTCTAATCTTACAATTTCAACCATGTTGCATATTTTCAGTTTGTGAAATGGATCTGTTTAATTTTTGTTTTAGCATTGCAGTCCAGATGGTCCTGAGTGCCCTACAGCTTTCTTGGAAAGATTGTGTTTTGAGATGAAGAAAGGATTTAGAGAAACAATGCTTCAACTTGTACTGTCTCCAGTGAATTTGTTTCTGAATGACAACTATCAGGTAGTAGACTGTTTTTTACATGTTTGCTTGTGTGTGTTTGTATAGTGGAAGTTGTGATGGTCTTTAAATTGAATTCTTTTTTTGTTAGGAACTTTCCTGTTGTACACATACAAAGTTTATTAAGGCTTATGCATCATAAGAAGTGTTAAAGAAAAATCTGATGCATGGGGTTTTTTTTTTAATCTTTGTTCCTGTCTAGTTTGCATTTTCATGAAGTGCACAAAAGAAAAGATTGTGTTTTATTTATTTTCCTTAAAGTGTTTCTGGAGAAGAATCTCTAGAAACAGTGAGTAATATTCAGGCTGGTCTTAGAACCAGAGTGATCCCTGGTTTGTGCATGAGAGGTTTTTGTTTGCTTGGGTTTTGGGGGTGTTTTTTGGTGTGATGTTGTTTTGTGGTTTGTGGTTTTTTTTTTTTTTTACAGCTAATATCAAAAGTATTTTTTGTGGGTGGGTTGTTGTTTTTTGTTTTTGGGTTTTTTTTTTTTTTTTTGTTTTTTTTTTTTTTTTTAAGAATTCGTAAATACTAACATGTAAGTTTTTTGTAGTGGCTGGTTTTGTTTCACTTTTTTAGGCATATAGTTTTAAAACTGCACTTGTGTTAGTAAATAGAATAACTGCATCTTTCACGTATTCTTTATGACTTTTATTAGACTAAATCACACAGCTGGATCTGTATCTTATGGTCAAGATATTGTTAGGACCTACAGTCTTCCTCTGGTGGGGGAGTCCTGAGCCATACTTCATGAAGTACTTAATGAGACAAAGTTAAGTGTTGCTTGTGGCTTGTCAGCTAGCTTTTTACTCCTTTGATTTTGGTAAACTTGAAAAAATTGCCCATATGGATGAATTTAATTTAGTGAGGAGTTTAGGCTGAAATTTGTTAACACAAAGTTATCCTGTTTCAGTGCAGATTAGTGAATGGTTGGAGTTTGTATTTTGTTTATGCACATACTAGTTGCGTTAAAAGCACTACTATATTTAAGCTGTGCCTTACAGATTATATTTTCAGTCCTGGTGTCCTGAAATAAGTTGCTACCAATGGCTTGTATGACGTAAAATTTAAAATATTTTTATCTTATGCACATTCTAGTGTTTGAAAACTGGAATACTGTATACAGGTGAAGATGCATGTGACCCTATTTTTTTTAGTCTTATGTAAGTAAGGTAGCAGAAAGAGTTGGTTGATGCTTGTTGAGTCTTTCCAAATTTCGATCCAGTGTGCCACAAGCACAAAAGTACCTTAAGTATAACCACTGACTGTAGACTGCCTGACAGATAAAGGAATTGGAACAAATAATGAGCTTTCTTGATGGCAAAAAGTTAAATGACATCTTAGGAGGTTCCACATTAGCCCTCATATTTTTCAGATGTTATTCTGTTGACCTCTGATTGGTAAAGAAGAAATCCACAAGGAGAACGTAGAATCCAAACATCTTGTATTTTTGGTTGCAATTGTCTTTAGCAGCAATCTGAAGAAAGCAATGGTGTGAAGTCACGGGAATTGCAGCTGTGTAATCTATATGGGATTAATAGCACTGTCTTTTGAGGGGGCTGCAGAAATTGGATGTACTGACAGCATGGTGGCAGCCAAAATTCCTTTTTCCTCATAGCTTTTGTTAGGAGCTTAGTACCCCGATTGTAGGGCTTGTTTTTCAATTGAATGAAGTCATCAGAAGGTGTAGTTGAAGCTGCTGACAGTTACAGCTTGAACATACTAAACCTTTACGTGATGAAAAATTGCATCCTATAAATTTCCAGTTACGTTATCCAAATCTGCTGGGTGATTTTATATTATATTTTTGTGGGTTTTTTTGTTTATTTGTTTATCCTGTGAGGCATCTAGGCATTTGAATAGCTGTTTATTTAAAAACACAATCTATTTTGTGCACTGAATGAGACCCTTAAATGTTGTTAAAACTTGTAACTTAATTCTTGTATTGCGATTCATATGTACAAGGAGGCAGAAATGATATTGCAAACAAAACCTTAATTTTTTTTTTGATTTATCACTTAATATCACAGCCCTGAGACTTATTGCATGACTTTCTTCAGTATTCTTACTGTTTAGACTTAGTAATGCTGTGGTTACATATTTTGCCTTAGGTTTTATATGTTCTTTTTGGTTGGATTTATTTCAGTTCAGAAACATTAACTCAGACAAATTAGACATCTGCCTGGGAGTTTCTGTTGGTTGAAATGATCAGTTATGTGTGTTACTCTTACCTAGTGCTTGACTTTGTATTAATTCTTGCAAATTAATGTTGGAACCATTAATATTGGGGGTTTTTAAAAACAAAAACATTTGACCCTTTATTCTTATTATGTATGTCAGAAATGCTGTTTGATACCTCCCAGTTCAACCTTAAAGTGAGAAGCTCATAGTACTAATGTATATAGAACCGGAATTGTCCCTCCGCCTAGCTGGGCAAGTATCGTTGCTTCACATTTCCCATTCACGTTGTTCTGAAATAGCTTCTGAATTGAGACAGAGGTTGCCAGTGATATCAAAAGAGTAGGGGATGTTTCTTCTTCATTAAGCAACTCCAAAGGGTTTGCTGACAGTGGAAAACAAACAGGCTAGATAATAAGTAGAAAAAAAATGGATGAAAGAGAAGTTTCACTGTTGACTTACTGGCTTTAATCCACAGTTTACCTCCATGCCGTCACAAGCTTCTGATCTATGCCTGTCCTTTTTTATCTTTTTGGTTTCTTCCCTATCTGGTGAAGTAACATTCTTTTGAAAAGTATTACATCTGTATTTTCATATCTGCAAACAAGTAGCTTTGCTTTAGGTAACCAAGAAATACTTTGGTGAAAAGTGCAACTTTTAGAGGACGGCTTCTGATGTTTATTGTTTGGATTTTAAAAATTGATTTTTATTTTTTTTAAATAAAGTATCAGCTTTCTGATAGTAACAAACCTTTGTAAGCCATGTTTTTCAACCTCTTGATCACTTCCATTGTTAAACATGCTCTTCCATTCTTTGTTTACGTTTTATTGCAGTAATACTTAACAGGTGATTTCTAGATGTCGCTCTGTGGAGTTCACCAAGGAAAGGCTGTTGAGAAGGGTTGCTAAAAATTAAAACAAACTTGAGTTAGATAAACTTCCCTCTCCCCCTGTAAAATTTGCATATATGTTGTTGCATGGGTAATGCTGAGAAGTCTTGGGACTGTCTAGCTGTACAAAAGTCAACAGGATTTAAGAGTCAAAGACGAAGGTGTACGAAGTATCTCTGGCTACAGAGTTTTTGCACTTTTTATTGACGTATTCTTTGCAAATACTAGCTTTAACTTGTGTGTCCTTAACAGCGACCTGCAGTGGATGAAGTTCTTCGAGAGGGTCACATCAGCCTGTCAGGTCTGCAGTTGCGTGCTCACGCAATGTTTTCAGCGGAAGGTCTGCCTCTTGGAAGCGATACTCTAGAATATGCATGGCTGATAGATGTACAGGCTGGAAGCCTGACAGCCAAAGTTACGGCACCGCAGGTACCATCTAGAAGCTATTCACTTTGAAGTATTACCTTTCTTCTTTCTTGTAAAACTGGCATAGCACGGATTTTGGAATGCATATGATCTCAGCTGAATTTGGATGCATCTGTGTCTTAAGTAACCTTAATTTTCTAGTTTGAAAATCTAACCATTTCTTTAAATGGATAGGAGATGCCAAATGAGCTGAATCTGATACTCAGATCTAGGTGTAATGGAGTGGCTAGTGTTATATGAGAATTTGAAGGAATGATGGTAACAGAGCATGAACAACTCAGTAATGAATACTGTTGTCACTACATGTAAACACTCGTATGTTACATCTGTGTATGTTGATGTACTTTAATACTGATTGGAAAGGCAACCACAGTATCTACATGCACTTTAAGTGGTTTAATTGCAGAGTAAATAATGATTCTCTGTAAATAGAACAGGTGTTTTGGGACACCTTCAGCCATAAACTAGGTAACGTGGCGAAGAGGAGCAAGGAAAATTTATTCAAAAGATTTAAATATGAGATGACTTAGTTAAGTTGTCTGTGACTTCCTCTGAGGTTACTTTTATTTTATGATGCTGACTTCTGGAGGTGCAGGTTCATTAGTCCTGCTGGTTAACTCTCTGGGAAGGACAAATGAGGTATCCACTTGTGGTTGCAGTCTGAAAGGCAATTTGATATCCCTTGGATGTAAGGTTCTTGGAGATACATAGGCATTTGCATGGAGGGATGCTGCCAGCAATAAGGATATCAAGTTGAGCATCTGGCAAGAATTTAGCTTGCAGATAAAGTTCTGGCTTTCCATAGAAAGCTATGCACAAAGTCACATTTTGAAGTAGGAGACAAATGAGATAATTTGTGGGAGTGCAGTATGGGCAAGCTTCAGCAGCAGAGTAGCTGGTAGCTCAGTCATGCTGCTCACTGCATAAATTCTGATGCTTGGTCCCGCTGGAATGTAGGTTGCTTTCGAAGTGCTGGATTTTCATAGTCCAGTCTTAGCACTAACTCCTTTTCGTTTTGCCATTTATGTTACTTCTACTTTTCCAGATAGAATAATGGCTCAAAGTATACAACAGGCACATTGGTTTGATTTATATTTGGTGTGGGCTGCCAGATCTTTAAAAAGGTTGCTTTGTCAGTGTATTCTGAGACATGAGAAAAGTCCATAAATTCTATTTAGTAGTTAGTGTTTGGTTTATTTGTTTATTTTTTAATTTTTTAAAGACACTTCTGCATTCTCTTATTCCTCTAAAAATTGGCATTATTTTCTAGGATTAAGCATGTATTTCATTAGGAGACTTCTGCAGCAAATAAAATGAGAATAAGTCATACAAGCAATTTCAGTAAATTGCAAGAATAGACTCCAGATACTTTTTCATGCTACATATACAGACTTTTGTGGTGGTGTTTCCCAAAGTGCTACCACTGATTTAAATAAGCTATAGTGCTTAATTAACTGCTCTATGCTTCAAAATTAAACCTAGTTGATTCAAAGGACTCTAAGGTTAGAGGACATTTCTAAACGCTTGATGCAACTTAAGGATTTTCTTCCCCCACAAAACTGTTCTTAATTTTATGCTTCATACAGGATTTTTATTTTATTGTATTTTGTCAACACTGCTATGGAGCAGAACTTGAATTTGCTGTTTCAGGGTCGTTGGCTTTTTTCCTCCCATAGTGTCATGTGTTGCAAGAATTTGTGAAGGGACAACACTAAAGGGAGGAGAAGAGATTTTATGCAGGACAGTCATAGCTATATTAAATTCCAGTTAAATTACTGCTGATTTTTAAGTGTCCTTTCCTTTGGCTAGCCAAAGAAAACCCATTTCCCTCTCATAATAGAGACAGGCAGTCATGAATCATTTCCTTTATGAATGAGCTAACTATATAAAAGATTTAAATGAACAATAAGCTAATTACTAGGTCCAACAAGATTCAGCAGTGTTCTGTTCAGCCAGTTTCCTCCTGTGCTTTCTAAATGTAACTATGTTACTTATATACAAGGAAGTCTGACATTTAAATTATGAATGGTAATAGAGTATTTTGAGGTATTTTTTGAGGTAAAATAAGGGGAGCTCTGTCTTTACAATGAAGTTCTGAATTCACTGTAATAGCAAAAGCTATTTCTTTATATTAAGAAATAATTTAGAAAATTATTTAACGTCACAGCTTATCCGTGAAAAACTAGAGACTTGCATGTTGTGGCACACACAAAAATAAAAATCAATCTTGAGTAATAGGAAATAGACCATGTGTAAGCAAGAATCTTATGGTGGGGTCTTTTTCTTGGTTTTACTCCTGCTCACCTCCCAAACTTTCAAATACCAAAAGTTTGTTTTGCGTACTGACTACTAGACCACGTGTTGTTATTTGCTTACAGCTTGCTTGTCTTCTGGAATGGGGGCAGACCTTTGTATTTCACGTGGTATGCCAGGAGTTTGAACTGGAAAGGCCAAAATCTGTAATAATATGCCAGCATGGAATTGATCGTCGGTTTTGTGACTCTAAGGTAACCTTTCATCTGTCTTAATTGCTCGCTATATTTGCACAGGTTCTTTGGAACAGTTTAGAAATCAGCCTTAAAGTTATCAAGACACGTGGAGTATGTAGTCAGATTGGATGTTCCCTTTCATAAATTATAGCTAATTATGTTTTAGAAAAAAAGTGATTTTCTCTAGATTTTCCTGTGGATATGCACAATGGTTTTGTGCTCTATGAATTACTTTTGAGAAACGGCATCCACAGAAGTCATTATCTCTACTGTGACAGTTAAGAGCCAAAGGGCATACTCCAGTGTCCCTTAAGAGACAAAGGTCATACTTCCCCTCTTGCTCCTGGCATGCTTCCATGGTACTTTTACATCCCATATCCTCTGTTGATGAAACAGTGCTTTGGTGGGAGACTTAAGCTGACAGCTGGTAGCTTCCATGCATCTTGGGTTTTTTAATCTTTTTTTTTTTTAAACATGGTACTCTTACTTAACCATCACGCCATTGTGGATTCTGCTTTTGGTGCTAGTCTCTTGGAATCCATGTGCACGGTCACTTGAAGACCGAAGGAGGCTTGCCGTATATTAAGTATTTCCTGCATTTCATCTCTTGACATCCTCCTTGTTTTGTTCCAGCTTTTGTGATGTTCTCTGTTGGGAAACTTGATTTGTCTTTTGCTGGTGGAAGCCAGGAGAGCCAGCTGGGACGCCTCATGTTTCTGGACAGAAGAATTAAACAGGCACTAGTGAAAATGAACCTCAGCACAGAAACACCCCATCTCATACTCATGTTGATAGTGTAGAATAAGTACCTTTTTGTTGCTCTAGTTTTAGGCCTCTGTTAAACAGAACATAAGTAAAAGGGTAAGCACAAATTAAACTAAAACTCCTAATGTACTTTTAAATCTTTTTTTCTTTTTTTTCCTTTTCCTTGTTCTTCAGATGAACTGTGTCCCTGGGCCATGCCCAACATCTGATGACTTAAAGTACACTATGACACGCTTAGCCATGGATGGAGCAGATCTGTATGTGGTAGAACATGGCTGTGCCACCAATATAAAGGTAAAAATATTTCTATTAATAGCAATTAGCTGTTTTGCCAATACAGTTCCTTGCATTTTTTGATACAATAGCTACCATTTTATCCTCTCATACAAGAGAATACTGGAATAATTTACTCAACGTAGCAAAATATAAATTAAGAGACAACTGAGTTATGGTAACAACAGAAAAGTGCTGTGCTGGTATAAGTGATTATAGTTGTGCTGTCCATTTGTTTTTAAAAGGTAGACTTAACATTTAAGGTTTTGGGGACACCTTCATATTATGAGCAAGGATCTAACTGAAGGAAAGCAGTAATTATTTTAGACATTTTTGAATGGCATGATATCCTGTCATTTGAATGGCTTGCTGCTTTGTGGCAGTAAAAAAAGAAATGTGTTTGAGTCGCCAGATTCTTTTGAGTCCAATATTAAAAAGCACCATCACAAATATTAACTGTGGCATAAATATGAATGGCAGTATTTTCAAAGGCAGCTTAATAACCTGAACCACTCTAGAAAATTATATCCTGAATGTGTTTCATTTGAATTTTAAAAAAAAAAAAAAAAAAAAAGAAAAAAAGGTTTCCAGTGCTCCTTTATAGTCTGTGACAGAGATGAGAGGTAATAATTTAGTATTAACCCTGTGGGTAGCTCTTCCATGGCTGGGTTCTTTTTCAGCTTTCCTTCTTTTCCCTGTGAAAAGTTTGAAAACTTGATCAAAAATTTCAGGTACTTCATGGTAACTTTTTGGAGAGGACTCGAGCTGTGCGGGATACTTGGTCCAGTGTCTTCAGATTATTTGAAGTTTGAAGACTAAGCATATGAGGCAGGGCTATGTCATTTTTTATTAGTGTACACCAGTGTCGGGGAGAATCGGTACTGTACGGGCAGGTGGGTTAGTTGTACAGTGACCAATTCCCACAGACAAGTGTAGGGGTAAAGCAAGAACTTCTGGTTCCTCTTTGGGGAGCGTTGGCTCCTGCCGGTACCGTGCTTTTCATAGGAGAGGGGCAGCCTCCCGTTTCATTCAACAAAACTACTGGAGTTATACCTGAACAAGAAATAGAGCTAAATAGAGTGATCATATAAGGGCTACTATAACACCATTCATATACGGATCTCAGTTAAGATTTAGGATCCGGAATTTCTTGAGTTTTGCATGATTCTCTCACTGAGGTATTTATTAATTGTAGAGTTATTACAGCTTTGTATTCAAAGTATGTAATTGATGTTCTAGTCTGAGGACATAGGATTGACACATATCAAATCATATATCGGATTTTGAAAGTTTCAGATTTCCTGGGTTTTAGATGATAGTGAAGAATTTAATAATGATTTAATTTTTTTAAAGGTTCATTACAACATCTGTCCAAACCTGAGCTTGCTTTTTTGATCCCTTTACAAAAGAAGACTCCTAAGTAGAGATTTTATTTTTGTTATTTAAAAAACTGTCTGAAACTAATTTCTAAGCTGGCCTTCTGTGTATGTGCACGTTCTTGCATATAAAACTAGTTCTCTGTCTTTTTTGGAGGGAATGGTTTACTGAGATCTTTCTGGAATGTAGTAGGTGGTGTGTTAACTGGTTTGAGGCTACCCTTTCTTTGTCTCACTCATGACTAATCGAAGTTCATGTTTTAAATCATGTTTTCAGATGGGTGCTATACGTATTGCAAACTGCAACCTCCACAACCAGTCTGTTGGAGAAGGTATAAGTGCTGCTATTCAAGACTTTCAACTGAGACAATATGTTGAGCAGGTGAACAATTGCAGAACTGGTCTTCAGCCCATATTAAGGAGGGCATATTGGCTGGAAGCTGGCTCTGTCAACTTGGGGCTCATCACTGCTGACATCGCTTTAGCTGCAGATCATCCTTCTAAACATGAAGTGCAGAGACATTTCTTAGAAACACATGATAATCGAACGAAGAGGTAAGAGATACAATCAAAGGAGATGCATTTAAATTGTTTGAGGGGGTGTAAATTAATTAATTCATCCAAAGATGGAACTTTGTTTCTTTCTTTTGGGTTTTTTTTTTTGCTTACAATGTCTTATAATTTTTTTAACGTATGTTGAATGCTTAGCTATGAGGTTGGTGGTTTTAATGCGCTTGGACTATACAAAATCATATGATTTTTGGTAAAACTCACTTTTCCCTCTGCTTTCCCTTATCACCCCAAATGATGATCAGGGAGGGGCAGGGAATCCTTTGTTCTCAGGCTGGACTGAAAAAAGGCCTTAAAGAGCCCTGAGCAAGCTGCTGAGCAGCTGTGAATAAGATGCCTGGTGTAACTGTGATTTGTGTGTCTCCCCAAAGAGCAATTGCCTCTGGCATAAGCAACATACACCAGTGTGGAGTGTGTTTGCAGTGCTTGGCTCTGCGCTGAGAGAAAGGGTTGCTACCATCAGTGTCTGTTGTGGCAGGGGGATGTCATCTGTGCCTGAAAACGGCTGCCTGAGCCACTGCATATATACATTTGTGATTTGCTCCTTTCTGGAGCTAATCCTTCATTTTATGTCTTACATCTGTGTTTCAGATACAAATCTTTCTTACTCATTTCACGCTGGGTGAAATGGAGCTCACATATGAGAGGGATATCTTTTAATCTTGTTTTCACAGAATTTAAATGTACTAAGGCTGATGTGGTCATGTTTTTGTTTTGTTTTCTGTTCTTCTGCCTTTGTATAGGTTGTGGTTTTTGTGGCCTGATGATAATTTGAGGAATAAGAGAAGCAAGAACAAGTGTGGCTGTCTTGGTGGTTGTCGATTCTTCGGTGGCACATTAACAGGACTAGATTTTTTCAAACTCGAGGAACTGACACCTTCAAGCAGCTCCGCTTTCTCAAGTACAAGTGCAGAATCTGATATGTTTTATGGGCAGTCTTTACTGCAGCCGGGAGAATGGATAATTACTAAGGAGATACCTAAAATTTTAGATGGTGAGAATGCATTGTACTGTCATTTTATTCTGTTTTGCCCAGAAGTATAATTTTGTAACTGCACGTTAGTATTTATAGTCTTTCCGATTCTGGTTAATAAGTAGTACTTGTTACACTCTTGTGCAAGAGGTCTTGTAGTGTCATGGGCCCTTCTGAGAGCAGACACTCACTTGATACTGGTGAGCAAGCTTTCATATGCTCAATTCTTATATTAACATGCAACTCCTTTCTGAGTAAAAAGTTGTTTGACTTGCATCTCTTCTACTTCTATAGAAAGCAGTCTACCAAGACAATTTGATGTTTTGCTGCTATGACTTTATTCATTTTTGTTAGTACAACATGCTAGTACGTGTATGCATTTCAAAACTAAGTTTTTTATTTGATAACGATTTTTATTTCAGCGGGCAGGGAAAAGACCACTGAAGTTGTGTTATCAGATGTCCAATTTGTCTTTTTTGTTTCTGATCCTAGGTAAAGCAAATGGTGTAAAACGAAAAGATTGGGATTGCAGATCTGTGGGTATAGAAATAGAAAGAAAAGCACAACATCTAAGCCTACAAGTGCCGTTGCGCTCTCATAGCTCCTCATCGTCTTCGGAGGAAACGAGTAGTTCTAGTGCTGCACTCCCCTTGCTTGCAGGCGAGAAGGACAGCCCATCATCAACTACAGAGGATCACTTGGGACAGAAGGAGTTCTTGTCGGGTACAAAAAGGGAAGATGGTCACGGAAGGTTAGTACTCTCTGTCCAGGTAGAAGTATAATTTAACTCTTGAACACATTATGATGGAAAAAATCCTTATATTGAGCAATTTATAAGGTGTTGGTTATTTTCTAATGATACTGCTGAAATGCATTTCATAGTTTGAATGCAAATTTGGATCCCTCATAGGGGATGATTACCTGATCTGGGTAGAAAATCCAGCACGTAAGACAACAGCACTTGCCATTAATGTTCATTTTTATATTCTCTATATGTAGACAAGCGGACTAACAAGTAGCAGAATTTAGTATGTAATCAGCATTATGAAAATAATTGCTATGCTAATAGAAAGTCACGGAATCACTGAAGCATTTGACAGCTCCTATAATGTAAAAAGAGAAGTAGTAATAATAAAATAAGCAAATGAATCTTTAATATTTATTTCCAGTGTTGCAGCTGAGGGTGCGGAGGGCAGCCCTGCATCCCCTGGCAACCAGGAAAGACTTGTTGGTCAGTCTCCTCTGCGGTCTCCACTGAAACGGCAAGCGTCTGTGTGCTCCACCCGCCTCGGGAGCACCAAGAGCCTCACAGCAGCCTTCTATGGAGACAAGCAGCCTGTTCCAGTTGGCGTGCAGTTCAGCAGCGATGTGTCTCGCAGTGATGAGAATGTCTTGGATTCCCCAAAGCAGAGGAGGAGCTTTGGTTCTTTTCCGTATACTCCATCTGCAGATTCAAACTCATTTCACCAGTATCGCTCAATGGATTCCAGTATGTCAATGGCTGATAGCGAAGCTTATTTTTCTGCAGCAGAAGAGTTTGAGCCAATAAGTAGTGATGAAGGTCCAGGAACCTATCCAGGGAGGAAGAAGAGAAAAAAGCAAGCTCAGAAAATTGAATATAGTAGAGGGTCTATTTATCACAGTGTGGAAGGACCCTTAACAAGCACAATCCATGGAGAAATTAGTCAAGATGTTAAAACGCTGCCAATTAAGACTCATCCTTCACAGGCTTCATTTGTTTCGGCTCTGGGAGGAGATGATGAGCATGTTGAGAACATATACGTCATGGAATCTGAGAAGACTGTGGAAAGTGAGCAAATAACTTCCCAGCAGCCTGTAATGGCATGTTACCAAAATTATCTTACACAGTTCCAGGTGATCAACTGGTCAGTAAAGCATCCAACTAACAAAAGAACTTCAAAGTCCTCATTACATCGCCCTTTAGACCTTGACACGCCAACGAGTGAAGAAAGTTCATCATCTTTTGAGCAACTTTCTGTCCCAACTTTTAAGGTATGGAGGATGGAGGAAGAAGGAGTAGAGAAAGGAGTAAGAATTCAAAACAGGTTAAAATGGCTTAGTATACCTGTTATGTAAATAAAGCTATGAGAAACTTTAAACTTCTTTGCTTTTAGTTAAGGAACAACTTGGATTTCTGACTTCAGATTGTGGGCTGTGTGACTGGGAGGTTGTGGAAAAAAAAAAGATGGAGTTAGAATTCTGTGGATAAGGTGTGTGTTCTGAATTGTCATTATTGCACTTAAAAGTGCTGCTTGTTGAATGATATGCAGCTGAAAGATAGTTGCGTGAGTTGTGTTTAAAATACATGCTTCACGGAACTTCAGTAGCAGTACATTTAATACCGATAAACTATAATCTAGGCTGTAAATGCTTTACTTCAGAGTAAAGTTGAAACTCAGATCTAGCAAATGATTTTTGAAAATGGGCTTTTTTTTTTTCTTCGTGATGTATGAGCATACATGCTTAAGGAAGGAGCTGAAATGAAATATATGAAAAATAATGTAAATGACTTAATGGAAAAATAGGTGTCTAAGGTCTGGAATTTAATTTGTTGTCATTTTGCAGCAAAAGCTTTGTGTTTGTGCAAGCCTTTTGTAGATCAGTATTTGGAGTCTTTTTTTTTTAAACGATTAGTCACTATCTAATATCTCAAGTCATTTAAAAAAATAAACCTAAGAGTTTTTGTATACTATATTGGAGATTCTGCATATGAGGAGTTCTTTTAAGAAAAGATTCCTAAGTTGAAGATTCCTTGGTATTTTTTTTTTCATATATAGAAGGTATGTAATAAGTTTCTTTCCACTTTTGTCTTAGATTGTTAAACAGGGTCTCACAGCTAATTCGTTACTGGACAGAGGCATGCAGCTTACAGGATCAACATCTAAGTAAGTCGAATACTGCATAATATTATTAGCATATTTTTTAAGAGTAGGATTTTCCTGATACTCTTGTTAAATATTTTGGCTCTTGCTAGCCTTTCCAAAATTTGATTCGTAGCAGTAGTTTTCAGTACAGATCTATTTTAGAACAGAGTATTCCATTATAAAATGTTTGGGTTTGGTCAAAAAGAGCGTACACCATGAAAGCATTAAATGATTTCACTCATAAGTTTTCAAGTTTATGAATTGCAACTTAATTTAAATTAATTTGGGAGGTGCTTATGGCAAATGTCCATTGCATTGCCAAAAGCTGAACTTGAATCTAGGGAAGGGCCTTGCCCTGGGATTATATCTATGTGTTGTCTAAGTGATGCAGTAGAAGAAACCTGTCATTATATGCATCTTATGAAGAATTAAAATGATACCAGGACATTTCTGTATTTCTTTTACAAACCTAGATTATTAATATGCATTTGACTTGTTTAGTACACCTTATACTCCTTTGGAAAAGAAGTCTGCAGAAAATACAGATGATGAAACCATAACAGAAGAATGGACATTGGATCACCCTGTCTTCCAGACACGGACAACGGCAATAGTAGAAGTAAAAGGAACTGTAGATGTTGTTCTGACTCCTCTTGTAGCAGAGGCACTGGATAGGTAATTAAGTTTACATTTGTTACTGCAGTGTTAATTGGTTATGCTAAAAATTGTCTGAAATCAAAGCTGTTTTGTTCAGGTAAAAGGATTGAATAACATGACTGATGGAACAGCAGGGCATGTGTACCCAGGGAATGCAATTCCGCATTTCCTGTGAAGAAGCTAGAAGAACATTATGCTGACCTGGGAAGTGCCCTTTATGTCTGACAGTGCTTAATTTTTCTCTCTGTAGCGTTAATTAAACATCATTGATGGTGTGTCATGTGAAACTGGAAGTTTAAATGGTCTGTTTGTGGGCTTGTTTCCTCTCACAGGTATATAGAAGCAATGGTGCATTGTGCTAGCTCTCGACACCCAGCAGCAATTGTTGATGATCTGCACTGCAAAGTTCTTCGAGATGCTGTACAGAACAGCAAAACAAGCTTCTCAGAAAATGTAAGAAAGGGAACAAGAGAAATGTACAAAGAGTTCAAAGAATATTGTTTCCTATATTTACACGGAAAAAATTTTAATTAAGTTCAGTATTTTGAGATATAGTAGCTAAATGCTATATTAATTTGGAATACATATTTATTTTTATGCTGTGCTTAATGTACGTGCATTTTTATAATCAACTATTCTATACTGTCAGTGACCAGAAATAGCTCTTACAGGATTGAAGTGAAGGTTTTCTGTTTTGGACAGTCTAGTCAGTAGCTACAGTAATTTGCATGAGATCATACATTCTATTCTTAGAAATTACTATAACTGATATTTTTGTGTGTTATATTCAGATCAGCAATATATCATTATTTTAGAGTGGTTAGGGTCTCTGTGAGGTAGAAGAAAGTTCAAACTAAGCTGTGAGAGTGTGTGTGTTTTCTTTGCAGTTTATCTGATACCTTGAAAAATTAATTTAGCTTGAAAAGAATTGTACGGTAGTTCTACAGAATTAGGAGGTTTTTTCTGTCCAAGTTAGTGACCATATATATATTATATAATTTCTTAGACTTTGCAATGTAACGGACACTAGTTATTTACTTCATAATAAGTTGTTCTGTATAGCTTCTATAGCTTATATATGTAGAACTCAGGTATTGCTACCCTTAGGGATCTAAACCTACCATGTTTGTAAGTGCTGCAGTCCTTGTTCTAGAAATCATGGTATTGGGCTTTAAATGAAGTCAGAATCTCCTGCTGCTTCAGAGTTAATAAACTATCCTGTTATTCTTCAGCTTAGCAGCTCTGAGTGAAAATATTCAGTAAGAATAAATTATTTTTTCCCCCTCCAAGTTATCTTCGAAGCAGGATATTAGAGGAACAAAAATAGACGCTACCACTACAGGAACAACAAATCAGGGACCAGCACAGACCAATCTCTCACTTAAGCAAGATAATGTGACAATTAAAGGTCTTCAGGCCAACGTTACTGTACCAAAGGTAACAACTTTTGTTTCCCTATTAGTAGACCTGTGCCTCACAAATTGCCCTTATTTTACACCCCTATTAGTTCCCCAAAAGCTTGAGTGAAGCTGTGTATTTGTGCTAGATAACCAATGTTTTGAACAGAATAGACTGTTTTGGAGCTGCTCAATTTTATTATAGTGTGTGTGCAAGTTCAGTAACAATCGCTACAGGCATAACTGACTGCCATGTCTTTAAATTATGCTTTTACATCTTCTAGGTGTGGTGGTTTTATTTGTTATTTTTTCATTTTACTGAGCAGTTTAAGACAAGATTGTAGTGATGTATACTTAATGTAACATGTTTTTCTAAATTTCTTTACTCTCTGGGGGAATTTTGTATGTAGGTGAACCTGTGTTTACTACAAGCATCTGTTGATGAATCCCCAGGGGTTTCTTCTGGCAAAACCGTGACTCATGTTTCATTAGTAGCTTTGTGTTTTGATAGAATTGCCACGCAAGTTCGTATGAATAGGTAAGAATAATACATATCACTGTTTGTAGCTTGCTCTTGTTAAGTTAGTCAAAAGAATTACAGTGATGCCAATTTTTTTCAGTTTTGAAGAGTACTTGAAAAAGTTGTCATGACTGAGATAAGCAATGAAGCGCATCTTCTGTGTTTTATAAATTAACATGTAAAATCTATTTAGAATTGCAGCTTCTTTAAGAAGTGGAGGAACACTTCTGAAATAATTTTGGAACTTCAGTTTTAACTCTTTCTTTTCTTATATGTCATGCAGGATAAAATTAAATTTTCCAGTATTTTTCTATCAAAGAGTGTATTTCTTTTATCTTACAAAGAATTCTTTTTAACACTGCTATGCCAATGTCACTTAAAATTTTAAACAAAAAAACCCGAGTGAAATACGTCTATCTGAGATTTGCTTAATTGTTTTTTCTCCCTTATATTCAAAGAGGTATAGTTGAGGAGACTTCAAACAATGCAGAAACTGGGAGGAATTCTGTCACATTTGATCGTTACATCCAAACCAGTAAAATGCAGCCTCAGTCTTCTGGCTCCCTGAGATCCAATGCTGGAGCAGAAAAAGGAAAAGAAATTGCTGCTAAACTGAACATCCATCGTGTTCATGGACAACTCAGAGGCCTTGATACGACAGGTAAGTCTTTTTTTAAATTCTGGAAGTGTCACTTTTCATAGAAACAAGTGGTTATAATTGGCCTTGATCTTGTACTTTGGTTGTGGGTTTTTTTTATCAACACAGATAAAAAGACACTTCAACCTGGAGATTCTGCAGATACCTAAGAAGAAGTTTAGGATAGTTACTCTGAATTATATTCTGTTATTCTACTAAAGTGCTAGATTTAAGCGTAGGCAGTGTGAAAACTGTCAAGGCTATCTTCTGAGCAGTTGGTGTGGCAGATGGGTTGCATTGTAAATATTGACATGCACTGGTAAAATTCCAGGCCTGGGCTCCCTTCTTCCCAACTGATCTCTTTTCAGCTACCATTTATTTCTTACCTGATGTGGGGAATGAATTATGCTTATTTGCTTTCTTGCTACTTTCTAACAATTTCAAGATAGGTGTAATGTGCCTCTTTTACTGGCAATTTCAGCGTGACAAGCTGTAGATTTTTAACTGTATTGACTGTAAAACTGAAAATGAGATCTCCCCGATTGATTTCCTTCTTGTTTGTGTTAAGAAGATTCCTTCAAGAGGTTATGAATTAAATTCAGCTGCTGTAACTCCTGATCCTGGAAAAGCTAACCTGGAAAAGATGACCAAAAGTTGAGGCAGTTTTTGTTAAAACTGATTGAGTTTTGATGCAGTCTACAACAGTTAGTGCTGTGTTTTACTCTGTCCCATAAAGAGTAGGAATCTTTAGGACATGAGGAAGTGCTCTGTGAAACAAGTATGATTAAAAACCACACAATAAACAAAGAAACAAAAAATCCCCAAAGCCCACTGCTGTGCAAAGATGAGTGAGCAAAGAAAATTGGAGGAAAACAAAAGCAGAAGAGGCCATTAAAATGGTTAACTCCATTTTTACTTAGATATGGGTAAAATAGTGTCCTGTGTTAGGTATGCTGCAGACATTCAAGAAGGCCAAGTAATTTTTGAATTCTAATGAAGAAAACTCCATCTTCTATTTAAAAGGCTTGAGAAATGTCTCTCTAGGGATCTTAGCATTTCATGTATACTTCAAAAGTGATTGCGATTACAAGTTGGGGGCAGGGAGTGAGGTTTGGAAGGGATATACATTGACTCAATGTAGTTCTTTTCCCCAGATATTTGACATTTAGCTCTGTATGTGAGATAATAGGCAGTGGGTACAAAATTATTTAAAATGTTCCTTCAGAAATGTCACTAGAAGAAAGGATTTATATTTAACCTACATCCTAACATCAAAGAAGTCAAGGTGACGTAGTACCCTCCTGGATCTTAGCAAAGATCATAAAGAATTAAATACTCCTTGAGTCTGTATTTTCTTAGGAATCAGTGAGTCTTAATGCTTTACATCCTCCCAACACAGACATAGACATGCTTCCAACCAAGAAGCAGGCTTTGAATTAGAATTAGAACTTTATTTCTAAATATCCTTCAAGTATGCTGTAGTTAATACTAAATGCATTTCCACTAAGATGTATTATCCAAGAGCACTGTCAGTATCACTGTCATTTGTTGCTCTTAAACCTTAGGTATTCATTAGGAATGTTTTTTTTGGTAAAGTAATAGCAGGCCAGTTGCCATTTTCAGATAAAAATCTGAAGAGCTTGTTTGTACACGTGTCTTTGGAACCATGACTCTACAAAAAGATGGAGGTGGCAGACGTTAGGATTGGGAATGTCTCAAAGCTTTTACTTTGTGTTGCTTGGTCAATGCTTTTCCAAACTTAAAAATTACCCTGCCCATATTAACATACCAGGAGGGAGGTTTTTAGACTTTATAAATTACGTGTCTTTTTTTCTTGCTCATACTTCTATTTTATTTTTTTATTTTTTTCTCCACCCTGCCCCTGTTTGTGTAACGTTAAAGGGGCAGCACTCCCAAAACACTGTTAACTTCAGACAGGTATTTGAAGATGTAAAGTTTTTTTCATTTTGTAATGAAGTGGTAAATATGTTTGTTTTCACAGATATTGGAACTTGTGCAATAACAGCTATTCCTTTTGGGAAATCAAAAGTTCTTTTTACTTTGGAAGAGTTGGATGAGTTTGCTTTTGTGGATGAAACAGATCAACAAGCTGTTCCAGATGTAGCTCGAATTGGTCCTAGTCAAGAGAAGTGGGGTTGGATAATGTTTGAGTGTGGAATTGAAAATTTAACTATAAAAGGTAAGGCTTATGTAGGCTTTATATTGTTTTGCTTTATGAAACTGCTAACAATTCTGTTAGGTCTTCCGGTCTAGCAATTATGTGACTAGAAATTTCTGACTATAGGTGATACTAAATAGTACACATCTATCATAAATAAATTATATCTCATAGATTGTACAGTAAAGGACCTTTAGTAATCAATACCATTTACAACAGTACATAAAATAATTCTATATAAAGCAGTTTCAGCAGTTTCTGAACTTCAAATGAAGGTAGAAAGTGAGGCTTTTACTGATCAGTTAAATGACCTTGCAATCGTACCCACAGTACGTGTCTGTTTTGCTTTGGGAAAGCTAGCTTGAAAAAGAAAGAAAACCCCAGTGTATATGTATTTTCTGTCATCTAAGTTATTCTTTTCAGGGAATAGTGTTTAAAAACAATCTTCATGTGTGTATTCTTTGTCTACTTGGAACAAACTGTCAGAAGCTCTATAACTGGCTGTTGAATTGTTCTATTTGTAGTGATAAATTGGTGTGTAAAATGGTAATGCACCTTGTTTAATCAAAATCATATGTGTTTCTCCTCTTAAGTGCATATCTTTTCAATGGGACATAACTTATAGAAGTTTGTGCATGGCAAGCATTTACAGTCTTGGTGTGTGTGTGCTTTTATAGGAGGAAGACAATCTGGAGCAGTGTTGTATAATACGTTTGGAGTCATGGGTAAATCAAGAGATACAGAAAGAGGTGGATTGCTTGCATCAAATAGGTGGTTTTGTTTGGAAGTGAGTAACATTCATAATAAGAATGTTTAACAGATGATGTCTTGTGCCAACTGAATTCATACTGTCTGCTTGCACACTAAACTTCCAGCTTTCTGCAAGGTCTCTTGGTATTGTCTTGGAAGAGTTGGTGGACAGCATTAGTTTTATTTTTCTTTACCTAAATGTGTGCGAAACTATTTCTTATCAACGGTGCACGGTATGGTATATTAGTGCCTTTCAGTGTAATCATTTTGGAAAACAATTTCACTTTGGACTTTTCTTTCCATTTTTAAGGATGAAGGGGTTGAATCTGATGATCTGAAAAAAGATATACCCTTGATGCCTCCTCCCCCTGACTCTTGCAGCATGAAGCTAACGATCAAAGAAATTTGGTTTAGTTTTGCAGCCCCTACCAATGTGCGCTCTCCAGCCCATATATTTTCAAGGTATAATTTTACCTGATTTAAAAGAAAGAAAATAACATATCTGCTGTGCTGAATTGCAGTTGTATTTGGTAGATTCTGAATGTAATCTCAATAATTTTTGAAGCTTCTCTGCAAATGAAAATTCTGGACTTTACATATATCATGCTAACTCCTGCTTCAATTTTTTTATTGTTATTATTTATATGGAAGTGTTGCTAGAAAACTTTTAGTTAATTTGATTAAAAGAAGAGAAGAAAGATAAAACCCAACAACCAACAAAAGACATCTAGAGAGACTGAAAGTTATGAAGGAGAAAGGCAGGGAAGGGTGTCTGTTTTTGAGTAGGAGAGATGCTAGAAAAGAGAACCGCTCAGTGCTTTTTGGTGTTCAGCCTGATGCTTAACCCATGATATTACTGCCATTGCACTATAAGTTCAAGATAAATCTTTCGAAGACAGTTTTTCATATTGTGTTTGTAGAACAAGCCAAATCTGTTTTGTCTGTCAGTAGCTTAAGCTCAGTATATATATGCTATAAACAAGAAAATACACTTTGTGGTTTTCCTAATATTCTTGCCTCAGCCCTTTAGCGTGTATTGTGTAATAGTTAATATGGGATTCAGTCAGTGATGAGAATTGCAAACTGTAGGATTTCAGTAGGGGATACAAGTGGTAAAAGGAGGAATAGGCATAGCAGGGGATACAAGTGATAAAAGGAGGAATAGGCATAGCAGGAGTGGGATGGAATCATGAGTGTGTGAGCACGTAAAAAAAACAACTGCCTTAGGTGGTACTTTTAGCCAATTTTCATTTTCTGGGCAATAAGTCTGGGTTTGTTATTTTGTACCACTGCTCTGTCATATTCCACCTGTTTGAGTGTCATTCATAATACCATTAGAAAATCTTGGTAATTGCTGCTGTGGAACATGAATCCCTAATTCTTTTTATTTTTCTCAATAGGCAGCTGAACCTCCTGAGTACTGCAACGCCCGCAGTTGGTGCTTGGCTTGTTCCCATTGATCAAGTGAAATCGTCATTAAATAAACTAGAAACTGAAGGAACCCTGCGAATCTGTGCTGTTATGGGTTGCATTATGACAGAAGCTTTAGAGGTAAATGACCTTTATAAAATCAATAGGCGTATCAGAACAGAGCAGTGTAATATATATTTGTTTGGGATTTGAGATATTTTCCACTGACAAACTTACAACACCTCTTATGAGCCTTTATTTCCAGAATGGTCACAAGAACTCACTGTGTGTGCTTTTTGAACAGAATCTAAATTTTAGTGGAAAAAAAATTCAGCTGTTACTAGTGAAGAAGTCTTATGCTTCTTATGGGAGTGCATCTCTAGGTAAAATAACTCAAGATTCGCAGAGCTTTTACGACAAATCGGGTGTTGCTGTGATTTGCTAAGGAGCTTGCCTGGTGCGTAGGCAGCTTTCTGCTGTTTGTTTACTTAGCACCGTCTAGTGGGAAGGATTGAGGTGACACCCATTGCCGAGATCCTGCCTTGCACTGCGAGATTGGCAAGCTTAGTGTCGCGCAAGTTTTCTGCTGTACTCAAAAATCGTCCTTTGCAGCAGTCTCATATTGCTACCTCCCTTCCTATTTATTTTCTTACCATTTTTCTAGTGTTAAACCAAATTAGAAAAGTGCCTGTTTTTTCTTTAACAAGGCATAAAGAGCTGCTTTAAAAATCTCAGCTAGCTGTGCATGTATGTCTATTAGTCCAGAGGCAACTTCACAAAGTCTGCAATTTGAACCCAGCCTTCTGTTTTATTACATCATATAAATTAACAAGCATCAAGTACGATTTTTCACATACCACTATTTAAAAGAAGGTAGGTATCCATGTGGCAGATCTTAGTTGCAGGAGTTCAAAATGGGGTTAGAAGTCTGTGACATCATAGGTGAAATCTCACAGTTCACACGTGTGTTTTGTTTGCAAGTACGTTCATGTGTGAAAAATTGTTATGTTTTCATCTAGAATAAAAGTGTGCACTTTCCTCTGAGAAGCAAGTACAACAGGCTTACCAAAGTGGCTCGTTTCTTGCAAGAAAATCCTTCTTGTTTACTGTGTAATATATTGCACCATTACCTTCATCAAGCAAATTACTCCATTATTGAGGATGCCACCATGGTGAGTTACCCTGTAAAAATGGAAATAACTCAGTCTGTTAGTTTCAAATGTACTGATTCTAATGTCTTAAATTAGGTAACACTTTAAGGGAAGTTAACAAACAAGAAAATACAACCCAAACTCGTATATATCCTTAAACTGAGAAGTAGATATGGCTTCTCTCATTTAATTTTCTTTCAGATCTGCTGTTTTTGTTGTGGCCTGTGCATATGTGTAATTTTTATCTACCTATTTTATTAGTAAATACATGAGAAATCATAAATCAAAAAAGCATGTCTTCAAAATGTCAATGGCCTTTTTATCAGATTTCATTATTCTTCAAGATAACAGCAAAGTAGTAAACTGAATCTGTAGTTTTAAAATTGAATAAATCTCAATTATTAAGGCAAGTGCATGCACTGATTAGCTTCCTTCAAATTCCCTCCTTCAGAACTAGTTTTCATGTCTCAGAAATATTTGGATAATGCAGACAGTTTAAGAAAAGAGCTAGAATTGTAGAAACTTCAGGGCTTAAGAATCTAATCTTTTTCATGGTGGCTTTAGAATTTAAATGTCTGGATTGTAGTGGTAAATAATTGTTTGAACAAACATATTAGGCATAAGGAGGAGTGTTTGTTCTTGATTTTGTGTCATTTTCATAATCCAATTCCACAGCTGTCAGATTTAAACACTATGTTTTTCAGTGTAGTCAGCTGAGAGCCCAGTGATCAGAAATAGCACCATTTGTGGCAGAAACAGCACTGTTTGATTTGTGGTCAAAATAAGCAGCTTTTTTTTTTCTTTAGCACAATTCAGTGATTTAATCAAAAGAATCCCTATTTTTTGCCTCAAATTTATGTTTCTAAAATACTGCTTACCAACAATGAAAGGAACCTCATCTTTTTCATTTCAATTCTGTTTCTACAGTTAATCTAGTGCTGCTGTGAATTTTAGTCCATAGTTCAGAGCCTTATAGTTACTGAAGTACTTTTAGTTTCATATTTAATAAACCTGTTTCCTTCTGTTTATTTTTGGCCCTTTAGGCTAGATCCTCAGGTCATGTAAATGAATGTATTTACTGTGTTCAATGAATCTATAATTTTATCTGTTTGCACTATGACTTCTTATATCTGAATGGACGCTGCTTGGTGCCAGCATGTTTCTGTCATAAGCCTCTTGAGCACAAGGGTTTAAGGGAGTTCTGACTTCCCTCCCCTCCTGCCCCCAGTTTACTTTAAAATGCTGTGAACATGTGTTTTTCATTTTTGTTTTTCTTTTTTTAAGAGTGATGGCCTTCCTGCCTTAGTAACCTTAAAGAAAGGTCTGGTTGCCTTAGCAAGGCAATGGATGAAGTTCATTGTGGTGACCCCAGCTTTTAAAGGAGTCAGCTTGCACAGACCCGCTCAGCCGGTGAGATTGCAGACAAATGCCTGCCACGAGCACGAGGATGGGCTTGGATTAGACAACGGAGCGGGTCTTCAGAGTGACACAAGTGCTGATGGAGCAGAGTTTGAATTTGATGCAGGTATTTTTGTGGTGTTCTGTCTCCATAAAAATTCATAGGGACAAGTAGCTCCTCTCAGAGCATTTGTATCTTCTTTAGTTTTAATGTTTGAATACAATGTATTCTTCTTTTCTAGAATCATCAAGCTGCTTTTTTAGAATCATCTTCATTTTGAAGCAGCTGCTGACAACTATAATTATAGTGTTATAATAATTCTTACTTATTTGGGGACAACAAAGCAAGAGACTTCTCTCTTCATGCCTTGTCTTGTTATTTACTGCACAAAATACATCAACTTAATTATTTGCTAGCTTGCAACTAGGATTTGCTGTGCAGCTTCTGACCTTAGCTAAGAATTGTAACATGCAATTCTGTGAATTCTCCCAGGTATAGCTTCAAACCTGCCTTCTTATTTGTTATTTCTAAAGACATATTTTATAAAAATTTTTTTTTCCTCATTTTTACTACTACATATGTGGTAAATTACTGTTGCCAGCTTACACATTGCCAATTTAACATAAGCCACCGGTTTAGCTCTGTATTTGTTACAGAGCTGACTTAAGGAAGAACCACAGAAAGGAGGGGCATAAATAAATACATGTTGTTGGAGCACTCTTTTTTGCTGTCTTAAGTCAATTTAGGTTTTTTGCGTTTGTAGCATCTATATGCAGTGTTACTGTTCTCAGAAATACAGTGTTATGTTTTTCTTTTCTCAAGTAAGAATTATATAACACTGAGGAAAAAATATTTAAAAAAAAAAAAAAGTCAGGAGGAGAATCTGCTTTTGGTTAAAAGCCAGGCAGCAATTATTAGCTTAAAGACAGCAAAACTGAAGATGTTTGTGTGTGAAACTTGTATGTAATCCTACAGTATGATGGAAATTTTTCCCCCCCTCCTCTAAAATACCTACTTCGGTTGAGCAGAAACAGACTATTAGAACCAGTGAAGTATTTTAATTTTTTTTTGCCCTGTGTACATTCTTCTATTTTTCACCAAGAATTTTGGAAGTGGCAATTTTGCTGCCTTCTATAGATTTACTTATGGATGGAATTCATGCACATGTAAGCATCATAATTCAAAAAATCATCAGCCATGCCAGAGTCAGCAAAAGAAAGTGAAATTTGGCAACTTCGTTTTGACCTGTAGGACAGAGCAACAGCTCTACGACATTAGAAGGACAAAAGGATTTGTACTTGGATTATTAAACAAAATCCAGTAGGGCTGTGTCTGAGCTTTTCTTATTTATCTTAATTGGATTGAATTCCGTGGACAGGTGTGTGTCAGAATTTGGAAGTTCATGACTGCTTTGTAAATAAATGTACCTAATAATAGATAATCTTGTTTTCCCATATATATGAAAATGAGAAAAATTATTTGCTTGGTTCCAGCTACTGTCAGTGAACATACGATGCTCCTGGAAGGAACAGCTAATCGCCCTCCACCTGCTGGTGGCTCTTCTGGGCCTGTAACTGGTGCTGAGATCATGAGGAAATTATCCAAGACTCACACTCACAGTGATTCTGTTCTGAAAATAAAGGTAAGTATTTGGCACCGTGCCCAAGGGGAAAGTGTTTTTTTTTTTGTAGCTGGCCTGTTTAGAAGCTGTTCTGTAGCCTGCAGAGGAATAAATGCTTGTCTAAACTGTCACTATAACTACCTGCAACTGTAACGCATGGAAGGTATGCCCCTTACCCCTTATAAAAGTGATGCTTCATCAGTTGGCCTATATTCTACATCTGTATTGTTTTTCTTGCCAATTAACTTCAGAGCTGTACTTAAAAACTATGTGCATAATTTAAGGATGTACATTAACTTTTCTGGCTGGCTTCTAATCTATTTTTGGAAGCAGAAATGAGGATTTAACTATCATTACATAAAATATAAGATTGACAAAGCTCTCCAATAAATTGTATTAAAATTAGTGTGGGTTTTTTCATTCTACAAGTTGTTCAGAAAACTGCAAGATTTTATTTTTATCTCTACTTTCTGAATAGAAAGTCTGTGAATGTGTTTTTGGGGGGGGGTTGGTTTGGTTTTGTGTGTTGGTTTTGGGGTTTTTTGTTGGTTTTGGTTTGGTTTTTTTCTTTAAGTCATTTGTTGTTTTCCATATGTGTGTTGGGCAGCTTAGTGGCTTGTACTGACTCCTTTTCAGCTGTGGTTTTTCACAGAATGGTTGACATTGAAAGGGACCTCTGCAGGTCATCTTGTACAACCCCCCTGCTCAAGCAGGGCCACCTAGAGCCAGTTGCCCAGGGTTATGTCCAGATGGCTTTGGAATATCTCCAGGGATGGAGACTCCATAACCTGTGACAGTACTCAGTCACCCACACAGTAGAAAAGCGCTTCCTGATGTTCAGGAGGAAACTCCTGTGTTTGTGCCCATTGCCTCTTGTCCTGTCACTGGGCACCACTCAGAAGGGCCTGGTTCCGTTGTCTTTGCATCCTTCCCTCAGGTATTTACATATATTAATGAGATTCCCCCGAGCCTTCTCTTCCCTAGGCTGAACAGTCCCAGCTTTCTCAGCCTTTCCTCATATAAGAGATGCTCTGGTGCCTTAATCACCTTAGTGGCCCTTTGTTGGACTCTCTCCAGTATTTCTCTCTTGTACTGGAGAGCCCATAGCTGAACATACTACTCCATGTATGGCCTCATGGGTCCTGAGTAAGGGGATAGGGTCATGTCCCTTGACTTGTGGGCAACTTGCTGTCTAATGCAGCCCAGGCTGGACAGCCCGGCACAGGCACACTGCTGCCTCACATTCAACTTGGTGTCCACTAGGACCTCCAGGTCCTTTTCTGCAAAGCTGTTTTCCAGCTGGTTGGACCGCAGCATATACTGGTGCATTTGTCTCCTCTAGTAGACAGTTGCCCACTACTACCGCTTACTGCTCCCTCCTCGTGGTCTTGCATGGTTTTGGGTTAATTGGCCCCGATGCTTTCTGTGAAAGCACATCTGGCTATTCTCAATTTTGAGGGCAGAGAACCTGTTTCATAGTTTTAAGCTTTTAGGTGGACCAGGAGCCTTCCTCTTGGTGCCAGAAGGCACCTTCCCCAGAGGCTGCACTTACCGTTATACTGGGGATGGAAGGGATTTGGTCTTCAAAGACCAAATACAAATGAAGCTTATTTTCAGTGGTTATGTATCGTTCCTTCTGGAAACTTGCTTTAGGTGAATTCTACACCCATCTGCTGTTCCATTTGCTACTTGTTTGGCTTTTTAAACTCTTTTTCCACATAAAATTATTTTAATACTTGAGAATTCAATAGCACCTTTATGCACAGTACTTGTATGGAGTATGATGTGCCCCAAGTGAAGTACTACTTGTCCAAAAGTTTGCAGGAATGAGAATTTTGTGGTTATTGTGTTCCAATCTTATATTCAGACCAAATGTCACTTCCTTTTTGCAGTTCATACAGTACTTCACTAGTTTCTTTGTTTTCTCTACAAGGGTATACATCCGTATCATTCCTTAAGTTACACTAGCGGCGATACAGCTACAGATTCACCAGTGCACGTTGGCCGTTCTGGAATGGCAGTCAAAGAAAGTCCAAGAAAAGAGAGTCTGCTCAGCTATCTTACTGGGAGTTTTCCTAGCCTGCATAATCTTTTGGAAGGGACTCCTCAAAGAAGTACAACTGCAGTTAAAAGTAGTTCTTTAACAAGAACAGGTATGATGTGGCCTAAGTAAGCTAAAGGAGGTGAAGGGAGGATTGATTTTCTTTTAATGATTTAGAAAATGTACTATATTTTCACTATGAGTTATCACTTCTGTTTAAGATCCCACCTCCCCTCTTCCTTCCCCCCAAATAGTCTTTAACAGCAGTTCCTAGACATGGCTACACCATATCATTTCCTAGAAGCAAACAGTGAGTACATCAGGTTGGAAAAAGAAATGACAACTAACAAAATAAATAAAATATTTACCTTTTAATTAGCCTTACTACTTTTTGAGTACAATACATAATTACTTAAGTGAGTCTTTCTGAATGAATAAGGAAATTAAGTGATCATTCTGTATTCGTCACTTTTTTCTTGACCTTATAAGTAGCTCAAAAAGAAGACTAAAACTAATGTTCCAGTAACTAATTTGTGTATAATAATTTGCAAATTTTTAGTAATGGTCTTTTGAACAAATGTGTTTTGTAGGAGTTTGAAATACATACATCAAAATTTTTATGCTCTATATTACTGTTCAGAGTGTATTGTTATAATGTACGTAAAGAAAAACAGATAAGTTTGATACTGCATCTTCTCTAAAACCTCTCTCCTTTGCTGTCAGGGAATGAAATATTATTCAGAAAAAAAGGTATTTTGGTTTCTTAATGACTCCTTACCTCTAATTAATGGTAGAGATAACAAATGCAATGACATTTGTAGTGCAACATCCATTAGTGTCATAGTATAACTTCAGTGTTAGCACCTGTAGTCCTGCTTGACACATAAATTAGTGGAATAAACCTTGAGGATTAGGTGTGTTTTAATGGTATATATGTATTGTCAGTGAAATTATGCTGTGTTCCTGGGTTTTGCTGACTTTGATACAACAAATGCTAAAGTTTCTGATTTATCTGTATAGGAAATACTGTGGCCACAGACATGTTATCTGAACATCCTTTGCTGTCTGAACCATCTTCTGTGAGTTTCTATAACTGGATGTCCAATGCTGTGGGCAACAGAGGAAGCGTAGTACAAGAAAGTCCAGCCACCAAATCTGGACACAATAGTCTTCCAACAGGTATTGCTAATTACAGCTGAATTTAAGAGATTATTCAGGGTTGGCTGTTCCTGTGTTTACCACATCCTTTTTGGAAGTAATTGAGCAAGTGACTTAAGTTCAACAGATGTAAATATTACTTGTGGGACTTTCTCAGCACACTGGAAAATGAACAAATGTGATTTAACCAAAACTGTTGTCTTCATTTTCCTCACCCTGCCTCTGAAAATTTAACTTTTACTTGCATTTGGAACTGTAAATGTGGCTTCCAAACCCGTGTGTAGCTGCAAAAAGCTAAGCCGTAAAATCATCCTTAGTTGCAGGGTTCCTTGGATTTTGTTAGTTACTGTTAATCTGATTTGCATATGCTGTTTTTGTCATGAAGGTTTTGTACATTGGAATCCTTGCTCTTTCTGGGTTCAATTTTGAGACTAAACATAAACATCTAGTTAGCGGTGTCCCTACTCCTGCAGGGGGGTTGGACTAGATGACCTCTAGGGGTCCCTTCCAACCCAAAACATTCTATGATTCTATGATTCTATGATCTATTTTGAGAGTAACATCCTTCAGGGATGGTGGTCAGCTGGTGTAGGGGAATGGAGAAAAGGAAATATACATTACTGAAAGTCTGAAGTGTGTTAGACATATGTAACAGCTTATTGTAGCTTGTCTGTTATTCTTGTAAGCCTGTCATCATTCATAATCCTAAAATTAATTTTCAATTTCAGTAATGCTAAATTTGAATGTTTCTTCTATTAACAGTCTTTCAAGCATAATGTATCAACCTTAGGCAATAATAAGTTATTTTAATTTGTTGTTAATATTGCACAAATTGTCTGATCCTACAAAGCATCTTTGTGCTGTACATATTGCTTAACTGGTATGGTTCCTCTCTAAATTGGAATCTGTTTCTCTGCAGGAAGAATCATAGGGTAGAAATATAGCTTTCAAATTTTTTTTTTTTTCCCCCAGAAGCAGCTGTGTTTTTTCCTCCTGAAACAAGGAGTTTGTTCACAAGCTCAGGTTCCTGAAACTAAGATTTAGTGATTTTAATTTGGCCACAGTTCTAGCCAAACCATTTTTCTGTGGAGGCGTGTAGTTGTGGCTCCCTGATAAGTGCTGTAAGACTTTAGTTTTGAAGAATTGGGATTAATTTATATTGGCAGAGCAACTCTGTCTCATGGAGACTTGAGTTCAGTCCAGACTCAAGATGCAGGCGATTCACCATTGCTCTGCCTTTGTGCTGCAAGTTTGATTGCTCTTGAATAGAGCAACAGCAGGGAAGTGGCTGTCCGTAGTCATTTTTATGAAGAGCATATTTGGCTAGAGACTAATCTATAGACATAGGGATCTTGCATTGGGACTAACAAAATCCAGAAGCTTATAGCACATTGAAAGCTAAAAGCAAGTATGTGCAACTGTGGATAATCTTTGGGTTTTGTTGATGGTATAGGTTACTCAGCCTGCAAACTATCTCAGTTTAAACAGGAGTTAAGTACCCTATAGAATGCAATCCAGAAATATTTTTCTGCTTTCCAAATATGAGTTGGGCTATCTCTATTTATTACCTATTTCAGCGATAAGAGACCGTTTCTTTATCCTGAATGCCACTTTTGCATGGTTATAGACCTGACTAGGACTTTGACTTTCTATGTATATGGTATGTGTTTCTATATAATTAACCTTGCTGAATTAATAGAGTTGGTGGTGTTAAACTTTGCTGTGGTGTTAGTGTTCCATGGGTATTTATTTTTCAGGTGTGGCACCCAATCTTCCTACAATACCCTCTGCTTCAGACTTCAACACAGTTTTGTCTAGTGACCAGAACACCCTGGATGGCACACACTCGCAGCACAGCACCAGCCAGGATGACATTGCAGGTGTAGAAGAGGGTAACCAGGGGTTTCCTGCTGTCCAGCTAGCAGATGCACAGGTAGGTGTGGTTTGCTGATGTATTTTGGAGTTGTCCAGGGAAAAACTAGTTACAAGTTTAAAAAAAGAAAAACCTTACAGCGATGAAAATGTTATCCTGTTTTTGCGCACATTTTCTTATGCATTCCTATGCAAAGATGAAAGGCTCAAGAAACCTCTGAGGTGTCCCGTAACAGACCTTAAGGATGGTGATTAATAGAGCATTGTTTTATAACTTCAAAGAACATACAGGAGCATTTATGGTATTAACCTAGTTCTCCAGAGTACTTTTCACTGAGGGGAACATGCATAAATCTTGCTCCCATAGCTAAGCATTCAATGCTTGTTTGCTGTGTAATCAGTCTTTTTACTCAAAAAGTCCACAAAGTTTCTCCTTTTTATCCCCCTTCTTTCTGTTTTACAGCACTGTCAATAAAACTTATAAATGTTCTATATTATGTAGCTGACGTTATAAATATTGTAGATCAACAAATGATGGAGCAAGAATACAGGAATAATCTAGACAATAAGAAGTAAATCAGTGGTTTTGTTTTGTAGGTTGTTTTCAAACCTCTTCTAAGTTACACGGGAATTCAGTCTCAGGATGCAATGCCACTCTGCTACAGAATGTACTTCGGAGAGTACCTTTCATTCTCAGGAACTTTGGACTGCCTAAGAGCAGATATTGTTGATTCAGATACAGCAAAGGAAAGAAAAAGCAAGCGAGCTCGAAGGTATCTTGTGAGATATTTGAAAATACGTATATTGGTTAAAGAACAGAAATTAGGTTTTTCATGTGAAGACACAGAATTCCAAAGCACTTCCATAGAATAAGGAGCAGTCCTTTATTCTTTTAATCTTACCTATTTTGTCTTTTCATTAGAATATGGGGTTTTTTTAAATTTTCCTGTGGAATGGTTTGGAAATTTTAAGTATTTGAATCTCAGCTACTTTTGAAAATTGGAGATTGGGGAAGAAAGGGGAATAATAGTGAGGGAAATTTGAGAGGCTCTTGAATGCTGTTTCATAATTAATCCTGTAAATGAGCTTGTTATTTTCGGTGTAAATGCTCAATCTTTCCCCTGACTCCACTGACAATTTTGGGCAAAGCTTTAGGTTATGATGGAAAGATTGCATGCCAAACTAAGTCTACACAGAACTGAATGATTACTATGTTAGTAGCATGCAGTATGAAAGTATAAAAGTTCATTTTTTATATTTAGAACTATGGTAAAAAAGTGATACCCTAAGGGAAATAAAAGGTTGGGTTCAGTAAATTAGATGTACCACTGTGTAAAAAAGTATTTGACTCCCATGAAAAGAAACAAGTAGTAACTTGTACCTTTTCTTTCCTTAGGCAAGGCGCTGTCAATCTTCCTCCTCTTGAATTCAAACCAGCTTTGATGTTAGAAACTTTCAGTATTAGTGCTGTTGTAATGGAGAAATCCATGTGCACACCTCATAACTCCACCAATGCCCTTTCTTTTCATGACTTGAATAAACGCTATTATAATACTTTTCACTGTAATTTTACAATTTCTTGCCAGTCCATAAGCCAGCACGTGGATATGGCACTGGTTCGTCTCATTCATCAGTTCAGTACAATGATTGATGATATCAAAGCCACGCAGACGGACATCAAGCTTAGCAGATACACGGCTGGATCAGCCTCTCCGACACCTACTTTTAAAACCCGCAAACACAGAGACTTCCGCTCTTCTGACTTCAGCCGAAGCTCTCGAGGAAGTCTTAATGGAGGTAACAGAGTAAACAACACCAAGAACAAACGAACGAACAATGAGAACAATAAAAAAGAGTCTCGAAACAAGAATTCCTTGGGGAGGTCAGAAAGAAGAACTTCTAAAGTGTCCAGGAAAGGTTCAAAAGATGTAGTTGACCACATGACTATTCATATGGATGACTCTGACTCTATTACGGTGTCGGAACAGAGCGAACCTTCTGCTGAGTGCTGGCAAAATATGTATAAATTATTGAACTTCTATTCACTCATTTCTGATCCAACTGGGATTTTAGAAAAGTCTTCTGAAACTTTCGGGCCAACAGGTAAACTTGTTCATGAATCCAAATAATTGAGAGTGCATGCTTTTGCTCAAACATACTCTTCTAAAGCTTGACAATAAGGTGGCTTTTGAAATTTGTCTACCCCTTCTAACTTGGATCAGAGGGGCAAGTGGTGAGGATTGGGGGGCAGCTTGTAACTAGTTCACAGAGATAGTATACAAAATAGAAAAAAATCTTTTCCTGGCTTTATAGAATGCTTTGATTCTTTCAGCCCTAGATTTAGTCAAATAAGTGGTAATTAATTAGTTTTAAATTCGGTCCCTTGATATTCTTGTGCAGCTCTGTTAATCTGGATTTGCAGTGGTCGTGGGACTGTGTTAACTTCTCTGGTTAACTGTGTACAGGGTGGGTTGAGTTTGTTCCTCCCTAGCTGCTATTTTGTTTTTAAGTGGCTAATAGAAATGCTGTATATTATCATTCTGTGAAAATATGTAAGCACGTACATAAGCAATCCTGAGGAGATAATTTCTGCCCTGTGAATGACTGAATAAAAAAGTCATCTGTGAACCTAGCTTTGAGAGAAGAAAAGGTGAATACTGATTTTTGTAAAGTCCAGCAATGATTACAGGTTTTTGGGCCATAATTTCACCCAAAGCTTTGACATCTGGGGTGGTCATTGTTCTCTATTTCCAACGCACAGCAGAGTAAATTTGAGAGCTGACCTAGCATCATTCTTTTTGCTGGTGAACTGAGGTTGCTGTAAATATGCAGGGGATGGTATAGTTACTAGTTAGGCTTATTTTCTTTGTTACTTCTTTTAGCTAAAGAATGAAAAACTGAGAGAGTGTCAAATGAGAGCTGCTGTTAAACAGAGGGCAGTATCTTTCAAGCACAGAATATCATATCCACAGCTATGATACCTGCACAAAATGTAAATTTTCTTACATTGTTTTTATGTTCTGAGTGTTGAAAAGGAAAACTTGCTCATCCAGAACTAAATCATGAGAACTTTTGGCTGTGAAATGATCAAAAAAGAAACAGGACAATTGGAAACTGCCAGAGCATTTTTATTGTATAACAATAAAATCACATAAAGATGAATATTTATATAATGCACATAAGGATATATCTGTGAATAATAATGAAATTGCATCACTCATTATTGTCCCCATTGTGTCTTGGATTTGGTTCAGTGCAATGTTATTAGAGTGGAATAAACAATGCACAGACAATTTGCCTGAAGAGTTTGCTGGATGTGCAAGATACATCATCCTTGCTTTCAAATACAAATATAAATCAGGTAAGCCAAGGATTTCTTGTAAAGTACCCTTAAATAACTCCTTTGTGGTTTTGTAGGTGTTCGAAGCCCGACCGAACCTGCCTGTCGAGTGGTGTTCGAGAACGAACAGGATAATGGCAGAGACACGCAGAGGAAGCGCAGCCTGGTGACTTCGGAGCCACAGCACGTGACTCTCATCGTCTTTGGAATTGGCATGGTGAACCGAACCCACCTGGAGGCAGACATTGGCGGTCTAACGATGGAATCTGAACTGAAGAGAATCCATGGCAGCTTCACCCTGAAAGAAAAAATGAAAGGTGGGATAAACTAAAATGTACTCTGTAATTATTCAATGGCAGCTTTACAGGTTTATGTGTGTGCACATACCCATACCAATGTGCACGTGTGTTTAATAAGTTTTGTTTGTAAATAGTCGTACATTATGCCTGTGTGTGGATAGTATAATAACATTTAACAAGTTCTTTTAAAAACTATTACTAGGATGCTGAAGCATTTTAGAAGGGTGAAGATTTTCACAAAATACTGTGAAGATTATTTTAGAAGATAGTTACTCCTTTCATTTTCAAAAGCTTTCTCCTTGTCGTAGTTTAAATTTGGTATTACTTAATGTGACTACTAAAACTAATTTTTTTCAATTATTTTCCTGCTACTGTATTTTTGAAAGCAATAGACATCCCTGGAAGTATTTTACTGAATGAAATGCTGTTAAGTATCTTTTTTCTTAAAGATGTGCTACATCAAAAGATGACGGAGACATGTGCCACTGCTCACATAGGAGGTGTCAATATTGTCCTGCTGGAGGGAATTACCCCAAATATCCAGTAAGTATGAAGCCTGACAATTTAAAATTGTTCAAGTGCACAGAAGTTGTTGAAACTGTATGAGTTGTGTGACAGTAAAAGTATGTAGGTTAATATGGAGAAAGCACTGATATGTCTTCCAATAGAATTTGTGAAGTCAGAGTTAGTTGGCAACCATGCAGCTGTTGCTGAATTGGGTTTCAGTTTGACTTGTCAAGCTAATTGCATGTGCCTATTGAGAGGAGGCTTTTCTATGAAAGGTGTATCTGAGCAAGCTGAGAAGGAATACGGTGAGTGCATTAGTAGGTTTCAGTCTAGGGTATCCAGTCGCACAAGTCTTAGACATAATTGCATGAATATGAATGCTCCTGTTCCTTTCTATTTCTAATAAAAGATATCAGTAAGTTCAGAACTGATTGTAGCATCACAGTGTAAATGGGTAAGTGACCTGACTGAAAAATCGTAGATGACAGGTCCTCTTGTAAAAAGAAACAAATAAAATCTCGTGTAATCAGAGCTTTCTGCACTAATTTTATTCCATATGGTGTACGCATAGAAACTTTATCACATTGTGCATATTGTTTCTCTTATGCTTCTAATTGCTTTTTGAAGCTTAAAGCTTCCACTAAACCATACAAGGTTTTTAGGGAGTATTTAACCTACTGATGCTGATTATTCCCATATAAGATCTGTATTGTTTCTTCAATAGATATCCTTTTGAACTCCCACGATGCATGATTCTTTGTGTTATTTTTACAGTTCTAATATCCATTCTCCACCCTTTATATAATTGACACAACTTGGCAGGGGCGGGGGGGAGAATCAGTTTTGTGCATGAACATCTTGAATGACTTGCTCAGCATCCATATTGCTATTTTTTTTTTCCAGGTTCACAAACTCAACAAGGGCATGCATTATTTTTCTTTGTTTCTAGCTGAACTTCTTTCTGTTTGAGTTGCAAAACAACAGTTGAACTACAACTCTCTAATGTAGATCACCCTCACACAGTTTGAGTGTTGGCTGGGTAACCCTCAGTATGTAATCTGGTTTCAGAATATTAAAGTTGTAGAAAGGGAGCTAAATAACGTGACTTGAGTCTCTCTTCTTTTAATTCCTGTTTAGTTTGAAAAATGCTATATAGACCTTAAAACATACAGAATTTTATTCATGTCTCCAGCTAAATTGCTTCTGATAAGCATGTTTCAGAGGTATAAATAAAAGTTGTAATCTGGCAACCATGTAGGGTTTCTGAAGGCTATTGAGGTTCTTCATGTCTGTTTTACTCATAATCTTACTGAGCTTCCATATGTGGAGGGTACAAAAGGAAAGAGGGGAAATAATGATAAATATTTGACAACAAAAACAGCAGCAAACAACAAACCCTAACAAACCCAAAACCTTCAACTTGGTAAATTTGAAAGTGAGTGTCATATTGTGGGTTACAAGTAATTAACTGACTAATTTTGCATGAATGTTTATTCTTTATTTGCTTTGTTTTTGTTTTTCTTGCTTTCTCTTCAATCTTCATCTGTAGACTGGAGGATTTTCCTACATCTCCTACAAGCACAGCCAAACAAGAGTTTCTGTATGTCATATTATTATGTTTAATAGTCTTGCAATTAACTCTGTGTTGTGTAGCTAATGGCTGCATTCCTACTGTGTGTGATTGTGTAGGCAGATGTTGCTTGAATACATTTTAGTTTAACATCTAATATTACCTAGATAAGCTTTTAATGTAGCCTGCTAAATATCTGTCAAAAAAAGCCCTTTTAAATGTTAACAATCTGCCTTTAGGGACAGATACTACGCTATATGGTCACTACTGTAATGCTAAAATGGTTTCACTGGCTGTTAATTTCTTTAGATCTGCTTCTGTGTTTATTTTAATGAGGTGAAATAGTGTTGGTAAATGTAAAGGAACAGACAGGTTAGATTTGCTTTGAACTTGGTAAGGAACTGCTGTGCTTGGAGTACCTGCTGTGATTTCGGCATGAATAGGACCTTTCCTTTTGTCTGTCTTTACTTCTGTGCTGGGTTTAATTACTAGGCGTGCTGACCAGGTTATGCTAACACAAAATGTTTTCCGTAAAACTATGCCTCTGCATCCACTGCTAACGAAGGTGACCCTCTTCATGTCCCCCAGATCCGTATGTGTGAATGTAGGGCTTTTCTCTTGCAGAAGATGCAGTGTTTTCTTCCTAGTTGCTTTCTTACTTCCTGATGCTAAAGTCCAGAGGGTCTCACTGGGAGTAGTGGTCAAGGTGGGAGGTGGTACACTGGCAACCCAGAAGCCCTGATACCCAATGACCCTGCAGTACTCTGAGAAGAAAAGTTATGTAGCCAAAAATTCTGAGGCTCTTCCTTTTTTTTTTTTCCCCCCAAAGCAGTATTCTGAGCACAGATCTCTTTTAGTGCTTTAGACCACCAGTGCGTATCTTTTAGAAGAACTTAGTACAGCTGCTGTTTGTTACAGCATTTGTGTATATTCTGTGTTGTGATAATACAGGATTAACTTTAAAATGTCCTTATAGATGGTGGCCCTGAAGGGAGAGGTGGTGGACTGTAAAACTGCAAGTGACGTAAAGAAAATACTCTGGTTTTTGTTCCTTTTTGTCTGGTAGCAACATTAAACCAGCCAAAGAAAGTAGTTTTTTGCATAGTGCATCACTGAACAGTTGAATTCATTGCCATATGATATAGTCAACAAAAGTATAAAAGAGGTAAAAGGATTGGACAAATCCACGTAGGGTAGGTCTGGTGGTGAACCGTGAACACAGTACAGCCTCCGGCTCAAAGAGTAAACCCCTGATGGCTGGAATTAAGGAAAGGATCACTTTATTTATGCCTCAGGTATCTGCTACTGCCTAAATTTTCATCTGACACAGTGTGGTAGTTCCTGTGTGTTAAGGGGCCTCCTGCTGATGTTTTTCCCCCCATTTTTCTAACATTCCCAAAAATCTGCTAGGTTACGTGGTGGCCTTGTAGCCAGTTCTGTAGTCAGAAAAGACTTGGTTCACAAGTTTGTCCGGAGAGGGATTATTTATGGAATTGATGCAAGAACATAAAATTACTTATGAATGCATTACCGGTATATAACTTAAATATCGTTTAATTATTTTAATAATACTCAGCCAGATCTGTTATAGGCATATCACCGTAGGTAAGCAAACCGCAGATACATAAGGTGTGGTACGTGTTCCAAATAAACGTACAGCCACACAGTTGTTCTGTATTTCATTCAGTCGTGGAAGTAGGTGTTTTGTAGACCAGACAAGTGACAGTGAAATTCATTCATTGCGTGAAATATGGAAATACCTTAGCAGAGAAGCACAGTTAATCTTGCTGAAATCTGATTCTCCTGCGACAGCTATATTAGTGTAATTTTTTTTTTGATTAAGGAAGTGCTTAAAATGGTATGAATTCACATGTTCGGAATTGATTGTAAATTCGGTACAGACTTTAACTCCAACTACTTGAACTTTTAACTGCTACACAAATAGGTTAAGTCTAGATTGTCTGTCTTGTATGGGTGAAGAAGAGATCTTCCCTTGCGTTGAAAGGTGTTCTTGTTATGCTTGAATAGCTAACTTAGTATTATTTTGTGTTATAGATGAGGGAAAAATATATTCTTGAATGGCTTCACAATAGTTCTGTCAGAATGGCAGCAGGAAGAGTGTAGAAAATAAGCAAACATCAATGGAGAAATAATCATGGGGTTTTTTTTTCCTTTTAAAGAGGTGGATTAAAATAAGTCTGCCCTTAAGTAACATTTATTTGTATAATGCTTTTTCTGAAAATATTTGTGAATTAGGATTTGTTTCCTCTTTCATATTTGTGTTGATTCTTCAAATATTTTGAAGTAGTTTCTACTTGACAGTTTACCCAAAGATATTAATCCATAACTGCTTTATGTCACTCTTGTGTAGCTGTGAAAATCTGAAAATGTTTCTGTAGCTTCAGTAAATTAATCTGCTGTTGACAGGCCTGTGATTGCATTACAGTGCTGTGTATTTCTTCATTATAAGCAGAAAAGCAGAAGGATGCTGCCTTTTTTTTTATTTTTACTTTTATTTTTATTTTTTTTATTTCCACACCTGGGATGCTTTGGGCTAGTTGATATTTTAACATCAGAACAAGGAGCCCTGTGTTAGGGCTTCACAGAAGAAATGTTAGGGAATAGAATTCATAGAATACTATAGCTTTCACCATGAAACCAAACTGAACAGTTTAAGTCATGATACAAAAAGTATTTTAGTTATGCTCCTTAAAATTTAGTATTTGAGGAAGTTGCATTGAATGTTGCAATTTTATAGTTGGGTTTTCAGACATTTTAGCTAATGTATTGCATCTTTACCACTATATGTCTTTCTCTTGGAGGCTGTAATATTCTGTGCTGGCTACATAATGTACTTCCATTGGGTAACCAGTAATTGACCTTAGATGAGAAATGTTACTGTGTTACCCCGTGTATCTTTTTTAATAGGAGCTTAGTGAATTCTGATGTGCCAAAATTTCATTCTGATATCAAAAACTGTCAGCCTTGTAGTTGTATTTTTATCTTGGGTAACTTGTGAACAGTATCCTCCTTAATATTAAAATACAGTTTAGACTTCATATTTTGGAATAGTATGTGTCAATTAAATGTTGGTTATTAGTTCACAAACCCATTCGTCCCTTGCCGTGTATTTATTGCTAAGTGAGTATTTCCTCCATTGACATTTTTGGATGCTAAAATCAGATTTTACTAAGTCTTCTTATGAAAAGGATGATTCAAGATTATTCCTGAAAAGGAGTTGAAATGGAAGGCTCTTACTTGTTTCCGTGTGTGAAAATTTGTCTGTGTATGTGCAGCCTAGTGTGTATCAACTCAAATGATCTTACATTATGCAAGGATAACAGTTTAACAGGTATTTTTGCAATGCATGACTTGTAGTTCTCTTAAATGTAGTGTAGTTGTTTGTGGCATGTAGTGCATCTGTGTGTGTAAAGTCAAAGAAGGAATGTGTATGTAATTTATAAACAAAATCAATTCTATGAATAGTTTAAAATTCAGCTAACACTTAAATCCCCATTTTAACATAAAACCATAACTGTTTTGAAAGACGTGCAAATAAATCCTATTTCCATTTCTGTTAGAACTGTCGTGAAATGCAGTATTGCCAAATCCCAGGCCCTGTATAGTGCCCAGAGAGGGTTGAAAACAAACAACGCTGCTGTGGTCAAAGTTGGAGCCATCAGCATCAACATTCCTCAGCACCCTGCCACGCTGCACAGCATGATGGTGCGCAGTTCTCACCAGCTCTCCAAGCAGATTTCGGATCTCATCAGGCAGCCATCAACTGCGTAAGTGCTGCTCTCATGGTGCTTCTGAACGCTGCTGGTTGCTGTCCATTTATGGGCTTGTGCTACTGTGAACACATGTGGGAGAGTCAGGCTAGTCATATATCATGTTAGAATAACAAAAAGTGTTTTCTGATGTTTGTCTTGGTAAATAGGCCCCAGCCTACCAAAGAAGATGTTGCGACTCCTTTGCCCTCTGAAAAGACTCCAACAAGTATTAATCAAACGCCTGTTGAAACGAATGAATTTCCACAGCTGCCAGAAGGCTTAGAAAAGAAGCCCATAGTTCTTAAATTCAGTGCCATGATAGATGGTATAGCTATTGGAGCAGCGCTCTTGCCCTCTCTGAAGGCAGAATATAAGATGGGAAGAATGAGGAGTCACGGAATGACAGGTAACAGTTCTCTGAAACTTTAGAAACATGATGGCTTTGGCATTGCTAGAAGCATCCAAAAGGACTCGATATTTCTGTTGAATTGTAGCTAGAGTATTGTTGTACAATTCTGTTGAATTGTAGCTGAGTCTGTTGCTGTTGGCTTATTTTTTTGAGTGTGAACTTCAATCAGGTGGGGCCATATAGAGAATTTACGCTACTGTTGTTATACCCAATTGCCAGAGGCAGAATACAAGAGCAGGTGAAGGCAGGTGTACATTCATATATAGCTTCCTCCCAGGAAGCTTCCCTCTGACTGCTAAAATCAGTTTATAATCCTTGATTAATTAAATTCTGATTCATAAAGCTACTTGAGAATACTCTTATAGGGCCTCAGTACAGATAGGGTGGTTTGTATGACTCCCTCCTCCATCTAATTACAGTGAGGTCTTAATTTTCTTTAAAAATTAAGAAAACCCAGAATCACATGGGTGGATATTTATAGCTGTACAGGTTTGTGCACTTCAATAACATTGTAAAGATTTTTTTTTTTTTTTAAATTAGAAAAATGTTCCTAAATTTAAGGATAAATAAAAATCCTTTGCCAGTTCATACCTTTTCTTTCCCTGTCTTCCTTTTACAGGCGCCCAAACTAGATTTAATTTTGAGCTACCAAGTCACAGATTGCGCTTTACTTCAAAAGTCTCTGCCACTGATATGTCAACCATTCCTCCTTCGGCAAGTCTCAACCTTCCTCCTGTCACGATGTCAGGCAAATATATCATGGAAGAACATGATACTTACTCGGACCAAATTTGGAGCATAGATGAACTACCTGCTAAGCAAGGCTATTATCTACAGGGGAACTACTTGCGTTGTGTGGCTGAAGTAGGTATTGAAGACTGTAGTCGTCTTTGATAACTTGTTATTTCCATCCTGTTACATTTCTGTATGTGCATCTTCGTGTTATTTTAACAATCTGCCTACTCCAGAATCTCGGGTTTACAGGCTGGTCCAAATATAGCATTTGTAATTACGTGACACTAAAGTAGAAATTTCTCAGTCCTTCGTTTGATGAACAGCCAACATATTAAGCAGTCAAGACCACTATATCAGAGGATTTTGAATATGTTATTTTTTGCAAATAAATAAGGAAAATAGGTTTAGAAACTTTTTTTGGAATGACATTATTTCTCACCAGTGAAGTAGACAAAAGTATATTACGCTGATGATTCAAATAAAGTGTAAAGTTAAACTGAAAGCTTATGCTAACACATTGGATAATGTCATATATTTTGCTAAGAGAAATGCTGAAAAATTTTAAAACAATTTTATTGTTTTAAAACTGTTTTATTTTTTTCATGATTAGACAGCTCTGTAGCTAGGAGAACCTATATATAACCTTAGTAAATGATACAAAATTTTATGTTTGACACAGAGTGTTCTACTCTTCTACTCACGTGTTCTATTTGTGTACCGATTACTTTTTACAGAGAGCAAAATAATGATGCTTAAATGAAACCTATCCGTGGAGAAAAGCGGGGCTTTTCTGTTAACTACGTTTCTTTAGTCGGAAGAATAGTCTAGCTTGTTTGTAATTGAGACTTCTGATGTTTGCATCTTTATGGGAGAAGTTTAATTAGGTGCTGCTCTTTGTTCAACCCATTTGAGTTATTTCCTGGCTGAAGAAAGACCTTGGGTTCTTTGAATTTCTTCAGCATGTAAAACAAAAGGGAAGGGGCTGCTTAGCAAAGGCAAAAGCCCAGTCCAGTTAGTTTTAGAAAATACCTGTATTTTAATTTTATTTAAAAAAATCTTACTGGAAAATTTAAACAATCTTAGGCAGACGGCAGTTCCTTAGGAATATTCTTTAAGATTAGATCGGACACATAATAAGTTTACTGTTGAAGATACCAGTAAACTTGTTCATCTACAGTAACTTGAATAATGCCCTTTTAGAGGTTGACAGCTCATTTCTGTTTTGTTCTGATAATGATTTACTATCTGTAATTAAGCAGCATTTTGCATACTTCCATGAACCTTTATCAAGTCCTGCATTTTATTGTCTAAGCTAAACTTAAGCAGGAGAAAAAACTTTTTCATATTACAATGTATGTCCTTCAGTTTTCTGATAGGCATTCACAGTAGAAAATTGCAAGACAAAACTATTTAATGTTCTGTTTTTATGGCAATAACAATATAATTGTACTTTAAAAGATAACTGAAAATGCATTGCTTTGAAAATATAGGTATGGTAATTCTTATAAAATTTTGTATTTCTGCAGGTTGGTTCCTTTGAACATAATCTCACAACTGATCTTTTAAATCATTTAGTGTTTGTACAAAAAGTGTTTATGAAGGAAGTAAATGAAGTCATACAGAAGGTTTCGGGTAAGCAGAACCTTAAACCCAACTTTTTAAGTAAGATCCTTAACCTTGTTTGATGGCAACATTATATAGTTCTCTGGATCCACTATTTATTTCACAGACACCATCATTTCACATCTAGCACTACAAGCAGCAGCAAGAAGCAAGCAGCAGAGCTGGAGCTTGAAGTAATAACAGAAGCTCTGGAAATTTTTGTAGCTCTATCAGAAACAAGGTGTTTTATTGGGAAGCAGGATAGTTTGTCATTCTGGACACTAGCCTCTGTGTCTATCTGTGACACGACCTTGGCTGGCTTACTTTCTGTATTCTCTTTGTTGACCTGTAAAATGCAGAACCTGATACTGCATTTTGTAAAACAATGTCAGCATATCCTTTTAAAGGATAACAGCTCTGTCCAGGGAAAATAATGTCAATATTGGTATTACTTAGTGTTCCCTGATTCCTAGCTCTTTGATTCTTTGCAGATAATGTGTTTCAGAACTGTATGAAGAAGGCATTTGGCTATTCATTAGATTGTTTTGTGTATGATGCTGTATACTGCAGGAGTGACTGTTTTGTTTCTGTCGTTTAGGCTGGCTTCTGTTCTCAAAAAAATTTCAGAAGAAAAATAGCATTGTCATTAAAAACCCAATTAGAGAACAGTTGCAAAATCACTCAGTGCTGTCTCTTTTGCAGTATGCAATGAAAATTGCGTACTGAATTGTGCGTTCATCTGTTTGACTAGACAGCCAAATTTACAAAACATTTATTTTCTTACATAAAAAACTCTGTCAATCTGACTGAATCACAGTTTGTACAGCATTTAAAAATCGATCCACTCACTTTCTAGTTTTTACTGTTAGAGGTTTGGTCTGTGTTCAAGGACTGAAAGCAAGCCAAAAATCTGATAACTTGTGCCATGCAATGGTATTTCACTCAGCAAACAAGTTCTGTCACCCTATACACTGGAAAAAATAGTATAAAATTATATTATTTTTTTCTGATATGTGACTACTCTGAGGGCAAATGTAAGGACTGGAAGCTTTGTTTGACGCATTCATTATTGTTCGGTAGTCTTTTAACAAAATACAGGAGTATAATTTACTGTGGATGTTACATGATGGATGAGGAGATGAACACAAAAATAAGTAGAGAACTGTAGAAGTGTTTCGTGGTTCATTAGGTCCACAAAATAAGAATTGGGAGAGGGGGATAAACAGTAAATGAATTAAAAAAAGGAAAAGCAATCATTAATAAGGAGTATTGTATATGAAGAAGTAATAAAAAGTCAAAAATAAAGTAAAATAACTAGGGGAAATAAGGGGAGTATGAATATTATTAGTTATGTTTTTTGAGGAAGAAGGATGTTGCAGGATGACAAATGTGAATAAGTATTCAAAAGCAGGTAAATTTTCAAGTAGTTTGATTTTAACACTTTTTGAGTTATCCTAAAAGTCTATTATAGAGATACAGCTAATTTTTAGTGGAAAGATTCATTAATAATGGGAAACATCATGAGGAAAGATAAACTAAAAAGTGTAACTAAGTGAAAGGAGTGTCTATGTGTGCGTGTATATATTGATGCATTCAAATGTACATAAAAGAAATGTGCAGGTCCAGATGACGTGCCCTCAAGGGAGTTAGAATATGTAGTGGAGAAAATGGAAAATGTCGGAATCCCTGAAGGATAAGAAGAAACAGATTTTAAACACCCTGACATTTGTTCCAGGCAAAATATATTAGCATTGGGTAGCGAGAACACTTAGGGGAAGAATAAACCTTCAACAGCTGTCAGTATTCTATTAGAAGAATTTTTATAGAGGAGCATAAAGTGGTAAAATGGGAAACCTATATTAGGTTTCTTTTACAACATTTCTCAGTCTCTAGAGTTCAGCCTCTCCTCTGTTTTTATGTGAGGAATTTATTACCATTGCTAGTTCTTTGCTTTTCCAGACTAAATTTGTATTGCAAGTAGCAGCCTGATGAAATGTGACTGCTACCTTCCATGTTGTGGTAATTCAGCGGGGATGTGGTCGGGTGCCAGCAATCCATGGGCCCGGGTGCTGAATGCACAACAACGGGGTGGAAAATAACTTCTGACTTTCTGGCTTGCAGCAAAGTAATTTTCATGGCTTGCAAATTCCAATTAGTGTAATATCCTAAAGTGGTTTTTCTGATTATACGGTTTCTGTTGCACTAAAATACTGATTGCATATTATCCTTGTTGAAAAACTGGGTAAGTACCAATTACTTAAAGGTGAAGTTGCACAGATTAAAAGCCAGTTAATGAACAGAGCAGTTCATAATCATTTCATCTGCAAGTTGAGGGCAGTGTTCATCTAAAGACAGCTGGTGTCCGCTTTCAAACTCGTATCACTTTTTGCACTGGTTTATGTAAAAATTCACATCTAACTGCTAATTTAGTTTCATTCAGGAAAATTACACTCCCTTAAAGGTAGATGGAGAAAGTTTATTTAAAATGAATATATCTTTTCTTTCTTTTTTCTTTTTTTAACTGACAAATGCTTTACAAACTTTATGAAGAGATGTCATTGCAAAAGTAGCCTCTAATATGCATGTGGAGAATATATGAAAGATGAGTTAGTTCTCTTGCTCGGAACCCTTAGGTTACCATTGTAGTTTTACATGATCCTGTTAAGAATTTGGGGGGGGGACACCAACAAAAAGAGGAGGTGATTAAAACTATTTGGAGAAGAAAATCATCCAGGTACAAAATGGACTGATAAAAATTTACTGTTGTTGTTTGTTTGGAGTTTTTTAAATGCATGATTTAACTGCCTATTCTTACCACCAAATAACTGTTGTTAGAAGAATTGGCATACATGGAGAGAATTAATGGCTTAGCCTTTTCCAGCAGCAAGCCCTTCCTATAAACTAAAATTGACTATAGATCAAGTATCAAGGAGAATTTAAACCAGGATTGCTCTTTCAGGTTAGGGCCTATGGGGGGTATGTAACTTGGGATGAAATGTGCCAGGATGAGGAAGTAAACACAAAAATACAGTAACCGCTGAATACTCTTTCCTCCTTTCATTGAAAAATACTAATATAATTTCAGTTCCTCTTTTCATGCAATTTGCACAGTATTCAGTCAAGTGTTTAATTTTTATTGTCAGATAATTAGGAGATACGTTCGTACAGGAGACAAAGAACATCTTTTTGAAAACTAGGTGTTACTCCTTACTGGCTTTGAGCCTTCCTGTGGAAAGTTTCCCAGGAGGGAGGAATATGACTCTGCCTCGATTCTTAATAGAGAGCTGTTAACTATATGTAACAAGCTGAATCTGCACCGATGTCTTCCATCTTCAACCTATATTTGTTTTTATAAATCTGCAACTAGTTGCTGTTCAAAATGAGGCTTAATTCACTGTCACCTTTTTTAATATCTATTTGTTTTAAAATGTTTTCTTTGTTAAAACTCTGAATGTGTATATTTAATGTGTACAGGAGGGGAGCAGCCAATACCTCTTTGGAATGAACATGATGGTACAACCGATGGAGAAAAACCAAAAATTCTTCTTTACTCATTGAGCCTACAGTTTAAGGTAATCTTATGATGACAAAAAGGTGGTCCTAGATGCTATTAATGGCTTTTGGGTTTCTACCTCAAAGGTTATTGAATCAGGAGTACTCTGCATGAAGAAAAAGACGTTGAGTTTGGTTCCTGTAATCTTTTAAAATAGCTTAGTGGCCTTGCATTATGAAAAGCAATTATGTCTTTTTGTTTCGCTGCACAGTGAAAAGGGTTTTTTGTTTTGTTTGTTGGTTTTCTTTTTTCCCCGTCTCTTTAATTCTCTGAACCAGATCCTAATAACTTTGTACCTTCCTTATTCATTAGGGAATTCAAGTGACAGCTACAACTCCCTCAATGCGAGCCGTGAGATTTGAAACTGGATTGATAGAACTTGAACTCTCAAACAGACTGCAAACCAAAGCAATGCCTGGAAGTAGCAGCTACCTCAAACTGTTTGGGAAATGCCAGGTGGATTTAAATCTGGCACTAGGACAGATCGTTAAACATCAGGTTAGTGCTCAACAACGTTGCATGTGGTGTTCTTAATAGTGTGTGATTAAAAAAAACATAGCTGAGTCAAGAGGCTGTCTCATGCTGCTGTTTGATTTTTTTTTTTTTTTTTTTTTTTTTTTTTCTGATCTGGCTGTAAAGGCAGAAGGGGAGGGTGTTGGTTTTTTGTTTGAGTTTGTGGTTTGTTTTTTTTTTTTGTTGGTTTTTTTTTTTTTCAGATTGTTTTCTTTTTTTTTTATAAAAGTTTAAGCATTTTGCAGCACACAGTTGCGGAAATTTACTTCCTGAATATGCTCTCATGTTTTGTTAAATAGTTGTTCAAAATAAATTTTTGCACTTGAGTCAAGAAGTGACTGAAGATGATTTTCAGAAGAATTAGCAAGTTTTCATTATGAAGGCCTGTGTACACGCATAAAAGATGGAAGGAGTCAAGTATGGGCTTTTTTTCCCCCCATGCTATTAGTATCTTGGAATTTACTAGTCCTTTGCAAGTAATGGCCTTTTTACCAAGACAAATTCAAAATTTTCTTTGATATTTCTATTTTTAGGGTACATGAATGAAATAAGATGATTGGACAAGAACCAAACTTTGGCTACATTTTGACCTAGTTTGTCTTAGTTTGGCAGTTCTATCTCTTGTATTCTTAAACCCACTGTTACCTGGATTCTCTAATTCTACGATATGAAAGTATTGTTTAATACCTAGAAACAAACAAATACAAATCTTAGAACCCATAAATGTGTGTTACCTGGATTCTCTAATTCTACGATATGAAAATATTGTTTAATACCTAGAAACAAACAAAAATCTTAGAACCCATAAATGTACTGTCACAATAGAGGATCTGGATATATAAATAGTTGTTTTAGTTAACATTTTATGATAAATAAGGAAAACAACACTGTGGTCAGAATTAATGTAAGAAAATTAATATCCTCAAAGGAACTGTAGCTAGAAGAGAAAAAGGGGAAAAAAGACATCTTGACTTCTCGTTGTAACTTTACCTTTTGTCAGATGGCCCTGACAATAAATGCAGTAATTTTATTATTTTTTCCCTTGTCCCTGAACTCCTCCCTGCTGCAAACCCCTCCCCCTTCCCATTTTTTGAACATTTTAAGGTTTATGAAGAAGCTGGCTCAGATTTTCATCAAGTTGCCTATTTCAAGACAAGGATTGGATTAAGAAATGCTCTCCGAGAAGAAATCAGTGGCTCATCAGATAGAGAAGCTGTGCTCATTACTTTGAACAGACCAATTGTTTTTGCTCAGCCCGTGGCCTTTGATAGAGGTATTGAAGAAACCATTGCTACAAATTTGTCTTCATACTGAGAAAACTGTATCTTTTTTTCAGAGGCCTGATTATTCAAGATTTAGTATATTTTATATTAAATCAAAACGTTAGGTAGCTGAGAAATTTAGATCTACTACATGCCAACAGGTTAATAATTCCTATCATCAAAAATTCCATTTTCTGAGGTGATAAGTTTTCAGGTGGTTTGGAGGAAATTGCTTTAGTAAGTTTTCACAAATGAGTAATGCTGAGAACAGCATCACTTTCTGTATTTTAATGTATTAACTTTGATGCTAAATGATCGGCTTTGTCCATCTTGTCCTTTGCGGCATGTAGCATCCTGAATATGTGTGTGTCCATCGCTGTACATCCACTGTCTTAAAGTACTGGAGAGACCATAAAAATGAAAAAAAAAAACAACCAAAAAACTGTATTTAGTGAATGTGCTGTTTTTCTTTTTGTATGTGTTGATTTCAATTAAGCTTTTGTGGTTTATTTGTAAAGCTGTGCTATTTTGGCTGAACTACAAGGCTGCATACGACAACTGGAATGAACAGAGAATGGCTTTACATAAAGACATTCATATGGCCACAAAAGAAGTAGTAGATATGCTGCCTGGAATCCAACAAACCTCTGCGCAGGCTTTTGGGACCCTCTTTCTTCAGCTGACTGTCAATGACTTAGGAATTTGCCTGCCCATCACAAACACACCTCAGGTAATCAAAATGTCTGAAGCAATGTGACTGTTAATAGTATGTTGAAACGCCTATTTGTATGTGGTACGTGGCTTTTATATCCATAAATGTAATTTTTCATCACATTGATGCAAAAGTCATAGAATGCTGATAATTGCACTAGTGACATTGCTTGTAATAGAAATGGTGGTCTCATTTAATGAACTAGGTTATGCATGTTTCAACTGGTGTGCATGTTTTGGGGAAACATAATGGATTCTTGTTTATACCACATTTGAGCTCAGCACTTTGGAAAGTCCTTGGAAATGTTTCAGGTGGAACATATTTTCTTGAAAGCTTCCATCACAAATTCCAATTAGTCCTTTATTTTTCATGTGATTACAGATAGAAAAAGAAAACCTCTGAAAACTGTTGGTTTTAACGTGATGTTCTGACTTGTTTTTTTGTTTAATTAAAACAAGGAATGAGAGTATGAATAATTGAGATATACAGATACATGTTTTTTAAACAGTTGCTTTTATTTAGAAACTCATGCTGGGTTAAAGAAAGACATTTGAAATGCGGTCATTGACAAAAAGTATAATATTGTAGTACGGGGTAAGTCCAATAAGTTACACAGGATGATGTATTCTTCAATGTGCCAGTCACTAGTTTCTGTGTTAAAGTAATGCCTGCATTGTGCAGTGTGTTCATGCAACTTCTATAAGGGAATGTGCACTGCCTTATGTTTCTGGAATACCTTCAAGTCTTAAGTTTAAAGATGAGTGGCTCAGTAATGCATTCCCAGGGTACTGCCTTGTGGCCGTGCAGCTCCTCTTCACTGGCTGTGCAGTTTGCCGAGCTTCTTGACAAGTAATGCAGCATTGATCCAACACATTCCCCAATTTGACATTTAGCTCTGCCTATTGATTCTTTCTTCAGATAGATAGGAAAGTAGCTAAATCAGTGGACCTAGCTTTCTTGAAAATCTCTGTGCTTATTCTCAGTTAAGAAACAATTTTGTGCAGACCTGTATTCCCCTCTGTTCTTCCTTTCTTAGAAATAACTGCAGTTACACCTGTCTCTTCATATATAGGGTGAAGGTGTGATCTGCACCTCTTAAGTATAAAATTGAAAATATTAAATTGCCAGTTGACAGCAGTTTAAAAAATACACAAAGCAGTGGAGTATTATTAGGATAGATAACGTTAGATGGCTTTGAGAGAAAACCTTGGATTCAGAGGCTATTCCTATATTGAATTGGAAGTATTCTTATTATCCAGAACAGGAATGAATCATTTTAATGATGTAGAAGGAAATAGTCATAATACATAGAAATGTAAAGGAGTAATGAGGCCAATAACCTAGAATTCATAATGACATAACATTTTGATTGTGAATCTTTGATTGTGAATCTGGCAGCTATGAACAAAGCTCTTATGTGTTAAAAATTAGAGTAAATTATGAAAAATACATTCTGGCTTATGAAGTCTTAAGCTGTATGTAGAATAGCATGTTTACAATACATACACTGGATCAAAAGAAGTCTAGCTCTATAAAAGGGAATATGTGGGCTTTTTTGCAGGTAAAGAAAACTACAGACCTTTATATATAAAGGGCTGGAAAATAATCAGTCAGTCTGTGTATTTAAGACTCTGCATAATTTTAGGTATCAAAATAAGCACAAAAAATCATATAAAAATTAAAGGTATTTTTTGTCATTGTTCAGTCAACTTATGTGCAACCCTTCTTGGAGAAAAGAATCAATCCTGGGCTAGTTTTCTGTGGTCATGGGGCCATATGGTTCATATCCCTCAATCATCTAGTCCTTGATGAAACATGGATTTGCTTTCCTTTTCCAGATGAGCTTGACTGCCGATGCCCTAATATATTTACAATGTAGGTGTTAAATTTAGAAAATAACAATGCAAAACATTGTATGGATAGATGTGGTGCTTTGGAAGGAAAAACTAGGGAAAGATAAACTGCATTTAATGCCTGTACAATATCACTTTGACATTGCAATGACCAGTAAATTCCCTCTGTGATTTTATTTTCCAGTCCAACCACACTGCAGATCTTGACACTGGCTCTGCTTTAGTCCTGACTATTGAAAGCACATTAATCACTGCCTGCTCTTCAGAGTCTTTAGTTAGCAAAGGTCATTTTAAAAACTTCTGTATCCGCTTTGCTGATGGCTTTGAGACAAGTTGGGATGACTGGAAACCAGAAATAAGAGGAGATCTAGTCATGAACGCATGTAAGTCGGTGTGGTTTCATCCTGGGCAATAGCATTTCAGATATAAATCCACTTTTACCCTATATGCTGACTTTTAAAACTGCTGAACTTTCCCCAGAAAGATAAAGAAAAGACTTTAGCCTTTTGAAAGCAAAATAATATGGATCTAAAAAGTTGTATTCCTTTGTTGTTTCCCTTTTTTAATAACTTTGTTGCTGTATGTCTTGTTGTAAGCATTTAAGTTCTGTCTGAGAGATGTTGGAAGAGCTGGATGCATTGCTTTTGTGTAATTTCCTAAGATCCCAGTAAGTTTTTAATAGTTTAATATAGATGATTTTCATTTTTATATATATCTATACTTCATGATGGTGAAGATTCTACAACTTATATGGAATTTTAAGTTCATATAAACTTGGATGTTACCAAGTAGATTCACTTTACTAAATAAGAAAAGTAATTCAGTGGGAATTAAAACTAAACCTCCTATCCAACATCACTCATGCTTTAACTGTGGACGGCAAGAGACTGAGGTGCAATTTGGAAGGGTTGGTCTAAAGCAACTTGGACTGTCTGCCTAATCAGTGTATATGCTTCATATAGGCGTTGTGCCAGACGGTACATATGAAGTATGTTCTAGGACGACAGGACAGGCTGCAGCAGGTAATACACTTTTTTAATAAATCAAGTCTTATATAAATCATTCATAAAATACGAAATTTAAATCCTGTGTTGTAGTTTAGTTGGTGTTTTTGTTTGCTCTATGTTTTCAAGCTATTCCAGGTTTTGAGTCACATCAGGAACACTGGTTTTAGATTTTTACCTGCAGGAAAACACACAGTGTATGTGTGTTTGTTCCTTGGTTGGAGAATAGTCCTTCATAACAGCTATGTTTTCCTACTGCTTCCTGTCCTAGAGACTGCTAAATCTTGCAGTCTGTCTAACACTGAGACGTTGCATCCTGAGCTCCCATTCCTCCCTCACCTCTTCCAGAGACGGCTTCTATTCTTCTCAAATTCCCTTTCCTCCCCGTCTCTCTTACTGAGTTGTTTGGACATTATCCAGAGGCCTCAAAAATACCTGGCAATCTCTGTCTTGGTCATCATACCTGCTGCTTGCTGCTTCTCATCTCTTTGCTCAAATGTTGCATCTACAGAGTCTCCTGTCCCCGTAGTTTTGCTCCTTGTCCCCCACTTGCTTTCTTGTGCTGAGGAGACATAAAAATTAAACGCATGCTGCAACTATTAAAAATTTACCTCATATGGAATTGTGGATGGTGAAAACCAGGATGAATCTATTTAGAAGGAAAAACAATGTCTTGTGTTGTTCTGCTTAAAGCAAGTTCGGTATTTTGATGAGGAAAGGTGGCACGCTTTAGAAAAATCCCAGGAAGACAGGGTATTCAGCAGGCACATTACACATATATTATAACATCTTGCAGCATCATTATTCAAGGCTTGAAACTGTAAATAGGTCAGCATTTTTACATACAGATAAGACATCCTTTAGGTTTCTTGCTGTTAAAAATCCTGCTCTGGAATAGTATAGTTGGCTGCAATTGTAAGAGCTGAAGTTCTCTCTTGGCTGAAGGGAATGTATTTTCATTAGGTCTGTCTGTGTACATCGCTGTTAAAGAAATATTAACTTTGTAGCTGTGAAGTACTTCCAGCAAGCATTTCAGTTGTAAAATATGTTTTCCTCAGAGCGGGCGGAAAAGACAGTTCTCTGTAACTGATGAACGCTGTCTTGGCTAACTAATACATAACTCAGTAGGGGGGATTTTTAAAAGAGGAAAAACTCGTTAAACTTGATTTTTTTTTTTTTTTTTTTTAATACAGAAAGTAGTAGTGCTGGAACCTGGACACTGAATGTGTTATGGAAAATGTGTGGTATTGATGTCCACATGGATCCCAACATTGGAAAAAGATTGAATGCTTTAGGCAACACCCTCACAACATTGACAGGAGAAGAAGATATTGATGATATTGCTGACCTCAACTCTGTAAATATAGCTGACCTTTCAGATGAGGATGAAGTTGACACTATGTCTCCCACTATACATGCAGTAAGTGAATCAACCAAAAAAGGTGCTACTAATTGGAAAAGGCGTGACAAAGTCTTCAGTCAAACGGGAAGGTCTTAGTCTTGAGTTGAGTCCAGCATGCTACTCCTTATAGCTCACATAACTCTTGTTGCAAATCAAAAAAGTTTGTGTGTTGGTTTTCTAGCTCTGTCTTTCAGGGGCAAGAAATCACAGATCGTATTTCTGCTGGTGTTAGGTGGAAATATCGATCTGGATTTGAAAGTACGGAGACACAATACCTAATTTCAGGTACCTGAGTTGGAAAAGCTGAGGCTGTAGATATGTTTTCTTAACAGGAGAGTAAGTTACTAACACGAGCAAATTAGAAAAAAAAATTTTTTCAGTACTTCTACCCAATATGCTGCTGACCTTGTTTTTTGGTTTCACATAAAAATGTAGTAAAAGATGTTCTTTAACAGCTATCTTAAATAACCAACGGTGACAACGCTATCCCAGAACACTAACGCACCTGTTTGTTGTTTAGAGATCAGGTGGAGGTTCATTATATGGAGATGCACGCAAGCTGACGTTTGGGCAGCGGATTGTAAATCACCTGCTGGGTTTGAGCCCCCCAAACCATCGATACTCTGTTCCTGTAGAATATCTATTGGGGTCAGCGAAGTGTGATTCTCTTCAGTCTAGCAGATCACATATGAAAGCAGGCAGATCCTGCTCATGGGGACATGTATGTAGTAGTTACAGTGTGTCTAACTGAATGATGGGGCTTGGATCACTGGAAAAAATCCAATCAGTGGCCTTTTGAGATGAAACTGATTCTTTTGCATGCACCAGTCCAAATTTTAAGGTGTGAAATTCACTTTGCCTATTGTTAAATTGCACTAATGTCCAATTTTTGACAAGGCCATTAATTAAATGTTTATTTTAAATAGGAGATTGTTGATCACCGACGGCAGGGTGCTTCTAGTATCCAAACTGGAGAACAGCGAGGAAGAAAATTTGTGAAACGTTTAGTTGATATTAGAGAACTCAATGAGCAAGCTAAAGTTATTGATGACTTAAAGTAAGTTGGGTTTTGCTTTCACTTGCACAAAGTTTGGGAATAACAAACTGCAGCTGACTTTTCTGTTCTTATCACATACCTTGTGGAATTGTGATGGTCAAGTGGAAATAGTTGTCTTTTATTTAAAAATACAAAATTGTCCTTTTGGATTCCGTAAGAAAAAACTATATATGCAAGTATGCTCTCAGATTTCTCAAGTTCTTCCCCAAGTGTCGGATTGGTCTGTATTCTTTCTGGTTCTGCATTACAATGGTTGATTATAATAGATTTCTTATTGATTCAAAATCATAGTTCCATCTTGATTTATTATCATGGTGATTACCTTAACAAAATATGTTACTTCAACTGCAATAAGCTTAGTCTTGTTCACGGAAGAAGTGAAAGAAAATATTTAAAACAACTATTTTTTTGCATCTTGTAGGTGATATTTTAAAATTAAATCTCCCGTGCTGTACTTGAGAAAACCCTGAAGAAAGAATGATTTCAAATTTCATAAATTTAATCTGAACTTCTGTGAATCTTATTAATAATTTTTTGCAGTCGTGTTTTGTTGGGCTTTCTTCCCCTGCCCCTTCCCTAAGACAGACTTACTATAAATGGATCTGTCTGGGATGGGAATACAGAGCCTGGTAATTATTTGTTAAACAATGAGGAGGAAACACATTTTCCTACTTGTATTCGGAATAAAATTGCTGCCACCATTCAGAGAGCAACTTTGCTTTTTAAGTTAAATATTTCTTCTCATATGAGTTAAAGAATCAAAATTATATTTTGTGCCTGCCTTTTCTCAGTTTATGAATGCTTCAGTAAACTGTGATTCTTCCAAAATAGAAGTTTCTTTGCAGAGTTTTTTAAATTATTAAGCAGTGTGTTTTTTCTGCAGAAGGTAATCTGCTGCAGAAGGCTGTCATTGGTGTGACAGGGCTTTGGATTGTTAAAGCTTTTTCTTCATCCTGCTGGGGATTCTCAGATTTGTCCATTATGTTTGTTTTTAATTAAACAGCTGTCATATGATTGGAAGTGTATAGGAGGTCCTTAATCTAGTTGTTACAACTAGGGCTTTTTGAAATAAGAGGGATTGCTGCATAGCCATTCGTATTCCCCACCTTAGCATCATGGTAGCACTGCTGTTTGGGGGTCTCCTTACATGCCAGTTTGTTCTACGTCCTCCATCTGCTCTGCTAAGGCAAGGCACTTGGAGACAGAAACCTTAAAAATCAAAGAGTCCTCTTAAGGACAAAATGTTACACTTGACAAAAAGTTGTATCATGGAACAAGAATAAACCTTCTGCAGCTATGTTGGGCACTGGTCATAAGTAACTACTGAAAAAAATCAGAAAATGGGATAATTCCTAGAGAAAGCAGAACATCATTGCAACACAGAGTTTGAAGTGGTGAAAATAACATCGCCTGTTTGTAAGATAACTCAGCAATGATTTATCCCCAGAAAATTAGGTGCAAGTGAAGGAACTATAAATCAAGAAATTCAGCGCTATCAGCAACTGGAGTCGGTGGCTGTGAATGATATCCGCCGAGACGTTCGTAAAAAGCTACGTAGATCCAGTATGAGGGTGAGCAGTATTAAGTTACTTTAAAAAATGATAGCACTTGCATTGCATATTTCTTTTCCGCATGTTGATTACAGCAAAAAAAATGTTAATAATGGAAAATGAAGGTTAAGAATATCAAATAGTTCAGCAACCCTTTTACCTTTAGAAGAAGGCAGGGAAAGGTTTTTCCCTTGTAATAATGGTGATAGGAAAATTGAAATTTCACAGATGCTATAATGTAAATGGTTTTATTTGCACACTCACAAGAAATAGTTAGAAAATGTGTATTTGAAGATGCCATTTACTCCTCCTCTTAGCAGATTTTTAAGTGATTCCTTATTGGACTGATGAATGCAGATGCAGAGGCAAGGATGTTAACTGCCTGGGCAGATGACAGATACCTGTTGTGTTCCACTTGGCATATGGGCTTTCTATAATTGTGTTTTATTTACAAATACATAAATATTTGCAGAGTTAGGTGGTGTAAAAATAAAAACAAGCTACTAAGGATAGATACTAGAATAAACTGGACAAAAACCTAGTGTTGCTGGTAATCCACAAACATTATGTGGCTGTTGTCCCAGAACCGATAATAAACCTGGCAAAGTATTATTTCAAGCGTGTCCTAGCGCATGAGCTCCAAGTGTGATGCTTCATTAATGAGAACAGCTCTTTCAAATAGTAATCTGTTTGCAGCTTTTTCTCAGGTGTTCTCATTTTACCTCATGTTCTTCTGTTACTGTAGTGGTAGCTAGGAAGGATGTCTAAGCAGTCAGATTATTAGCTTTGGGCATACTTTTCTCCTGGCAACAGGACATTACCAATTCCAGCAAGTGTGAAAAGTGAACATGTATCCAGATGCAAGAGGAAGATGCTGGCAAATGCTGATAATGAGATGCATTTTAACTATTATGGAACAAAAAAAAAAAAAAATCCTTTTACTTTACCTGTGTAAAATAGTATTTTAGCTTACAGAGTTCTTCTCTATGTTCTCAGTGTTGCATTTGTATATTATTTTTGTTTTAGGCTGCCTCCTTGAAAGACAAATGGGGTCTCAGCTACAAACCCAGCTATAGCCGATCTAAGAGTATTTCAGCATCAGGAAGACCACCTCTGAAGAGAATGGACAGAACAAGGTAAGCTTCTGGGAATTTAAGATCTGTGATAGCAACAGCATATTTAACGGAGGAAACATTGGACTTTGGCCCTAAGAAGCCTTTTACTATAGGCAGCAGCTATATGTGGTGGAACTGGAGAGGAAGAGGTCATTTTGGAAGACAGGTGTGTTCTAAAAAGGAACTTTTCACCTTTTTTTTGAAACTTCTTTTTTGTCAGACTTAGTAGTATGTCAAATGAGGAAAAGTTTCCACTTCAACAACTTAGGGGTTTTTACAGAATCCTGCTTTCAAGACATACTGAAGAAACGTATATAAGGAAAAAATGGCATAGTGTAATCATTTTGATTTCTACGCTTGATTGGAATCATCAGCCTTAAAAAAAGGCTGTTCTAATGAGAAGAAGAAAGTGAGTTTCTTTTCTTTTTCTGTGAATGATAATTTTCTTTGCGTCTCTTCACCTGTATAACATGTTGGGTTTTTTTCATCATTTAACGGCTGGTGCGCCGTATAACAATGCCTCCTAGTAAAGTGTTTGCTTTAATTTTAGAATACATGTGTTTGAGTCTATTGCTTCTGCAGATCCAGCCGAAGCATTCAAAGTTTGGAATTAAAAATGTGCTGCATTATTATGTATAAAATATAAGATTTGAAAATCAAAAAGGTGGAGAGTGTTTGTATTCTTTGGACTTTTTTCTATGAGAACAGAAATTCTTAATAGAAATTTGCTTCAAATTTAAATACTTCTGTAGAAATGAATGGAAATTTATAGATAATCCAGATGCGAAAATATCAGACAGCAGATATATTGCAGCATAAAACCAGCTTTATAAGTACTCTGTAGTTAATTTTTCAAGGTGCCCTTAAAAAGGAATCTTTCTTCTGAATTAATTAGCAGTCTTGATAACTAAAGCAGAGCAAGTGTTGAAGGCATGAAGGTTCTAGTTCAAGATCTGTCAGATGAAAACCACTGTCATTTTACCTTTTCACAAGGTTATATGAAGAGAACCCGAAATTGTATGGAAAAGATAATGGGGCTTTTCCGTTGCTCTGTAAGAAACACAAAAGTTCTGAAAAACTCAATGAGTACTTTGGTTGTGAATGAAATGTAGTATGCGTTTACAATAAGGCCAAATAATTTATTTCAGTTGCATCAGAGAATACATCATCTACTAACTTCCTTTATGTTTGATGTGGTAGATCACTAATATCTTCTTTTTTCTATAATATCTGCATGTTGGCTCAGGATTTAAAAACTTGCATGAAGAAATAAGCAGAGATTGGCTAGCAATAGACTACTGGCCAATTAATGTGTAACTTACTTCTCTTTCCTTCTTCCCCTCCTTTTTCCTTTTCATGTACCCTAAGTGCTTTAATTATGATTTTATACTTTCTTCCATTAGAGAATCATAAGTACTAACTGTACTACTTTATTGCCTTGTATTTGTGTAGTTAAATGTTTGCATGAACGTAAAACCCTGTAGTAAAACTCAACAAGCTCTTGTGTTTTGTTTTTGCTTATAGCTCTCGACTAGGAGACAGTGAAGACCTCCCAGATATCCGTGTAGATGCTGCATCTCCTGGTCCAAGAGTAACCTTCAACATACAGGATTCTGTAAGAATTATTTTATATGCCGTATAATTGTATTTCCTGCACCATTTGGTCACAAGTTCATGAGATAGGTATAACTAGGCAGACCTGAATTGCTTGTATGTTTTTGTGTGTCGATTTCTGTTAGTCTGTGCCTCAAATTATGGATGTGTTTTTGGAAGATAGATTTGTTTTGATAGAAGACAGATGTGTTTTGGTTTGTTAACACAGAAATTAATTCAGTCATTAGAGAAGATACTTGAAAATGTTTGGATGGTTTTTGGTTTGTTTTTTTTTTTTCCTTCACTGACACAGTAGTATACAATTGTTTTGGAATTTTTATCAGAAGTGTGCAAAAAATCATCTAGTATTTTTTGTGTTTGAAAATATTTAGAGTTTTGGAAATGCATATTAGTCAGATTGCTGTAGCCCTGCAGGTATATCCTTCTGTGTGTTTGAAATGGATTGTTGGATCTTTGGTTTTGTTTGTGGCTATGTTTTCTCATTTTTAAAATGTTCCTATTATGTTGTTTTTGCGTAGTGGAGATGATTGTAATTGTTTTAATTTTTTTTTTTTTTTTTTTTTTTTTTTTTTACTTCTAATTAAGTTGAATAAAACAGCTTTGGGGATTGCACAACAATCCAGCTGTCCTGGGGAAGGGTATTTTCAGGTATTTCTGAGAAGAAACAAGTATTCATTGCCAGAGAACTAATATATCTCACAGGGAGCTGCTTTTCAATGTTTCATCTCTTTTGCACTCAGCTAAACAGAATGTATATCAAATTTGAAAATATTTACATTCAAATATGTAAAGTAAGCAGAAGAACATGATTGATTGATTGATGAACTTTCCAGAGTGTTTCTACACCCTTATGTAGACCTAAAACTTGCTAGTTTTTGTAAAATGAATTATTGGAATTTTGTTTGTATATTTATGAAGACTGATTAGGCTGATGTGAAGTGACATAAGTGTAGCCTTGAAATGTGCTTTAGAAGAGGATTTTAGTGTGTGTGCCTTCATCTGTTATATTGTGTTCCAAGATTGCAGGCATCAACACGGGTACAAAATAATTGCTAGGTGGGAGGATATCTTCTCACATTTTTATTTCTGTTGGAATCCCTATATTTAATGCAGAGTAAGACATTTGCAAATAATAGTAAGTAGGGAATGTGCCCAAACTTAATACCCAGAGAACAAACAGTGGAGTTTTTTAAACTGCCTTAAAAAACATGTTTAGGGAAAAATAATAAAGTTATTTTTTTTCCTTAAGAAAATCCCAACCAAACCCAAAAAACAAACCAACAAAAGCAAAACAAAACCAACCAAACAAAAAACCGACCTCAAGAGATAGTAACGTACTTTTTCTCCCTTCAACTCACCTTGTGCTCCCAGGAAATAAACTCCTCTTTCTGAGAGAGAGGTGGAAATGAAACAGAGATGTGCTTTGCACATTTAAATATGTTCACATTTAAAAGCTATCCTGCCTTTTTTTGTTGTTATATATAAGCCCAGTTAGCTTAAGTTTTGTTGACATAGCAAAATCCTGTCAAACACTTCGAGGTATCAAATGTTGAACATAAAAAAAAAAAAGTCTTACTGACGTTATAATGCCAATTCTTCAGCTGAGCTCTAGTTTGAATTTGTAGACGATGACTGTGTAGCTCTATAGTAACACTGCGTAGGCAGTGCTGGTGTTGAACACTTCTAGGTGCTTTTCACAGGCATTTTAAGAAGTTAATGTTCGAAAATTGCTTGCGTGATGCTTGTGGCGTGCTTTATGTGAGAAACAGGAGGCCCCTTTTGGAAATACTCGGCCTGAAGTTGGTTTCGCGTTAAAGCACGTGCGCCCAAGAGCGCCAGCCCAGAACTGCAACCTGGTGCCGTACATTCTGTGTTAGCATCCTGCATGCACGCCTCGCTAACACTCCTGGGTGCCTCGCCCCTCTTCAAGGTTCATGATGATTTTTGCTGTCTTCTGTTCTTTTCTTTCAAAATATTTTTTAAATTTATACAAAATGTTTCCATTCCTTCTGATCATGTGAATTGGTCAGAGCATGACATGTATTTAGCTAACAGACTGAGCTCAATTACTAGGGAATGGCAAATGTCTCCCCACCAAGCTTTCATTTCTTTTTCATAAGCTGTCTTGCAATTTCTGCTGTCTCTGAGGAACTTGGCAGTGGGAGTTTCTCATAGCACTCTTGCTTTTTTATTTCCAGAGCTATCTAATGCATTCTTGATGGAAACGATATCTGTGGAAATTTAATGTCTTTTTGTCTTTCTATAATCAGTTTCCAGAGGAGACAGAAATGGACCTTTTGTCTGTAACTATTGATGGTCCCTCCCATTACTCATCTACTAGTGAAGGCTCATGCTCGGTATTTGGTTCACCCAAAACTCCAGTAGTCTTCTCACCCGGCATTCCCTTCCAGCCTGAAGAAGGACGCCGGGATGACAGCTTGTCATCAAGCAGTGAGGACTCCGAGAAGGAGGATGACCATGAAAGAGAGAGAACGTATTTTTATAGGAAACCACCGTAAGTAATGGCCCTAAGGAAGAACACAGAAATTAAGAAAATACATTTGAAATATTGACTTTAAAGCTACAAAATCTGTTACTGATGAAGGATTGAATTTTGCCTGAAGCATGTATGGTGAGGAGGGGTTCGGCAGAGGTGACTGTGAGGGAAGGAGGAATTCTGATCTGAAAAGAAGGGAACTGTTAGAAATTTCAGGGCTTAGAAAGTGAGTTTTTTGAGGTATGGGGCAGGTTTCAGTGGGGCCAAATGACAGATTTGTCAAATACAGAGTTACTTTCAGTTTTATCCAGTTATACCTCCACAAAGTGGACCTAATAATGTAAATATTTACAAATATGGAAATTATTGTATATGTCTTTTCATTTTCTTAATTGAGAATTTAAGAAAGGCTTAGTTCTTTGTAGTACCCTGTGCTAGGAAAAAGGATTCTTAGTAATGTGTTAATGGAAGATGGATCACAGAAATGCTGAGTATCAGATAAGGCCTTTAACAAAAAAGTTCTTAAAAGATTATTTACTGAGTGTGGATGTAGTTTAAGAATGCCTCCTACCTTCTGTTCAGATAAATGTCATGCTAATACCGAATCCACAATTGTGCCTGTGCAGGAGTGCCTCTCGCAAGAAAGCAACAGGCTTCGCTGCTGTCCACCAACTGTTCACTGAGCGCTGGCCAACAACACCTACCAACAGAAGTATGACTGGCACGACCACGGAGAGAAATATTGACTTTGAACTTGATATCAGGGTTGAAATTGATTGTGGAAAATGTGTACTGCACCCTACAATGCTTCAGCAAGAACACGATGACATTAGTTTACGAAGGTAAAAAACGTGTTACTTAGCTGCCTTGCAAACAACAGGTTATAAGTACTTTATTCTGCTTTAGCTGTTAAGTTCATGTGATACTTCCATCGCTTATGACCATATATGCAAAAATTAAGGACTCTTAAGCGCTGACCTGTTCGAAAAGCATTTGTTTGTTACCATCACTTTATTCATAGTAATTATCACGACTTCAAAGCGTCACCATTAAGTTGCAATTGTTATGGCCAGGTATGACATGGGGAGATCCATTTGTTTAGCAAGAGTCAGCATACGCCTCTCTTCTGTTTTTATTTTTAAAATCAGGTTTTATCTTTCATAAACAAAATGTTAGGCTTTCAAAGCACTTGGATTATTGTCTTTTTTCCAGCCTCCAAAGAAATAACTTTAAAACTTAGTGAATCCTCATAATGGTTTGGGGCTACTGTTGTGCTTTCTCATGATCTCTGAGGGCTCCCATTATTTTCTGAGTGTAAAAGCATGCTGACGTTATATATCTTTCTTAATAAAATGCATTTATTTTATTATCTGAGGCAACACAAGTGCTTTACGTCTGATCTTAATGAGGTTTGATCTCATCCTCACTTCTTAAATTCTACTTTTTTCATGTGTACGTGATTGCGGATCTAATGGCAGCTTTGCATTACTTTTTAAAATTTGATATGTTGTTATTAATGTGGTGAATTTTAAGAAACTTATATGTCAGCAAAGATCATTCTTAATAAGTATAGTATAAGGAAATCAGATTTCCTTGTTTTAAATCTAATTGTAAGAAATAGAAACAAATGAAAGACACTTTTTCTTACTGAGAGGTTTACATAGGAGATCTGTAGTTAGAAAGCAATTTGGTTTCTGTCTTTCCAAGATGCTTTTTTCTAAGAATTGATACAGAAGGAAAAGGTATCTTTTAAGAATTTGTATAAAGACAGACTTTACAGCGGAGAAGGAAAATTGCTAAGTGTTTTCTGCATATCAAAGAGTTTTCACAGATCATGTTGGGTAATGTAGATGAACATGACTGTAAGAGTACAGAGCATAGGAGGGTGTTTCTCTAATGACATAATAATTTTACAGATTTTACTGCCTGAAATAATCAGAGTCAGGGAGTAGAGATCACAGAAATTCAAGAGTAAAGCAGAGACTGAAATGCTTCCATATATAGTTGATACTGCAAATTTGTTTTAGACATCTCTAGGTTTTTTAATACTAGAAAATATACTCTTATTAATATGAGTATTAAGCTTGCTTTAATAACATGCAGTGTATTTATTTTAGGAGCTATGATCGGAGCTCCAGAAGTTTAGATCAAGAGTCTCCTTCAAAAAAGAAGAAATTTCAAACTAATTATGCATCTACAACTCACTTACTTGCTGGCAAGAAAGTGCCGTCATCTCTACAGACAAAATCTAGTGATGTGGAAACAACAGTGTTTTATATTCCTGGGGTGGATGTAAAGGTAAAAGGAGTGTATAAGTCAGCGGGGAAGCACTTGCTCTTCCTCTCTGCTCAAATATGATTTCAACGCAAATATGTTATTATAGTATGTACAAGTTCATATATACAGAGCACCTCAGCAAAATCTTTTTTAAGTTATGTAGATAGTACTAAAATAGGAATAATGACTTCTGTGATTTTACTGATAGATGCTTTAACCCTTGTTTTCTTAGGAGGGAAAACCCCCAAAACCTTGTATGTGCCATCAAAAATAGAACAATGTCAATTGACACTCCATAACATTGTATGTGATACTACATAATGAAAAGAAATCAGTTCCATTAACATTTTGGTGTCTAAAATTAGACATTTGTTTTGGATATTTTCTTCTCTGACAAGTAATTTATATTGTATGCTCTTTTTAAGTAAAGGAAGATCTGTTCGCTGCCAGTAATTCATGGGAAGGGCAGCTTAGTAGTTGGCCCTCTAACACCTAAAGCTCTCTCTCTTCTGTGTTGTTCATTATAACAATCAGTCTTGGTATAAAACCTATTTTTTTTTAAGACAGTGTTCTCTCAAACACCATCAAACTGTACACTCCCTTGGTTTTTTAATCATTGTTTCTATATTCTAGTAAGAAAGCATCTCAACAGAAATGTTCTTGTATTTGTGATTTGAAGTCCTATGGAGTAAGAACAGGAAAAATAGATCACTGCTGCATGGCAACTTCATGCAATTCAGTTGAGGCAATGCTATAAATCAAATGCTCCTCACTTGAAACAGCCTGGCTTTTCTAGCCTTCCGATGTGGAAGGATTGTGTGTGTCCATTTTCCAATATTCCCACCTATTTTCAGGGATAATAGTTATGACGCAGGTCCTGCCCTTTGCTTTTAGTCAAATTTAGGAATATCTAAATACTCTCTACAGTTTTTGTTAGGTTCTGTATTTTCATTGATAAGGTATTGTGCACATATAGGAGGTGGGAATTCTTGGAATATCTTATTATTTTTATTTTTTATGCAACTTTCTGTATGCCGTTGTTTAGTAGTGGAATAGTTCCATCATGCAGTAAGACAGAAGGAAATCTATGCGGACAGGAACAAATAGTTGGTGGCACAGGATGTATATGACATAAGAGAGCGGAGGACCAAGCTTTAGGCATTGTTCCTAAATAGTTAATTTCCCCTGTTTCTTTATGTTTCCTTGATTATTTTTTTTAATAGTTTATTAATTTAATTTTTTTTGTACAAAGATTTCAGATCTTTATGTGCACCAGCTGTATCTATAGAACATGAATTGGAATGTAACATATCTTACAATGATATTTTTGTAAATAGTGAAAAAGAATTTTTTTTGAAGGGAAGGAGTGACACCAAACTGCTGTATAGAAATTGAGCTACTTGTATGAAGTAAATTGATCTTTCTTTGCTTTCCAGTTGCACTACAACTCTAAGACTTTAAAGACTGAATCACCAAATACTTCTCGAGGATCGTCTTTGCCAAGAACCCTTTCCAAAGAGTCCAAACTGTATGGTATGAAAGATACTGCCACATCTCCTCCTTTATCTAGCACTATCCACAGCAAGACTAACACCTTACTTCCTCCCCAACCCCCACCCATCCCATCAGGTACTTATAGACAATGACCTTCTAAAACTATCATGGATATATATCTTTCCTTCATGTAATCTACTAGCTTTAGATCTGTCTGCACGTTACCTGAAGCACCACATTTACCAAGTCTTAACTTTGGCTGCAGAAACCTGATCCCAAAAGGATGAGTGCAGTTTATAAAGCTTGCGTTTTTAGAAACCTCTTCCCAAACCAGCCTCAGTGATATTTCTGTCATAGTCACCATATCCCAGTGATGGGCTGTCACTGCCTTCTCCCTGTTTTCATTTAACAAAATAATGCTTATAACTGGAAAGCAAAGTTTATATGTAATGTACAGAAAATGAATGCTGATTGCTTTATTCTTCATAATCCAAGAAAAAAATCAGCTGAATCCTTGCTTCCATACATTACCCTACTCAAAGAATGCTTTCATCTTTTAAGTGCCCTCTGCCGCACAAATAATGTGTAAATTATTGCTTTTTGGAACTGGGTTGTTTCTTGTAGTACTGAAGCAGCTGTTTACATGTATCTGTGTTAATCGAAACACCAGACTCACAGCCTTAACTGTTGCAGGCCCTTAAATAACCGTGATTTGGAGTAACATGAGTTCTAATACTTAAAGTTTTATCTCCAATGATTCCTGTTTTCAAGCAGGAGTCTGTTGTTACATCGTGTCAGATCTAGAGGTATGTAGATTGCACCTCCAACTTCTGAGACATTCACTCTTCTCTCCTTTGGCATTTGAATATCACTTGAAAAACAAAGCCAAAATTTTGTCTAAATTCGGTGAGCAGGCAAAATTAATAACTGAAAGAAGTTGTATGTGGGCTTAGGAGGTTTTGTTTTATAAAACCAGCAAAGATGCTGGGAGAGAACAGTGAAATAGGGACACCTTCCTCAGTTATCCATGTTGTTGAACTATTGGCTCTTACTCCTTTAAGTGTCTGTCCTCTTTATGATTACTGAATGTTGTGTAATCTTGGTTTTTACTACTTCTCTTCAGTTTTGTTCTGTATTTTCCTATCCTCTTTCCAGTCTTTGCCTTTTAATTTTTTACCATTTCATGTCCAGCTACTGAGTCTTGTTGGTTTTATATTTGTAAGCTCTACATTTGGTGGGGGGCTTACAGAAATTGCACTTACATGATGATATGTCTCCCAAAACTAGGGATTGCAATTATGTATTTCTTTATGCATTGTATTTTTGTAAATATTTATTAGCTCTAAATTGTTTCGAAACACATTTATTGTTATTTGTATTACTTTTTTTATATTACCTTTCCCCTGGAATGGAAACCACCTTGTCTTATTGTCTTTGGTCTCCAGTAAGAGCAACATAGGACGATCTAGTCAGAGGCGCTAGACAGAACATTTTGCGTAGAATGGAAATTCAGTGCTTGTTTTAGCAAAAGAAGGATTTTTAAGCTCCATTTTAGTTGTTTATTTAATGTTTGTATTTTTCTTGGAGAATTTAAAAATCAGTATCTTCATTTATCTCTATTCATTCTCATAGTCGTATTCCATAGAGACAGTAATTGAGCTGGTACTAATACCTTCTGTGTATATTTATATTTTGGTGAGTGTGGATCCAAGTGCTAGCCTCTTCCACAGATTTAGAAGACAACAGTCTTTTTATTAGTTTATATTCTGGCTAGCTCCAAGCTTTTAAAGATGCTGGTTTAGAACCTTTAGTTATTCTTTGCATAAATATAATAGGACTTGCCATTTACAGTTTTTATTTTTCGATGTATTGTCTCAGTTTAAACTGACTTTCTTCTCAGGCTCATGTATTTATTTCTCCTAATTCCACTTTCATTTCCGGTCAGCTGTGGTTACTTTGCATTGTGTATTTGGAGAAGACTTGTGTGTGCCTGACTTCAGTGCTATTTTTAAGAAAGTAAAATGGTGACAATGATGTAAGAGTGCTTGGTCAAGAACATGCACAATGGAATTACAATCAAGCATGACAGACTAATAGTTGGGTTTGCACCGTTTTCTTAGTGAAAACTTAGGGCTTAGTTTTTGCTGACCAATCTAGTTTATGCCTTTTCAGATGATGATACAGAGAATTAGAGGAAACAGCTGTTAGTTACAAAGTATCATCTAATGTTTATTAGCTACTATTGAGTGGTATTACAACAAACAAATTTACCTTTTAAATGTTACAGCCAAAGGGAAAGGAAGTGGTGGAGTGAAAACTGCTAAACTATATGCATGGGTTGCGCTCCAGTCACTGCCAGAGGAAATGGTGATTAGCCCGTGCTTACTGGACTTCCTAGAGAAAGCTCTTGAAACCATTCCAATTACACCCATTGAAAGGAATTACACAGGTTAGTTGCATATTTGTATTCTACTGCTCTAAGCTTTTTTGGCTTCTGGTGGCATTGAGATGCTCTTCCCTTTAAATTCCACTTTCTAATGAGTTCTTGTGCTTGTTAAAAGCTGTTAGTTCACAGGATGAAGACATGGGACAATTCGATATACAAGATCCCTTAGAAGAGTCCACAACATCATTAGTATCGTCCTCGACATCAGCATATTCATCCTTCCCTGTAGATGTGGTGGTTTATGTACGAGTTCAGGTGAGGTTTTAACTCAACATTTGGTATAGAAAGTAACTCCAGTCATAGCCTTTGAGATAATCCATGCTTCTAAGTCTGCTTTTTAAAGAATAAAAAATATTTTCAAGTGTCCTTTTTGAGACAGTCACGTCTGGTGTGATGATAAATAATATAGAATTACTTTCAGGAGAAGTTATGACATATTTTAGTCCCATGTAGCCCAACAGAAATGAGCTGTTTTGAGAAGTCACAGACGTTCTGAGCATTTTAATCATTACTTCTTCCTTGTATCTTTTGGACTCTTTTTGAAAATATCTTTCATGACTAGTATTTATATCCATTGTTTAGAGGTACCATTGCAAAGCAAAAATAATAATTAAATATTTTCTCAGTTTATAAGGAAAGTGTAGGAATTACAGTTATCTACAACGCATATTCATAATATTTGGTGTATCTGGGCTTTTCATACATGTCGGAGAAACAAGTGCTACCACAGTGTGATTCAGAGCACTTGAGCTTGATCCAAGTGTTGGTATTATATTCTTGCACTTTGCTTAAGCATAAACTTAGTATAGACTTGGTATAAACTTGACTATGTTTGAATAACATATTCTAACATGCTTTTTTTTTTTTTAATATATATTTATGAAAATTAACCACAACAATCTCTCAGCTTCTACTGCAAACTCATCTGGCCAACAGTGTGTTGAGGGGAGCTGAGGCTTTCAGCATCAGCTCAAGAGTGAAATGATTCTCCATAGTCCTCGCATGAGATGTGCAAAGCTATGAATTGATTTGGGGAAGAAGACGAGAGGGGGACATACATGTCCCCTGCTGCATCCAGGATTCCTGTATTTGTATTCTAAAAACTCGTTCCAAATAATAGCCCTGGTGTTGGAGGGATTCCCTGAAATGAATGTATCTATATGAACTTGTATACTGTTACCTTACTAGTTCTAAAATCAGCCTGCAAAGGTTGTAATTTGCTTAGATTTAAAAACTAAATATATAGTACTTTATAAGTCAATCTGGGAATGCTTTAAGTATTTTGTATTTGTTCATTGAATGCTGTGTTTTCTTTCTGTGTTTCAGCCCTCTCAAATCAAGTTCAGTTGCTTGCCGGTATCAAGAGTTGAATGTATGCTGAAATTGCCGTCCCTGGATCTTGTTTTCTCTTCAAACCGAGGAGAACTGGAAACATTAGGCACAACGTACCCATCAGAAAATGTGTCAGTTGGTGGCAATACCTCACAGAGTGGCTCAAAGAATTCAGTTAGTAAATCTGGAGCACCAGGTAATACGTATACGAATGTTTATACCATGTGGAGCTTGTAGCATAAATATATATAATGTTCTGCTGTCTAAAATTAGAGCAGAAGATAAGCTTTTACAGACATTAAGGCTAGACATTTAGGTATTAGTGAGTTCAGTAGGATTTCTTCATGTTGTGTCAGTTTCCTGTAAAGGCTTGCACAGATATGGTATATTGGAGTTTTTCTTGCATTGGTAAGCGAGTTCAGTTATCTCTTATAAAAGGCTAGCATCAATATACAGAATATTTAAGCTACATTTTTGCTACAAGGGTATAATTTCGTATGCATTTGGTTTGTTTAATATTGCTGTTGTCAGCATTATTTGACATTTGAAAATGCTTTCATGCTGAGACTAACTTTTGCAAAAAAAACCAATTGATTTCAGGTTCATCACCTGGACTAGGCAGCCCTCTTGGCAGAACACGGCACAGCAGCAGTCAGTCAGACTTGACTACTTCTAGTAGCAGCTCTTCAGGCCTGAGCTTTACCGCCTGCATGTCTGACTTCTCCCTTTACGTGTTCCATCCGTATGGAGCTGGAAAACAAAAGTCTGCTGTTACTGTTCTAACCCCTGGGTCAGGAGCCTTAGGTACAGACAAGTTTTTTCTTGCTTTAATGAACATTGTTCAAGTTTGGCATAGCTTTCTGAACTGAAGATTTGAAAAGGTCACAGAAGATTAAACTTTTTCCTTTCTATTTCTAGGTAATGTGGATGAGGAGACAACTTCGGTCACTGGCCGGAAGGATTCTTTGAGCATTAACCTTGAGTTTGTGAAAGTCAGCCTGTCACGAATAAGGCGTTCAGGAGGCTCCTCCTTTTTTGAGAGTCAGTCTGCAAGCAAAGCTACCAGCAAGATAGATACTACATTGATAAATATATCTGGTAAATGCTTGTTTCATTTTAATCCCATCTATTCAGCTGATTAGAGAACTGCTGTTGCAGTGATAGACTTCACTCTCAGCAGCTTTTGTAGATGTTATATGAGAGCCATCTACTTGTAGTGTGTTGTAGAATTTTTGCTCTTTTTGAATGAAATAGGGATTGATAACATGAAATTTTAATGGTACTTGGAGTACGTTTTTGCAGATGCACCTTTTTAGCCTCCCAATTCATTTAGTGTAACTAAATGGGCTTGCTCAAACACATCTCTGACATCAGTCTGCGTTGACTTAATGTGACAGTCGATGTTCAGTTACTAGCTGTCAGATTTCACCACCTCACCACCTGGTGCCTATGAAGCTACAGTGAGAGCTGGACTCCTGAATACTCAAGGAACCTTGAAGAAAAAGTGGTATTTAAAGATTTGTTAGTTATATATTTTCCCCCACTGCACATGGGACTGGGCAAACAGCAGATTAATCTGCCACTGAAGCCTACTCAGATGAGGAATCCAAGGCACATGGAACACAAGCAGGACCTAACGTTAGTTATATTCTTAGGTTCCATCTTGCCTTTATGAAATGTGTTTGTATCTAATGTTGGATTTGGAGAAGTGGTAACACTTCAGGAAAACTATTTTTTTTCATTACAGCAGAGACTGTACTGCTAGGCAAAGAAGTATTTGACTATATTGAACACCTACTAATTAGATTTGGTTACTAAAACCTGTTACTACTGAGCATTTACAGTTGTGTGTATATGCTTTTTCTTTTTCAGCTGTCTGTGATATAGGATCTGCTTCTTTTAAATACGATATGCGCCGACTCAGTGAGATTCTAGCCTTTCCAAGGGCTTGGTACAGGAGAAGCATTGCTAGGCGGCTTTTCCTAGGTGATCAAACAATAAATCTGCCAGGTAAGATACTGCTGCTTATCATGAAAAACCTTTTTGTACAAGGGGTTATAGCAGGAATTTTATAAACATTTTTTACCTGTTTATTATTACATATGTGACTAGATACAAAGGTATTATAATTTACTCCATAAGCAACCACTCTAATAAGTTTAATAACAAAATCCTAGAAAGAAGAAATAGTCATTGAATGAAGTAGTAGGTCATTGGTTTATTTGAAGAGCTTGTATTAATGAAGACAGTAGAAAATATTTAGTTATGATAAATGAACTATATTTTGACACTCTCAGAATACTTCTTAGTATATGGGAGGATATTGTTAAACAAAAATTACATAGTTTTTCTGCCTTTCATGTGCTGCTTTTTTTCCAGTAGCATCGGGTCCTGGAACACCAGATTCAATTGAAGGGGTAAGCCAGCATCTTTCTCCTGAATCATCACGGAAAGCTTACTGTAGGACGTGGGAGCAGCCCTGCCAATCTGCTTCATTTACACACATGGCACAGTCACCTAATGTTTTTGGTGAACATAATGCAAGCAGCAGTATGTCACCTGGGACAGCATCTCATAGCTTAAAGTCTCCAGCTGTTACAAGATCCAGGAGCGTGTCTGACTCTTCAGTGCCTCAGAGAGGTTAGTAAACAGTGATTTCTTTAGTTTTTGAGAGGATTTCCATTAGTTGTATGAAAAAAGTACATTGTTACTGCTTTGTAGAAAGCAGCCATAAAATAGTTTTTTCCACTGTGCCTGGGAGTGGAGAGTCAATGGCTTAGAGAAAGAAAAATGTCTGAAATGGATGAATCAAAATGTAGTTTGTTAGAGTACTTTCTATAAAATTGCAGTTTCTTTTACTAGAGCAGGAGTTGTTTAGCTGGGGTTAGATGAGTTCTCCAGCTTAATTTGATTGCGTCTTCTTGGCTCTCTGTTCTCACCCAAGAAATTACCATGCTCTTAGGAGAGGGTCAGTATCACAGCTCACAGGTGAGGTCAGTTACTTCATTTCATCTGAGACTTTGCACTCATACTAAGAGGTCTAAATAAGGTTAGTTTCTATATAAGAAAAAAAGGTAACTTTTAATTTCTTTTACTATTAACATTATTGTGTTGTATCTTATAGCAGTGTAGCACTGGCTGTGTGGAATATTTATGGCATTAGATATAGATAGGAGATTTAGAAGTATGGTGCTTATTTTACTCTAGGAAAAATACCTATGAGAAAAGAAAAGACAGGTATTTTGTCTATTTAGTAAGCGAGCAAGACGTTATATACGAACAGGTCTTAGAAGACACAATTAGAGGAGGATTTATGGCTGGTAGAGTGGTGTGTTCAGAGGAAATGCAATTTTTGCACAGGCTTATAAGGGTGTTGCCAGGACATTTGTGAGAAGAGCAAGGAAAACCCTAATGCTTGAAATTCTGTCTTGGCACTTGTGCAAATAACTGCTACGTGAATATTCAAATACAAATAACAAGCAATAATTTTCTGAGTACACTGGTATTTTTAAACAGTTAAAGAATTTAAATTATAGTCTTGCATGACTGACTGCAAATTAAAAATCTTTTATCTTAAAGTTATTAGTAAAAATAAATGTGTAAAATAAATGCGTAAAATGAGTCAATTTCTGTGACAACTAACACACCACATACTGCAAATCCTCTAGCTCTCACTCACCCTCACTTGTAGTTCTGTGGCACTCCGTAAAAATGGTGTTATTTTGTCCTTTTGTAGCATGTACAATGTATATATTCTGTCAGTTTTTCCTAGCATGTGGAATAATTTAAATTTTTGTCTACTTTTTTGTTTAGATACCCTCTCAAAAACATCAACGCCATTTAATAAGTCCAATAAAGCTGGAAGCCAGCAAGGAACACCATGGGAAACACTGGTTGTATTTGCTATGAACCTAAAACAATTAAACGTTCAAATGAACATGAGCAATGTAATGGGCAATACTACGTAAGTATAAAAGATGATCAAGCATGTTTTAACAGACGGTGTTGTTTTGGGGGCAAAACCCCAATTTCCCCACAGACTGTTAACAGCCTGTTGTCTTCTTGCTTTAAAACCCTAGCTTCTTCAGTTTTGAACTGTGAAGTCCCTCATGAGCACTGCTAGAACCTTAATCCTAAACCACGTTATTTATTGCTTTCCAGTAAATTACTTTCAGTTTCTCTTTTGACAGCCTGGAAAATTGTGGTCTATTTTCACCTCTGTTCTAGGTGGACCACCAGTGGTTTGAAAAGCCAGGGTCGTCTCTCTGTGGGTAGTAGCAGAGATCGGGAAATTAGCATGTCTGTTGGCTTGGGAAGATCTCAGTTGGACTCCAGAGGGGGAGTTGTTGGAGGTACCATAGATGTTAATACCCTGGAGATGGTGGGTAAGTTGGAAAGCTGTCTGGTGTTAGTATATGCTCCAGACAATAAAAGTGAAAAACTAAAGAATAAAAACTTTGGATTCTTACTTGTGCATTCAGACTACGAAACACACTTTGAATTGAAGGGGTAGCCTCCTGATCAGGGGCTGATTCAGTCCCCGGGTTGCTCTAAAATTACACTATCTAGTTGTGCAACCCTCCAGCCCCCTTCAGCTGTCTGGACAGATTGCAACTGAAAGATTTGATAGCTTTTCATCTCCTCCTAGATCTTCACAAGTGCTTGTGGTCTGGGTAGTGCGAAAGTGGCTTTGGAAAGATGCTGGGTGTTCTGGTGCTACACAAGAGTCATGACCTCCCCATGCATCTGGAAAAAAACAGTGCTTTTGCAGTCCTTCTCTATCATGTGGGTGGCATAAGGGTGATATCACTGGAAAAAGTGATTTTCTTACCTTCAGTGCTATATTTCTCTATTGCTTTGGTTCTGTTTCAGCTCATATTTCTGAACACCCAAACCAACAGCCCAGTCATAAAATTCAGATTACCATGGGTTCTACTGAAGCACGTGTTGACTATATGGGGTCCAGTATCCTAATGGGAATCTTCAGTAATGCTGATCTTAAACTGCAGGATGAATGGAAAATTAATCTGTATAATGCTTTGGACTCGAGCATCTCTGATAAAAGGTAATACTGCTTCCTGTGTTTAAAATGTATAACGTTTGATAAGGTCAAACTCTGCCTATGTCTTCTGTCCCGTATTGCTAACCAAAAATGTAAGCATCTGCTAGAAAGGAAAGGGTTTGTTGTTTAGGGTTTTTTTAATTGTCAGTAGGAAATAGATTAACTGCTAACGTTCTTGGTATTTTTAATACCTAGTGAGATATTTGTCCATGGGGACTTGAAATGGGATATCTTCCAAGTGATGATTTCAAGATCGACTACACCAGACCTAATAAAAATAGGAATGAAACTCCAGGAGTTCTTTACTCAGCAGTTTGATACAAGCAAGCGAGCTTTGTCCACCTGGGGACCTGTTCCTTATCTCCCTCCCAAGACAATGGCCAACAACTTAGAGAGAAGCTCACATGAGCAATGTAAGTGCTAAAAAATAGCATACTTCCCAAGTACAATGTTTTAATTGCAAAAATTTATCTGAGCGACTCTATACGTGCAAGTATATCTATTTGACATGAAATAGTTCCTTCAGTACATTTTTCCTGTAAACTTGGGCTGGCAATAACCTTTCAACAATGAATGCAAATATCTCGACTACCTCATAGACCTGCGGTACAATCATGAACTAATGTTATTTTCGGGTTTTAGTTAAAAATATGTATTTTTGTTTAAAAAAAAAAAATCTTTTTTGCAGTTTTCAAACTATTTCAATGGACTTGAAATAGTTTTCAAAGTCTATTTTGAAATCTGTTTTACAAAAAATCATTTCTACTTTGAGTAGCCATGAAAGTGTGATGTTATTCTCACTTTCTACTAATCATGAGCTGAAACCATGATTTCTCTGAGTCACTGATTTCCAAGTACGCTTGTTCAGGTACACTTAAGCTACAACCACCTTAGATCACACAGATGAAACTGTGTCAATGAAATAGATTAGAAAATATTGCTCATAATTCCATGTTTTATTAAAAATATAAATATGGCAGCCATCTTTTCTATATTGGTTTCTTTCCTAATGTTTGTTCTTGCTGTTGTGTGTTTACTTTCTAGTCTTGGATGCAGCCCATCATCGCCATTGGCCAGGAGTTTTGAAAGTGGTATCTGGGTGCCATATATCCTTATTTCAGATGCCATTGCCGGAAGATGGAATGCAATTTGGAGGATCCATGAGCCTGCATGGAAACCATATGACGTTGGCTTGTTTTCATGGACCGAATTTCCGCTCAAAATCGTGGGCCTTGTTTCACCTTGAAGAACCCAATATTGCATTTTGGACAGAAGCCCAGAAAGTTTGGGAAGATGGTAATTTAAACCATTTCCTCACTTTTCTAAATTCCTTTAAATGAGTTTTATTTATTTATTGATACATAAGAAATCAAAGAAAAACTTTCTTTAATTTCTTTAATTGCATGTCTGTGTTTATGTAGTCTCTTGTTTCTGTATAATGAATTTTCATGGTCTTTCTATTTGTTTTCATACTGGGAAGTTTTTATTGTCTGTAGCTACCGAGGATTTCATTTTTCTGCTGTTTACAACGTTTATACCAATTTTTAATGCCACTGGCGTGCTAATTGCTCATGTTAAATACCTGTGCGAGGAGAAGAGAATGAGAGGAGAAATCCTACTGCCCTCACCAAGCTGCTTTTTCCACTTTTTTCTCTCTCACCCCCTGCCATCCGCGCCTTCAATGCAGGTACTAGTGAACACTCCACGTATATCGTGCAAACCCTGGACTTTCATTTGGGCCATAACACTATGGTCACCAAACCGTGTGGAGCCCTGGAAAGCCCTATGGCAACAATCACAAAGATAACAAGGCGCCGCCATGAAAACCCCCCACATGGAGTTGCCAGCGTGAAAGAGTGGTTCAATTATGTTACAGCCACAAGGAATGAAGGTTAGATTCGTGTTCGTTAAGTTTTGGGATGGGTCTGCTTGCTAGGCAGTGCAAATTGTGCTGTTTAAAAGCTGCTAAATTTCAAGTCGGCTACAGGGAGAAGAGAATTTGAAATAATGGAAGTTGTTTCTTCTTGAGAACCTTATGGTCAACTGTGGAATGAAGCGTAGCAATATGCTCAACAGCTGGAAGTGTTACTGAGCTGAGTCCTTTTTAAAATTTTTTTCAAATAGAGCCAAAATGCTCTATTAGTGTACAGGATGTTTATGTATCTGGCACTGCAGTAGTTCTGGTCTTTTCCTCTTTCACTACCTGCAAAAAATTTTCTTGTTCATGTCCAGTTGTGATCATAGAATCATAGAATCATAGAATCGCTTTGGTTGGAAAAGACCTTTAAGATCATAGAGTCCAACCTTTAACCTAACCCTGCCATCCCACCACTAAACCATATCCCTAAGCACCTCATCTATCCTTCTTTTAAATACCTCCAAGGATGGGGACTCTACCACCTCCCTGGGCAGCCCATTCCAGAGCCTGACAACCCTTTCAGTGAAGAAGTTTTTCCTAATATCTAACCTAAACCTGCCCTGGCGCAGCTTCAAACCATTTGGCGCAGCTTCAAACCTCTTGTAACACGAGGATCTATTTCACTGTACGTGAAGGATTTAGGGATTAAGTTGAAGGAGGGATGTATATTTTAGGCTTCTGTCACTGCTTACGACTAACACTTAAAAATTACTCATCGGCCTAAAGCTTTTCAACCTTCAGCTGCTTCCAGGCCTTAAAATGTTTTGAATCATCTCTTTAAATCATTGTTGATTGGAAAATTAAAACTTTCAAGATAATGTTAAAAGAAATCTTAAAATACAGCTGTTGTAATTTCATTTTCACAAGCTATAGAATCAGTAAGATGGTATTAATAGGGTATCTGTGAAAGGGTGAATAGCAGGATATGGCGTATAGTGAGAAATGAGCATATGATTGTTTCTTGAAAAAATATTTTTAAATGATTGATATACTAATATTTATTCCTTTTGAAAGACACAACAGGATGTAGTGGTGGAAATTCACAAATAGAGGTGCTGTCTTTCAGATGTTTTTCTGTAGCCCTGTACATCCGGCGCATTTAAGTATATCAACAACAACATTTGATTGTTTGCCCTTTGGTAGCCATGCTTTTGGGAGCAGAATAAAGGATATAATCTTAATAATCATACACCAGAAGTTTTGCAATGAAATAGTAACCCTTCTTAACTTCTTTGTCTTGTCACAATTTTAACAACTGAAAACTAATTGAAATGAAGTTGCATGTGTACTATGGTAAAAGTCTTGTGACAAGGTAGGATTCCTGGTCAACAGTGATTTCTGACAGCAATGTCTGCCTCAGTGAATTTAGGTATTGCTTGTATTAATCAGAAACAATTATTTTCATTTTAAGTACTACCTTATATTTTCAAACACAAAGGGCACATTTTGAACCCATACAGCCTGTATCTCCCTTAACTGAAAGCTCATTACTAGACGAGAGTTGTGATAGGATGGTTGGATGAATAAAATTTAAACTTTAAGCTTCCAAAAAACTAACAAAGATTCTTAGAAGTGCTTAGACGTTATGGTACTGACACTTATTTCCTCCCTCCTTCTTATTATAAGATTTATTTAGTGAAAATTTGTCAGCCCCTGTACTGACAGGAAGGTTTTTTTAATAAAGACTACTGAATTCATGATTTTCCCATTGTCCATGTAGAGTTAAACCTGCTTCGAAATGTTGATGCTAACAACCCGGAGAGCAGCACAACAGTGAAAAGCTCAAGCTTATTAAGTGGCTTCAGAGGTGGCTCCAGTTACAACCATGAAACTGAAACTATCTTCGCATTGCCAAGGATGCAGCTGGATTTTAAATCTATTCATGTTCAAGAGCCCCAAGAGCCTTCATTACAAGGTGCAGTAAATATAATTTGTTTTTTCTTGATCCAAAACTACTTCTCAGAAATGAGGAGTTAAATACAAAGCTACCGTGCTGATAGGAGAAGAGGATTTAATCTGAGAATTACTGCAGATACGCAAGAAAAGGATACCATTTCCTAATAAAATGTAGAGGGAATTCCGTTGAGAGAGTGAAGATCTAGTCCAGAGACTGGTCACTATAGAAAAAAACTTACTAAGAGAAATTGATATGAACACTTTGGCTAGGTTGGCTGGTTTTAGGGGGTTGGTTTTCTTATTTTTATTAAGATGTTAAAGAGGAAGGTCAGTCTGAAAAAGGGAGTGTGAGATAGGAACCTAAATTCTATGCTCTTGCTTTCAAAATGTTATCTTCAGACTGCAGTTTGAGCTGGTGGGAAATAAGACTTCTGAAGGTATAGGCATTAATGTAGACATTTATCTTGGCTGAGCTGTGGTTTTAGTCCATACCTGATCCTAGATAATACTGCTAGATAAGTCAAACTGTTGCGGTTTGGCTGGTTTTTTTAATAACCAAACTAGCAAAATCTGCTATCAGCTCTTCTTACTGTCTAAAGTCATGCATTGATAGCATAGCACAAGCTAGTGATACTGCTTTAGGTTGGCTTTCCACATTGAGGATGATCAGGGTTGCTGCATGGTAATGTTTTTTTATTTTCAACATCATTTATATAAAGTACCAGAAGTTACACTGGGAAAACTCTTTAAAAAATGCAGAGGCTGCTAAACACAGATGTTAGTTGTGGTCCTTCCTCCTCTCTTTTGAGTCTCTGGTTCAGTAACAGCAATGCCATTTTCAAATTATTTGTATTCAAATTCTGTGTACTTTTATGTACACACTATGTACTTATGAGTGTATTAATACTAATTTTGTCTGATTGCAGATACAAGTGTTAAACCAAAGGTGGAATGCAGTGTAGTAACTGAATTTACAGACCACATTTGTGTAACTATGGATGCTGAATTGATTATGTTTCTGCATGACTTGGTGTCCGCTTATCTAAAAGAAAAAGAAAAAGGTAAGTTGTTACTTATGAGGTAACGCTCGTCTGACAACCTGCAGTTGTCAGACTATTTGATAGTAAATACTTTCATACTTTCTAATAGAGTTGACTTGTTAAAAATGGAACGTAATATGCTTCTTTGAATGCCATGATGAATTTGAAAGAAAGCCCTTGTAGGTGGATGCTTTGGGCTGGCAGAGAGAAGGAAGAATCCCATGTTCCAGTGTTATCCAGTATCTATTACAGTTTTCATAGGATGGTTTTTACTAGCACTTTGTTCAAACCAAAACTGTTTGCCAGAAATTCTGTAAAACTGAAACGCAAGATGCTTCTCTCTTTGAGATTTGTGCTTTTGTTGTATTTCAATGGTGTACAAAGAGAATTCAGGTGAGATGCTTGTTGACTGACTGGTGGTGGGGTTTTCCTCTCTCCATTTCGTAGCAATTTTTCCTCCTCGGATTTTGGCTGCTCGTCCAGGGCAGAAAAACTCTGTTGGTGTTCTTGAGGACAGCTCCACTGACAAGGAGGCAGAGGAAAGCATTACTTACACTACAGTCGACTGGAGAGAATTTATGTGCAATACTTGGCATTTGGAACCCACGCTCAGGTAACACCCAGGCTTATCTACAGTTTCTTTTGTCTGTGCAATTTATCTGTGGGTACTGTCCTGCAAACAAGAAGTGTTTCCAAGTTGATGCTGTTCCTGCGAGGATCAATCATGTGGCTGCTGTTTCAGATTTGTCTTGGGCTATCAGCGCTGCTACGAAAGATACCTGCTACAGGACATGGCAAAAGCTGGATAATGCAATTATCTATTAAATCAGTTAACTTCTAGATTAAAACTTACTCAGATTAAAGATATTGCTGAAGGTTCTTCAAAATTAGGACATGGTAAAATTAAATTTATTAAGGACCACAGATTACCATCTTTCACTCTGTCCTACAACAGTCCATTCACTTTCTGCCATACGGTTTTTCATCTTGCAGTTTTCCATTTTTAGCATTTTAGTTATTCTTTAAGCAGTCACCTTAAAATAAAAAAGCACTAATACTGGTTGATACATGGCAATTTAAACTTAGCACAAAAGGACAGTGTGTATAGCAGCAAGTTGCTGCTCTTAATACACACTCTTAATCACGGAAAATTACTTCCCTGTGTCAGGGTTTGTTTGGTTTTTTAACCTCTGCTGATTCTGCTGGAGCACTTCAGTGTTCATTCACATATCAAAACATCGACCCAGGCCAAACAAATCATGACAGTTGGCATTTTGTTTTAGCAGTAATAATAAATCAACTTAAACATCATCTGGAGGCAGCCCAGTCTGGTTTTTTGCCTCCTTGAGCACCCTCTTCCTTTGAGAGGATGTTCCATTGGTCATCTTCAGCTTATCTGTATAAATTTAAGTTTGAAACAATGCCTGTTGGGCTTAAATTGGTCAGAAGTAACAACATTTGCTTATACAAATGCCAGTTGCTATGTTTATACATTTGAGATTGAGTGCCCTATTTATTGGGGTTTTTTTAGATTAATATCCTGGACTGGGAGAAAAATTGATCCCGTTGGTGTTGACTACATCCTCCAAAAGTTGGGCTTTCACCACGCAAGGACTACTATTCCTAAGTGGCTGCAGCGGGGTGTCATGGATCCTTTGGACAAAGTTTTGTCGGTCCTTATAAAGAAACTCGGTACTGCACTACAGGATGAAAAGGAAAAGAAAGGAAAAGACAAAGAAGAATACTAAAAGTATAATGTGACAACCGTAATTCCGTTTGATTTTATCAAAGTGTTTTATTGTATTTTAAGAATTTAAATATGGTTTGAAGAGAAACCTAACAGCTTTTTTGCTACTCTATTTAAAACTTACATTGTGAGTAACTGTTTACTGTGGTACATGATACCATTCTGTATTTGAAGTTATTGCATGATGATGACCAATGTATTATTCTGTGAAGGAATAGCTGGAACACTGTAAATCTGCTCCGCAGCGTCCACTGTTTTACTATGTGCAATATGATTCCTGCATCTTTAAAATACTTGCAGATTAACTGTGAATTTTCATAAACTTTATTTGCCATAACACACCCCCCTCGATGTGACCGGTAATTGATTTGTCAATGTAGACTCGTGTAAATTATATATATATATATAACTTATGAAACTGTGATTGCCTTAGTGCTAAAAATCATTAAGTTTATTACACTTGTAATAAAATTTAACTACTGTACAGGGCTCTTTTTTTGTTGTTGTCGTTCAACTTCCTTGATTAAAAAAAAGAAAAAAAGTGGTTTAAGTGTAATTTTGCATCGAGCATGATTTACGGGAGGTGACCGGGGGAGGAAG